GATGGGCGGCGCTGGGTGAGCCCGCCCAGCACGGGGGATTTCTGCCCATCACTCCTGATGAAAAACACTGCTTTAAACGTAACTATTTGTGAAGAAAAGAACTACTTACATTCATATTTTCGTCTTTAATCGTGTTTTATTTGCAATTGTACAAGATTGCTTTTTTTAATTCGAAGATGAATTATTATTTTTAAAGATTTGCCGAGTGTTGTTTGTCTAAATATGTTACGATTCACAAAAACTATAATGAATTTACTGTACGTATCGATGTATACCGGTACGTATTATATGTATAAATGGGTAAATTCAATATGGCCGCCCAGGCTCGTTCGATTACTGTTCTTATAAATGTATATTTTTAATAAGGTAAATAAAAAAGATCGTAATTTTCCAGAAGAAATAAATTAAAATACTATAATATATATTTATTTCATCATTTATATTGTAAAATTTGTCCGATATTATCGATATTAAGGTATTCATTTTTTGATTGATTGAGTTTGAGCCGAACTTGTTTTGACCAGCGCCTAGTACCCACGTGTATTCGTGTTTATAGCTCGTGATCGCGATGTTGCAGAGGTCAGCATTTGGGATTTAAATGGCGTCGGTGAAGTTGTGCCCACCGCTAAAAAATCTCTAGTTATAACACTTGACTATTATTATCATTAATTACTACCCCTCCCCCTTCCATTAAACCCTCGCGCGACCGCAAGGTAAATATAGAAAACGCCCTAACATTTCTTATAGTGATCTTCTGCATTTTCGCAGACATTTTTTTTCATCAGCGCTCTGCAGGTTTCGAGTTCCCGAACCGCGCGCTGGCGATGCGAAAAACAGATTCTGTGTAATAAAATAACCCCAGTCAGACGAATTAACAGCCAACCATCCAAGCCCACTCCCCGATGACTCAAGCTGACACGGTCACCTATTTTTCCCTGACGTCCGCACCCCGGTGACTTAAGCTCACGCACGCCAGCTATTCTCCACTCCTGACGACGGATAGTCAACCTGTTCGAAACATCGAGCCACTCATCCTCTCCAAGCGCTATAGTTCTCCTGAGAACTATATGCTAAGAAAGATAACAAACAGTCCTTTTCAGGACTACACTCCTCCAAGAAAGATTACCGAGTCAGAGTCCTTTTCAGGACTCCTCAAACCTCTCTCTCTCTCTCTCTCACACACGGTGCACCCGCAAACCTACTGTATAAAATAACCCCAGTTCACCGTTTACTCTTATGGGTTGTCCGTCTTCCAAGAATTTATCGCTCATAACGTGACAGTCTCCATACAAAGTCAATGTAAAATGCATCAAGAAAATCATTGTAAATCCATTTTTCGCATCGCCAAATGCGTGGATCGGAAATATGAAACCTCTGCGAAAATGCGGACGTTGCCAGTTCACCATTAGACAGAAAGCTTCAGTCTGTGATATAGACGGTTGTTCCGCTGAGATTGCATCTGGCTCCTCTGAGCGCCTCTATACATAGACTGAAGTACGTCCTATGGGGACTGAGTGGAACAAATGGGATCGGTTCGGCTGGACCGCGATGAATGAGATATGCAACGAGTTTTTCACTCTTTACGAGCAAAAAGAGGTACAAAACTTGGCCAATCTATCCCCCCGGTGGAATACCGTCTGTGTATGGGGAATGTCAACAAATGTCAGTTTTTATTATAGAAATGACCCATATCAGACGGTAGTTCACCATCTACTTTTAAGGGTTGTGTGTCTTCCCTAGGCCTAGGATTTATCGCTCCTCACGAGAAAGTCTCTGTACAAAGTCAATTCGAAATGCATCAAGAAAATCATCACAGAATTTGTTTTTCGCATCGCCAACGCACGGATCGGTAATAAGCAGGGCTGTCAACTTTGGGGAAGTGCTTCGAGGGAGGTCGTATGCAAATTTTTGTTTTGCTCAACGGCAGTGGCGTACGCAGGATTTTTTCAAGGGGGTTGTTTTTTTTGTTGGTGGGAGGTTTTTTCATAAACCAGGAGATTTTACATCGAAGCAGGAGAGCCGAAGGGAAGGCATGCTGGCGGGAGTCTCCCGCTACGAGCTATTGGGACGGCGGGAGAATGAGCGTGGTGGCGTGAGACTCCCTCCAAATGCGGGAGGGTTGACAGCCCTGAATAAGAAACATCTGCACAAATGCAGACGATCCTCATTTCTGCGGAGGTGTCTGGTCGGCTGTCCGCGATTACGTAGACGATCCTCGTTTATGCAGACGATCCTTATTCATGGACCAGCGCCCATATTGTTTATCATGTGCTTTATTGCTTCCTCGTAGCTAAAACAAAACAGTGTTACTAGATCTATGTGTGATCAGTGAACACGCATTACAATCTGTATTCACATTCAACACACACACATGCACACGTCACACCACAATGTTACAGCAGTAATGCCATTGCCATGCAATGGGCCATGGCAAATGCAATGAATGAATGAATTGGTGGAGAATGGACCACTAACTTACATGTGACGAAATAAAGCACTTATATCACTTATCAGAATGAGCAGAGCGAATGGTGATTTCCTATTTCACGATAATGCCAACAGAATGTTAAACTAAAGCGAAACGGGTATATATTTACCAGATACATAATCCAGAAGTTCCAGATCAATGGCAGGAAACTCTGACTCGACGATCTTTCTGTAGGCTGCCATGTTGGAGTTTGCCGGTCGATGCAGGTAGTCTTATTCAAGTACTGTACAGGGGCCAATTTCTCGAAATCGTCATTAGCGGAGGGCCAAAGTCAGAAATTAGGGTTTTGGTTAGTCTGCAGGCACAGACCCTAATTTGACACTTTATCAAAAAATCATTGTGCCTTGAGAGAAGTCTAGCCCAGCTACCTACTGGTTGTGTCCTGTGTCAGGAGCAGCTACAGTACATGGCCTATGGTAGTCTTATAGTGCAGACTCTCTTTTACGACTGACCAGGGTTTGTGCTTGCAGACTAGGTTTTGGTTGCCATTACTTCACGAAATAAGGACAAATTGTTTAGTTTATGTGAAGATTTTGTCATAATAAGCCAGTTCACGGTTGCAGTCTGAGCATGAGCAGATAAAGGTCATTGCAGAACAAATTTTGAAATACACGGAGACGAAATACTGGATACGTGTTCATGAAAGTTATGTAACATTATTCATTCATGCACATTCAGTGCCATCCATGATACACAGGTGGAAGTATTCTTTGAAAAGGGGAAACAAAGGCTATCTATATAGCACCTCCATCGCTGTAGGAGTGATTATTTCAAAATGTAAAAAGTGGGACCTCTTCATGTTTTTAAGATCTGTGGATATTCGGGGTCATTGCAGTAATGTGCTAACCGTGAACTGGTCTATTATACACAATATTTCAAAGTTTATAAAAAATTATTTGTAGCGGTCACCCCTAAATCAGAGGGGGCATCAGAAAAAAGTGGCCGGCCTTTTGACGATAAATATTATTTTGTAAAAACCCTGAATTTGATGTCATATTTCATTAAATATCTATATTTTGATACCAATTTCAATGGATTTGAATAAAAATACACTATTTTCCATCAAAATTGAAGGTGTATTTTTCGTAACTTTCCGGAATATAAGCCCAATATGCAAGGCTCAAATTATTTTTTTGCGACTCTCGTTTCGTATTATATGACTAGCGACCCTCATTTCTTATTATGAATAATGACCCTTATGAATAGTGACCCTCATTTTGCATTATAAATAGCGACCCTCATTTCTTATTATGAATAGCGACCCTCATTTCGTATTATGAATAGCAACCCTCACCTATTATGAATAGCGACCCTCATTTCTTTTTTATGAATAACGACCCTTATTTCGTATTATGAATAGCGACCCTCTTAAAGGGAGTGGGTAGTCAGTTTCCATGTGCAGAAGGTCGTAATTCGCTGACACCAGACTTGGTGGAAATACCATTAATGGGAGTACAAATCTGCACACAGCAAACCCGTTGGCCCGTCAAGAATTACCCCTAGTCTCTCGGAGCATGCTCGGAGATTTCTCGGGCGAAGGAAAAGCAAAGCATTACATAAGGTCTAATGGTCATAAAACTCAAGGCTAACCCTGGTGATTGACAACACCTGTTATTGGGTAAACACCCGAATGGTGTCGAATTCCCCATGAGAGCTGACTTCTATGGAACTTTAATACCTACCCTCTTCTTTGATTATGAATAGCGATCCTTATGAATAATGACCCTTATGAATAATGACCCTTTTCTCCAATTATGAAAAGCGGACCTTATGAATAGCGGTCCTTATGAATAGCGGACCTTATGAATAGTGAACCTTATGAATAGCGGTCCTTATGAATAGCGGTCCTTATGAATAGCGACATTGACCCGGTTCCCTAAAGTGCCCCCTTATATCCTCACATGTCCTTTTCCCTTCTGATAATTTTTAATGGTAGGAATTCATGGTAGGATAGCATCTATATTCTTTAGAACAGCTCTCAAAATACTCACAATTTCCATGTTTCATGTCATGACTGTGTTTATAAAAGAATAATGAATACATAAAATGACAATTTCATCTAAGATCCTGAAAATGAGGGATTTTAGATCTAGAAATCATAAGGGGAAAAAAGTGTGGCGAGTTGTCCGAACCCCCCCCCCTTCATTTTTAATGTATATGTTTTGTAGGAAAACCTCCCCCCTTATTGGGTGACGTAAAAAAGGTGACCTTACCCCCCCCCCCCCCCCCCCCCCCCAACGAAACGTAATGTTGATCGGTCAAATTTTCAAGTTTCGGGACACAAAAAAAATATATATGTTGTCTTACCTCCCTCAGTATCTATATAGGTCAATATAGAAATTAGAAATGCAAATGCAGAAAGTTCAAAGACAAAGGATAAGGAGTGTTAAGTGCAATATTGGTATATAGTCATAGACTTCCCCTTTAAATCCGAAGGCAAAAGAGAAATTTATTTATTCATTCATTAAAAAAAAATGTATGCATAGGCTGACGAAAGACTAGTTCAACAGTGTTCTATTAATACGGTCATCTTGTTGAAGTTGTTGTTCACAATGGCGGCCACCGGAGCTGAAACTTGCGAAGGCGGATACATGCAGATTATAGCTCGGAAAGTTGGGACTGACGAGGCTGCTCTGCGTTTTCTCATTTCAATGTTTGCAGGTAATGCTATGTAAATGCTCTAGATCTAATTGATTAATTTTGAAAACTACGTAACTCACAACACAAGTCAAGTCAGTGAAGACTGCACTGAGCTGAGTCTGAAGTAAAGTGAAGTCAGCAGTCAACGGCCGCGGCCAGCCACAGCAGCGCTAGTCGCAAGGCCAAGATCAGCCAAATGAATCGTCCACGCGATCCTTCTAAGTTATAGGCCTAATGGTTAATTTAGATATCTTGGAACAGACTTTCATGTTAAAATTACAATAAAGTGAAACAACAAATGATTTCTTGGATCAAGCAAAATATTATAGATCTATGACTGTTTTCGCAGACGGTTTTTTTTCATCGGCGCTCTGCAGGTTTCGGATTCCTGATTTCCGCGCTGGCGTTGCGAAAAACAGATTCTGCGTAATAAAATACCCCCAGTTCACTGTATAATTTTATCGGTTGTCCGTCTTCCCAAGGATTTATCGCTCATATTTAACGTGAAAGTCTCTGTACAGAGTCAATGTGAAATACTGGCAATCTCTATTTTGGAAAGAAGTTTTTGAGGGCATGTCATTGTTACAGAATGTTAGTTATTAAAAGCATGAGAAGTTTAATTTGAAGCTTAATAAAATTTGTTTTAGTTTTTCAAGTAATGAAGGGCAGATATAGATCTATAATAAATATTATAAAACATATCAAACAAATTTCGATGAACCTTTAATACCTTTCCATATTAAAACACTTATTCATGAAAAAAAGGATGTAGATCTACATGTCGTGATGTACCGTAGATACATTTATAACATTATTTTTGGAGAAAAAAATTGTTTGTCTCTAATATTTTTAAGTTCAAAGTGTGAACGATATTTGAATTACAATTTACCATCTGTATATTGATACTAAAATATAGCGTTATGATATTTCGTTCAACACCATTCTGAAATACTTTCAGTATAAGATTTTAAATAGAATTTAGTTTTTAAATAAACAACAAGACTCTATTTAGGATGAAAGTTGTAGACAATGAAAAATGTTCATTTTGTAAAAAAGGAAGAGAAGTATATAGTACATTTCTATTATGAATGTGAGATTAGTAGAAAGATCTGGAATGAAACCTCAAACTGGATTTTAATGAAAGAACTCAAGTTAGAATTTTGTTGACTTAACAAAATATAATTTTGGCTTTGAAGATTAGAGAAACGATGCTCTAAATTGCATTTTTATATTAATTAAACAACAGATGTTTATTTGTAAATTAAATAGTATTGTTCTGCTCTTTGATATGTTGAAAAAGAATGTTGTACAATATTATAAAGATGAGAAATGTATTGCATGTCTATCTGGAATGGAAAGACATTTTGCTGTAAAGTCGACCAAAAAATTCAGCCAATTTTTTTTTTTTTTTGTTGATTTTTTTGACGAAAATTTTCAAGTTTTGGGCTATCAAATGCTCAAAAAATATTCATAGCTGGGATTATTTTGTCATTTGGAGTTGTTGTAGACCATGTTTGATGATATTTAGTGCCTTTTCATGACTTTGAAATTAATAATATTGGTCTAAGAGAAGAGGCAAAACATGTGGGCCACCATCATGGATTATAATGTAAGCATGCATTATAATCAAAGATGGCAGCCTTCATGTTTTGCCTCTGCTCTTAGACCAATATTATTAATTTCAAAGTCATGAAAAGGCACTAAATATCAACAAACATGGTCTGCAACAACTCCACATGACAAAAGAATCCCAGCTATGAATATTTTTAAAGCATTTGATAGCCAAAAACTTGAAAATTTTCAGCATTTAAAAAAAAAAAAAAATTCTGCTGATTCTGCATCATTTTTTGACTGCGCAGTCGAAGATCCATCTAGTTAAAATTTCATGCCATGTAGCCAGTGGCGTACCTGGGGTACTCCGTCAGGGGGGGCAAGCAACCGAAACAAACAAAAAAGGCGATGCTAATTTTCACTTTTGGCGAGCGAGCGAGCAAAAAAAAATCTTTAAGTAACGTTTGGTATATAAACTGGTATTGTCGCAAGTTGGGGTGGGAACATTCACTTGTTAGCGACGTTAATTTCATTTTTTTGCAAACGAGTGTAGCGAGCAAGAAAAAAATCCCTTCTTTTTTATAATTGCCACTTAAACTTGGTTCAATTGTTCCATGCAGGGCGTGGGAACAATATTGTGTTTAGGGTGATATCATACCCATTTTAGCTAGCGAGCGAAAATACATCTTTCTCTCAATGAATTGCTATATAAAATTTGTTTCATTGTTGCAGGTAGGGGGCGGGCACAATCGTGTTTAAGGCAATGCAATCCCATTTTGGCGGGCAGGCAACCCCCTACATTTCTCTTTTTAATGATATTGTAGCAGGTTAGTGGTGGGCACATAATTCCACGAGCTAGCGAAAAAAAATCACTTCTCTTTTATAGGGAAAATATGGTACATAAAACTTGGGTTCATTGTTCCATGTCAGGGACGTGATTAGTGAAAGCGGTGTTATTTCTATTTTGGCGAGCGAGCGTAGCGAGCGAGCAAAAAAAAAACACTTCTCTTTTATAGGGAAAATATGGTATATAAACTTGGGTTCATTGTTCCATGTCAGGGACGTGATTATTAAAAGCGGTGTTATTTCTATTTTGGCGAGCGAGCGTAGCGAGCGAGCAAAAAAAAAACACTTCTCTTTTATAGGGAAAATATGGTATATAAACTTGGGTTCATTGTTCCATGTCAGGGACGTGATTATTAAAAGCGGTGTTATTTCTATTTTGGCGAGCGAGCGTAGCGAGCGAGCAAAATTTTTGTAATGATAATTGGTTCATAAATTTCAGATTTTTTTGTTGCAGGGCAGGGCTTACACAATCATGTCTAAGGTGATGTTAATTCCGTTTTGGCGAGCACGAGCACACCAAAACTTCTTTGAATAACGTTTGGTACATAATTATTAACTGGTTGTTGCAGGTTGGGGCGGGCACGTTAGCGGTGTCAATTCTATTTTGGCGAGCGAGCATAGCGAGCAAGCAAAAAAAATAAATTCTCTTTTAATAGAAATTAATAAATAAACTTGTTTTTATTGGTGCAGGTCAGGATGGACGCAATCGCGTTTAACGCGATTCAATTCCTTTTTGGCGAGAGGGCGAAAAAACTCTTCCATTTTTAATGATATTGTTGCAGGTCAAGGGTGGGCACAATTGTTTCCAAAGCAATGTTTATTCATTTTATTCGCGAGCGAGTGTAGCGAGCGAGAAAAATGAATTAGTCTCTTTTAGTAACATTTGGTACATATATTGTGTGTTATTGTTGCCATGGTTGCAGTTCGGGGCAGGCACAATTGTATTCTAGGCAATACTGATCCTTTTCTTTTTTCAGGCGGACGAGCAAGTGAAAACATTTTATACAAAATAGGCTAGCAAGCAGTTCGCACCTGCGAAGAGTTTCGAATTTGTTATATCACTTATATTTTCCTTTTTTCATTTGTTTTAATTTTTCAGGGCCGTATGCGGAATATTTTTCTGGTGGGGGAGGGGGAAAGATGCGTTAAAAGTTTTCGAAGAATCTCAAAAGCAAAAGGAGTGAAGGGAGTTTGAGCGACCGAACTGGTCATGAGGGTACTTTTGCATTTTCAAAAGTAGAATTGAAGGATTTGGTATAGGCCTACACTACATTTTCAGGAAAAAAACTGTACGTTTTCAAAATATCTGGAGTCAACTGCCCCCCCCCCCCTGGTGCGTACGGCCATGGTCTTTTTTTTAAAAATTTCCCCATTTTTATTCCTTTCCTTTTCTTTTCCCTTTTTCTTCCTTTTCTCTTCTTCTTCCTTTTTTCTTTCCTTTTTTTCCTTTTTTTCTCTTTCTTTCCTTTTTTCTTTTTCTTTCCTTTCCTTTCTTTTCTTTTCTTTCCCCTTTTTCCCCTGGAGCCCGTCAGGTACGCCACTGCATGTAGCAGCTTTGTAGCTTAATGGTACAATAGGTGTTGAATTAATTAGCGTATATCACTTATGGCTTATAAATTATGTTTTTAATTGTTCTCTTTTTTTAGGATATCCCCTTGCAATCTTCTTGAGAGATAATCTCCATGACACTTCAGCTACCACAAAGCATCTCTTCATCTCTGCTGTAGGACTTGCAATCAGCTACTTCAATTATGGTAACTCAGCGGTAACATTTGTGAAACGAACCTTAGATTTTATATAGCAAAGCAACGCTTTACCTTACACTTTTTGATGTCATGTAAATATATGCACACAGTGGTGATGGACTGTATTGTGGAACTTTAATTTTCATTGTTTTTAATTTGCCTTATTTTCATGCCTTTGCCACTGCAGGTGGTACCTGAGGCATTATATTCTTGCCCGCCCGTTCCGCTTTTTGTTACTATGATAACTTAGAACCATTGAACAAGTTTTAAGCATACTTGGATAGAGGATGTATGGACAAGCAAGGATGAATTGATTAGATTCTGGGTGTAATAGGTCAAATGTGAAAGATTGTAGGGTCATAAAAGTGAACAAAATCAAATCAAATATAAGATTTCTGTAATAATTTAACAAAAATTGAAACAATGTTGACCAAACTGGGCTCAAGTATGTGAAGCTTTTTAAAAGATTAAATGAAAATTGAAAAACCTTTTAGTTTTGTGAGGTCAGATATTAAAGGTCATAGGATCACTGATCATTATAGACAGAGGCATATTAGAGACACAGTCTTATTTATTTTATTTATTTATTTATTTTGAAATACATACCGGTACTATAGAGTGTATAGGTTACTAAAGACATATATGAGATACATGGCCTAATTCATCTTATTTTTTTAATATTTTTTTTTCAATTGAAAAAAAACTAAATGAAAAGCATTTAGTTTTGTGAGGTCAGATTTTAATGGTCACAGAATCACTGATCATTGAATGTACATATAGGCGGAGCCATAGTAAAGGTACTTTGTCCCATTTACAGGCCAAACAAATGAAAAGGTTAAATTCCAACATCATTTGAAAGATAATTCCAATTTAGAACTTCCCTCAAAATGAAAGGGCTTGAAAATGTCTTTAAGCTGGAAAATAATGACCATTGGTTGTTGAATCAACTTTAGTGATTGCAATCAATCATTTTAGTAATAGTCTGATTTTCAGACCCTTTTACCAAATAATCATACATTTTGTGCTGCACAAAGATTCAATCTGTTTAATTTTTGGCTATTACAAGTACATGTTATTACCCAAGAATCAAAGAAAAAAGTCAGTCACTCAATAGTGTCTGACAGTGAAGTTAAGAAAGTAAATGGGTTTCCTTGCATAATTTGAAAAATAGGACACTGCTAACTTTTAAATTTCACAGATACATGTAGGACATACATGACATATTCATAATTCCTGCAAAGTTGTACAGAATTTGATGTTGGCTGTCTTATTTGTGTCTCTAATATGGCAGTTGTTGAAGTTCATCAGATTAAGGGGATGCTCCTTGGGCCTGCCAGAAGAGGAACAAAGACCAGTATATCACAGCAAAGTACACAGCTAAAGCAGTGGGGGGGGGGGGGGGGGGGGGGATAACTGTGACTAGTACATGTCAGGTATCGTGGTAAGTTGATGTAATGTCTTTAGGGGGAAATTTGAAAGATGATGACATAGGCAGGGCTGTATAAATGTGAATCTTAAAATGTCTATGATCATTTATATTGACATTATTTGATTGTGCACTATCTTTCCAATTATATCCTATGCATAGGAATGGATACAAAGTATCTCCTGTTCTGCTCTCTAGTCAACTACATCGTTCTCACCCTGGCCGGTGGTACTGGGGCATCAGTTATCTTTTCCTTTGTTTTTAATGTGGTATGTAAATTATTACTTTATCATTTGTTGTGAGTTTAATATGTAGACAACATGTATACTGTACTTATTAAATTTATTTCATGCCTTTTGTAAGAAATATAACTTTGAAGAAGAAAAAAGTAGAAATGCATATAAGGCCTAATAGAATTAGTAATGATAGCATCAAATTGTTTTTCTTAATTATTATTTGAGGTAATGATGATAATGAACCATATGAATGTAGGTCAAGATATGTATAATTCTCAATAAAATGGGAGGCCTACCAGTTGAAATTTGATATGGTTTATGCAAAACCAGTCTACATGTAAGTGTACTGAGTGAAACATCATTAATCTGTCAAATCAACAACATCACCATGTAGTAATTAGACATGCACTAAAAAAATAGTCAGGCTTTGCAACTGCATAAAATTAAATTTTGAGATATTCAAAACTTTTGCAAATGTTTTCTCAATGCAGGGATATATGTTGGTGTCCTATGCTATCTATGCATCTCATGACTATGATATTAATAACAATAATAATATTCCATGTTTATTTAGCACTCAATTCATCGATCAGACTAATATAGTCTTTACAGATATATTATTACCCCTGTCATCGGATTCAGGCTTACCCGCACACAATGTAGGCACATTTTACACTCCCTGGGGAGCATTCCAGCCAGTCGCCATTTTACAAGCGCACACTTGCTCGTTCAACCACATGAGCGTTCGCATCCTACATTCAAACCTTTTCCAAATGTTTTCTCAATACAGGGCTATCTGTTGGTGTCCTATGCTATCTATGCATCTAATGACTATGATATGAACTGGACTACACCCCAATGTATCCTAACTCTACGTATGATATCAGTGGCTTATGATCTCTATGATGGCCATACACCTGTGGTAAGTAGTGGCAACATCATGGTTGTGCCTTTGTCAGTGGGAAGGGATGGAGGTCACACAAATTTGTTCATCCTAAAGTTAGTGAAGGCACATGGAATAAAAACTTTTTCTGTGAAATGGCAAGATTTTTTGTGTTCTGAAATTGTTTGCTTAATTGTTATGCCTCCGCCACCGAAGGTGGTGCCGGAGGCATCATGTTTTCGGGTTGTCCGTCCGTACGTCCGTCCGTACGTCCGTCCGTACGTCCGTCCGTACGTCCGTCCCGTTTGACCGTTATCACAATATCTCAAGAACCATTTAAGATTTAAACTTAAGACTCGGGAATAGTATTTATCACCATAGGAAGACGATCTGATTAGATTTTGGAGTACGTAGGTCAAAGGTCACAGGTCACAGAGGTCAACTTATGAAATTCCTTGTATTGAGGTTGTTAGCGCGATATCTCAAGAACCATTTGAGATTTAAACTTCAAACTTAAGGATAGTATGTATCACCATAGGAAGACGATCTGATTAGATTTTGGAGCACGTATGTCAAAGGTCAAGGGTCACAGAGGTCAACTTATGAAATTCCATACATTGAGATTGTTATCATGATATCTCAAGAACCACTGGAGATTTAAACTTCAAACTTAGTGATAGTGTGTATCACTATAGGAAAACAATCTGATTACATTTTGGAGCACGTAGGTCAAAGGTCAAGGGTCGTAGAGGTCAACTTATGAAATTCCATACATTGAGATTGTTATCATGATATCTCAAGAACCACTGGAGATGTAAAAACTTCAAACTTAAGGATAGTATGTATCACCATAGGAAGACGATCTGATTAGATTTTGGAACACGTAGGTCAAAGGTCAAGGGTCACAGAGGTCAACTTATGAAATTCCATACATTGAGATTGTTATCATAATATCTCAAGAACCACTGGAGATTTAAACTTCAAACTTAATGATAGTGTGTATCACCATAGGAAGACAATCTGATTAGATTTTGGAGCACGTAGGTCAAAGGTCAAGGGTCACAGAGGTCAACTTATGAAATTCCATACATTGAGATCGTTATCGCGATATCTCAAGAACCACTGGAGAATTTTCACTTCAAACTTAATGATAGTATGTATCACCATATCATAATATCTCAAGAACCACTGGTGATTTAAACTTCAAACTTAATGATAGTGTGTATCACCATAGGAAGACAATCTGATTAGATTTTGGAGCTCATAGGTCAAAGGTCAAGGGTCACAGAGGTCAACTTATGAAATTCCATACATTGAGATTGTTATCATGATATCTCAAGAACCACTCCAAACTTGTTTAAATTGCTCTATGGCGGAGGCATCATTTTCGACTGCGCGCAGTCAAAATTCCATCTAGTTTTTAATGTTTCATATCATTGTACTCTGTTTCTTGTAATGCTGGTGGGAAGCATATTCCACATTGTGGACGAATAAATCAATATCTATATATCAATATCTAGTAATGGGAAGCCTTTAAGCTTCTAAAGCAGAGCATAATCTCTTTATCAAATTAAATTGATGAATTGAAAATTTGAGACTATGTTTTAAGGGTTAAACAAATTGATAATAGCTACAGACAGAAATATTTAACAGAAGGAAGATTTATCATTGGTACATTAGATAATTGTATGAATATTCAAAATTTTCTTGCAGTATTGGAGTGAGTGATGCACTATCAAATAATAGTTATCTGTAATTTGTTAATTATTCAATTAAAAAAAGAAGTTAGTAACAGTTTGAAATGTTGGTAATAGGATTACCCAAACTATTCTTTGGCTTTTAAAGTTTTTATGACTATTTCTTGTATGAACAGGAGAAGTTAAGTCCAGAGCAGAAGTCACTGTGCTTCAAGGAACCACCAGGTCCATTAGAGATGGTCAGCTATTCTTTCTTTTTTGGCTACCTGTTAACTGGACCACAGGTCAGTGTTGAAATCTTCATGCATGACAGTACCATATCCTTGCCGTTATACCCAACCTGTCTTTCCCATCCTGCCCTCTTTCCTTCTTCCCTCTTTCCTTCTTCCCTCCTTCCTTCTTCCCTCCTTCGTGCCCTCTTCCACGTCGTCCTTCCCATTTGCATCTCTTTATATCTGCCCCTCCCATCCATCACTGCCATTTATCTGTCTTGTTCCTGCTTTGTTTCCAACTCACTTTCTCCGTGTTTCATAGTTCTTATGAACTTTATTCATGTTTTCTGATATTGTATTAGGATGGTGGTTGTTACAGGCTTAAATCCAGTATTGTGTTTACAATTTAAAAAATGATGCATTTAGGTTTTAAGGAGAAATAAACATGAATGAGTTTCAAATAAATATTTCATAATTTGTAATCAATATAGGGGTACAGTGCTCATGGTACTCTGTTTTGTAACATGTACAGTAGCACCATGGTGGTGTTTCACAAAGATCCTAAGTTGAACTTATCTCTAAGTTGGACTTAACAATTATGGAAAGCCGTTAGCATCTATGAAAATATTTGTACTAGTTATTTTAAAAGGCATAAAATGATGATTCAAATCATTCATGTTTTCTATTATCAAAGAGGTTTCATGTTCCTGATGTGGAATTAATAAAAAGTCTAACATACTTTAATTTTCGCTCTTGAATATATAGTTGGAAAGGCTACAAATGGCTCTCCATAGTTTTCAAGTCCAACTTAGAGCTCAGTTCTCACCCATGTTTTCTTTTGTTTCAGTGTCCTTTACGTCAGTACCGTGACTACATGGATGGCAACCTGCTCGATAATGAATCTGGCAAGCCATCGGACACTCTCCAGCCTGCTATGAAGATCCTAGGAATAGGCATGATCTACTTCCTCGTAGAAATCCTCATTGTACCATCATTCACTGCCAGCTATCTACTCACCGAAGAATTTGCTGTATGTTTCATGTTTGTTTTTTAAATAGTTTTGGTACCTTAAAGGTAAAGACCAGTATTTGAAACGCCCCTATTTCAAAAAATGAAAGGGAAGCTCTCATTACCAATCATGTGAAAGAATATGTTTTGACTAATACATGATGATAAAAAATTTGCCGGGAAACCGCCTACTAATTCATATATTTGGTAAATTTGTTTCTCTCATGGTCTGTGAGAGATATAGGGTAGTCCCATATTCATCTTTCTGTGTATAGTGCTTGTAACTTTACGAAGAATGGGCCAAATTTCTTATCATTTTGATGATTCCAGAACCTTGCAGATGCTAGATGCTAGCTGATCAACCTTTTCTGATCGATTCCACAACGTTTCTTTCACAATGCAATCGCATGACCATAACTGGTCTTTACCTTTAAAGTGACTTGGTAACATTGCCTCAGATTCTGAAACAAAATCCTGGATCTAGATCATGCTGCAATCATTATTATAAACCTTTAGTTCAGTCAGGAATCCCATGACTTTTACGAACCGATCGCCTGTCTGATTATCAAGATATTTATGATTGGAAATAGAAATTTCATTTTTCGTTTTCCTAATAGCTGTTATAACACTACAGTCTATTGGGGAAAATGAGTCTGGTAAAACCGGTCACTCAAGGCACTTGAGGCACTTCATGATTATGTTGAAGCGCAATCTTTTTTAGGACTTCAACATTACACCATATCACAGACACTGGTAACACGTAGGGCCATGAATCTCAGATTTAACATTGTTAAACTATGCCTTTGGTATCAAAGTCCATGTTAAAGGCACAGCTCTCTACGTCTGGCCTCTACATGTACCAGGGTATCGTGGATTCTAGGTAGTTTGGGCAGGTGTGTCTCAAATATCATTTGGATTTAAGAGCTTGCCTGCTCTGATTTGAGGGATTCTAGAAGGGAATAGTTTTTATTGGCGTGTACCATTCATTTATGAATATTTACGCTTAATATTTATGACGCTTCCATTTATGGTAGTCTGGCATCCAGTCAACAAAATAGTGTTGAAAGTTTATGTCAGCTACAGTTTTCTAATGGTTAAAGTCCTTGAATATTCTGCATAACAATTTTGATTGATATCATAATAATATTAATAATAATACTCAGTTGCGCTTATTAGAATCACTAAGCGCTTCCAAACTTGGAGACTATTACCCCGGTGCTCTAGCATTTCAAAGAATTAATTCCTGCCAGGTACCTATTTACATCACCTGGGTTGAGTGTGGCAAATGTAGATCAATGTCTTGCCAAAGGACATTAGTGCCGTGGCGGGTCTCGAACCGCAGACCTTGTGATCGACAGTCCGATGACTTAACCACTCAACCACTCAACCACGGCACCTCTACCATGGCCTGAATCCTTTCAATTCTATTTCTTTGTGATAATTGAAGAAAGAAAGAAAGAGAGAAAAAAAGAAGGCAAGAGAATGTGATTTTTAATGTCTTTGTGTAATTTTGCTATTGTGAATGAATCTGAAAAGTTCAAACTTTTATTTGAAATTCTTCCTTTTATTACCTTCAGCAATCTTCATTCCTCTACAAGCTCTTCTACATTAGTCTTTTTGGAAGATTCACCATCAACAAATATGTCACATTCTGGTTGATTTCGGTAAGATTTGTTTTGATTTAAAGCGTATCTGCCATAGTTTACAGGAGGGATTAGACTGCCCTGCAAGGTCACTGGACAGGTGGTTATCTCATCAACTCAGCTCTCAGTTAACATAAGAAAAAGAGGATCATGGGGGACCAATGGTCACCGATTAGGCATGGTTTGTTATAAAGAGGGCGCAAGTAGCTACAAGTAGCGTAGTGGGCCTTTAACTCAATATTCAGCTTTTGACTAATTGAAAATATTGTACTCTGTTCAATTTTTCTCTTTATCTTGCTTGTCATGGCTCTTTGTATTGATTTTGTGTCATAGCCCCGTCCCCAAAGTTGTATCTTATAAAATGTACAAAGGCTCTATTGGGCATTGGTAAGAATTTTCTAGACATGGTAACTTGGTACAGTGTGACACCTAAAGCCAATAGCTGAGAGTGTTTTACACTGTTCCAACGTTTATTACTAAAGGTTTAAGACTACTTATACCTGCACTCAAAAAGTGCGGAAATTGTTTTATGAAGTGGTGGCATTTCCTTCGCTGCAAGCATATGTGTCATTGAGAATTAGGATTGAATATTAACAGACAAATGACCAACTTTTGATTTGGAATTACTTATGACTTGTCAGTATAAAAAGTTACATGTTATAAAAACAAAAAATGAAATAAATAAATCAAGCTTAGCCAGGACAATCTGAGTCAAACATTTGACTGGTATTTTTTTCACCATTTAAAGGTATAGACCAGTTTTGGAAACGCCCCTCTCTCAAAGTATAAAATGGAAGCTCTTATTACCAATCATGTGAAAGAATATGTTTTGACTAATACGTGATGATACAAATTTTGCCGAGACACCGCCTACTAATTGACATATTTGGTGAATCATATCGATTCTTGCCAGGATAGATATCGCGTAGTCCCATATACATCTTTCTGTGTACAGCGCTTTTAACTAGACCAAGACTGGGCCAAATTTCTTATCATTTTGATGATTCCAGAACCTTGCAGTACACACTAATACTTATATGCTAGATGATCAATCTTTTCTGATGGATTCCACAATGTTTCTTTCACAATGCAATCGCATAACCAGAACTGGTCTATACCTTTAATAACTTTGAGCAAATACCTAATACCGTAACATGAAATCACAGACTACAGGCCAATGTATATTTTCAGGAAGGAGTATGTATCCTGAGTGGCATTGCGTATACAGGCAAGGACAAGGCAGGAAAGGCTAAGTTCACATCATGCTCTGGGATTAAACCTCTAGCCTTTGAGACGGCTCTCAGTGTGAGGGACATGGTAGCTACATTCAACATCTCCACAAATACATGGCTGGCAAGGTAGGATATCAACCAATGCACACTTCAATAAGGCTCGTTCAGATAGGAAAGGGGGTAAATCAAGCTTCTTTTTTTTTGGGGGGGGGGGGGGTAAGGTTTTCAAATCTTCCCCATCATAAATTCTCATCCAATTAAAGGAATGGAAAACATGCAAGTCACAGTTTCGATGTCACAGTTTTGATGGAATTCAATCCTATCATCATCGTCCCTGCTCAAAATTTATTTTAGTTTGTACAGAAATCATGCTAATGGTCAGTATGGGTCAAGTGGCTAAAATGGCCACATGGCCAAAAGGGTGTAAATTAACTCAGTAAAAATGGTTTTCTCTGAAGTCCAGCATTTCTTTAATATCAAAACCCTCCCATCAATTGATTCTAAATGAAATTGTGATCTGAATTTGGATTCCACCAAATCAAAGTTGTATCTTGCTATTATTAATACCCCTATCTCTGTACTCTGCTCTTTAGATATGTCTACAAGAGGTTAAAGTTCCTAGGAAATCGATACGTCTCCCAGATAGTGTCACTCATGTTTCTAGCTGCATGGCATGGTCTGCACATTGGTTACTACAATAACTTCATTCTGGAGTTTTTCATTGTCATGTTTGATGTCCAGGTGGGTACATAGTCAAAAACAAATAACAGATCGTTATTAAATTACAAATACATGTAGTTGTCGGATCAGTGCTTTACCTCTTTTCAGAAAATCAGTTTTTGCTTTCGCCACATACATTTACTGTTAGAAGGTGTACTTTATTATATAGAAGTGTCTTGGTCGAGTGGATATGTCAGCGGACTGTTGATCGCAAGGTCAGTGGTACTAATAGACATTAATATACATTTGCTACACTCGACCCAGGTGAGGTAAATGGGTACCTGGTAGGATTATTCCTTGAAATGCACTTTGTGCTGATGATGGCTGCCGGAGCTAAAGCTAGGGTAATAATTTCCAAAATCTTGTTGGAAGTGCATAGGGACGTTATATAAAATGCGATATGCGCCATACAAGAACTGAATATTATTATTATTATATTTCAGTTGAAATGTATCATAGACAAATTTTCATTATGTGGTAGTCTACTTTAATAGTAGGTAGTCTACATGTGTAATTTTATGCATAGCTACACTGCAGTCTGCTGCAGCTGCCTGATGGCACAACCACCATACAAACGACTAACAGCTGTGTCCTCTGTGTAATATAACATCACGCAGAATATTCTGAATTAGTTGTTACATATACCGTGTTATATTGAATGCCAGAGCATGCAATGTTTGTATGATGTTTGATCTTCACAGGCTACAGAGCTTTTCACCAAGGTGCCCGTCCTCAACAAGCTTTCTCAGCATCGTCTTCTTGCTCTGGTCAAACTGCTGGTATTGAAATTCTTGATGCTTCTCTTCATGGGATATCCACTGGTCAGCTTTGTCCTACTCAGATGGTCCAAAATCCATGCGGTAAGGCTTCTACTTTTCGTCTTGTTTATCCCCCTATCGTGCTCTTAATTATTTTAATCTAATCTTGTTATACTTTGTACACCAAATTCTTTTAATAGAACTAATGCTTTATTTAAAAATTATAAAGTTGAAATCACCGATATCATAGGAAATCTTAGGTTAATCGAAGCTCAAATCATTTCTCTGAGAAGCACAACTTATATTTGCAAATACAAAATGACATATTTATGTGTTTGTCAGGATTGCTACCTCTATTTCCTATCTTTCTTATCTCATTACTGTGCCATAATTTCTTTCGAAATCAACCTGTCATTGTTTGAATTCAAGATAACATTTAAATTGACCTTACATCGCAATGTATTGTGATTGTTATAAGCTACTGAAATCATTATGTTTGATGGGCTGTGAACAGATTTGTCATAGATCTGTGGCAGTTGTTATTGACTATGAATTTTATGAAACATGACCCCAGACTAAAGTTACATGTTGAATATTTTCGATGATATTCATTTTAGTTACTTTCTTGATCTTTAAGCCTCTTATGTAGGAAAGAATTGTATCTTTCATATGATAAGGGCTCTACTCCAGCCTCCCCTTCTGACCATGCAGTTCTCCTTTCAGTATGTAGCTACACAATGCTTACTTAAGTTTTACCCAGCCCATGATGATGTACAGAAAAAAATGTAATTATATTACCACCTAGGGTATGTGAAATGTCCCAGGTTTATTCTATAATGAATGAAAATCATTGTTCCGGTCCCTGATGACATTATAGAGTGCGAGTCAAAAAAAAGTTTACACATAGAAAATTGCCAATTGTTTTAAAAATCATCTATGATCAGTAAATTAGTATACATCTTATGAAAGAGTGTTTTATCCCAAATCGTTTGATATCATTTGTGTGTGGTATATGTTCACCTTTGGATGAACAGGAGACATTGTTTAAGAGAGTGCAAAAATCGATTTGCCCCAGTAATGCTGAAGTGATGTTTGAATAAAACAATTGGGATTTTGGTATTAAATTCGGTCTTTGCAGATTGCAGCGAACACATACCACGCAAAAATGATACCAAACGATTGGGGATATAACGCTCTTTTAAAACATGTATGATAATCTTTTGATCATAGCTGACTTTTAAAATAAATGACAATTTTCTCAGTGTAATTTTTTTTGGACTCACACGGTAGTGTACTTTTGTTAATAATCCAACATGCCGTTTATCATTGTCAGGTGTACAAGGAAGTTTACTACATTGGGCATATCTTCTTTCTCCTGCTATGGCCTATTCTATCGTTTGGTGTCATCATGCCTAGGTTCAAAGCACATAGGAGGAAATCAAAGGAGTAAGTCATTTCCCTCTCCGCTCATAATTCAATCAATTTTCTTAACCGATGATGAGGTGTTTTGGTCCAGTGGATAAGTCTCCGGACTACATGTATGAACCACAAGGTAAGGGGTTCAAATCCCTGTTGCAGCATTTATGTCCTTCGGCAAGACATCTATCTTCATTTGCTACACTCCACTATGCCTGAATCATTAAAGGTTGTGTAGAACCCGGGGTTGACTTAAAAATATTGAGCTGGGATCGGGGCCCCAAACATTGAGTGTACGCAGGACAGGAATGGAGATTAATGTGCTGAACTAACAATGCAATAAAAAGATAGTTACTGCTTCCAAATCAATTTAAAGAGAATTCTTCTCTGGGATACAACATTTTTGAAAGAAAATGAAATTATTTAGAATTACAGCTACAAGTTGTTCTTGTGTTTGTTTATATTGTTAAGGAATGCAAGGGGAAAGTCAGGCTTTGTGATACCGTGCACGTGCAGAAACCCAAGTCAAGTCAACACAATGCGAGGGTACCGTACCTACCACATACAGGACCAAATTGTTGTTCAGACTATCGGACTCTTTTTTTTTGTTGGGGGGAGGGGTTAAGTTTTTTTTTTTTATTTGTTTTTTGAATTTTATCTTGTCTATGATTTTCATTGTTGATTACACAGTGATTCATAAATTGTTATACCTTACCATTTCTGTTAAGTCACATGGATTGGAAAAGAAGACCTTCGGGTTACACTTATTTACCGGTATTTTCTCTTTTTTCCCCCCTTTTCCCGGCATCCATGTGACTCTTTTCCAAGTGTACTCCTGTTTTGAATTCAATGATTTTCTTTCTTTTGCCAAATAAAAAATAATAATAATAATTCTTAAAAAATTACAATCTATGTCTACTACGCATTAATTGTCAAAATAACCACAAAATAACCACAAAATAATGGCTTAACCATGATATTATGAGGAAGGAAATAAATTTAAGCACTTCGGCTATTTTTAAATTTGCATAGCAGCATAGCTTCTAAAGCCCCCCTATGATAACAGCCGATCGCAGCGAAAATTTGCATGCATGTCAAGTGAAGTGTATAGATTGCTATGGTAAGTAATTTTTTTTTGAAAATATCACTTATTTGCATATTCATGTTAATTTATGTATAATTTCTATTTTTTTTTACCTATAAATCATATGTTCTTCATATTTAAACATTAGTTTTCACTACATATATTCTTTAGACCATTTGGGATAATAATACCAAAAAGAAAATTGGGAGAGCCAAGTTATTCTTTATGTTATCTATTGTTTTGATAATTTCTTATGTATTTCTTTGTTTTTTTAACTTATGGAGTTCATTGTTTTTGTTGTTTTATTTCATAAATAACTATAATTCAACTATTTTGAACTTTGCCAAAACAAAGTATTGTTGAATTATCAGTATAGAATTTTGTGTTTGAATACATTCAGTTGAGTTGAGTTAATAATTACATTTGTTGTTTTGTTAATTTCTATCTCCAATTTTCTACTCTTCTACTTTCAGGCAAGAAGACGCAAAAACAAAATGATGATTGATCCCCAGGGATCCTCAAGATGTACTTCCAACTTCCATTTTGATCCTTTTCAGCCAAGGCCAGAATAATTATAAACTTCAAGAATTACAACAAGGGAGCTCATTTTATGTTTTATGATTTGCAACATATCAAGTTGTGATATACATGTATATATAGGTCTTTGAAGGATAATAGAATAGACCAAGATTATTCATTATGATATATATATATAGCAACAACAGTATTCTAAAAGACACTGCGTAGTTCAAAACTCTGTTTTACTTTCATGTTGAAGCTTTTATTTCCAGAACTTGGCAGTCTTTGATTAAATACAGGCCTTTTGTTGGAACACCTTCAAATGATTACGAAAAAGTGTTGATACTCCAGAAAATGTGAGTAATTTAGCATTGGTGTAGTTGTACACTTGTCATATGTTTAGGTGTCCCAATAGTGAAAATACTTCCTTTACCCCTACACATAGATAACAGTCATTGTCAATGTAGCTGAGTACATATTGATCTTGCTGTGGGAATGCCATGATTATTCATGATGCAAATTTTCAGAATATGGTGGTAATATCTTCCCTCCAAAATGTGGTTAATTATATGCATCTTTTTCTTACATGTATATATTTCATATGCTCTTGAAATGGATATAGAAACTTGGCATGAAGTGATCTATTATCATAAAATGGTTTCAAAAATGAATGTAGACAATTTAAAAGATATTATAATATGGGTTCTGGAATGTACGCAATGCATTTGCTCAAATGACAACACATGACCATGCATCAGTCTTTCCTAGGACGCCTACCATGTAAAGAAGAGTTCACATTCAAAAGTGATAACTCACGGCTAGAAGTGATAATGCATGGTTAAGATGCTGTATGCGTATATTTTGTGCATTCAAAGTAGAATGCATGCAGTTTCAAATGCTCATTAAGAGAATGCTCATTGGTTACATTATAGCAAAGACATTGAATGAGTTCATGTTCGTATGTTGTGACCCAATTTACAAAACGTGTTTTGTAGCTAGTGCATTAGTGAAATGCACTTAGTTGAATCACTTAAGACAGAAAATGAACTCCGCAATCCTTGTAAATTTTTCCTATTGTGACCATGTGTGTTGAGTACAATTTGTACGCTCTTAAGAATCAATTATTTGGTTTGTTTATATTGTCGTTAAAAAAAGAAACATGCAGTATGTCTTTGTTTTGTTTTCCTTTCTTCCCATAATTGTTTTTTTTTAAATATTTTTATTTCATGGCATTACAATTGTTAAGAGTAGCTTTAAGACATTGTTAATGGTCTGTGTTGACTGGTTTATTCTTAAAACTGTTACAGAAATGCCATTTTATGGATATGCATTCATATGTGTACATTTATATGATATGACGATTGCCTCACAGTATACTGATGTTCAATGGACTGTTTTGAAAATGCAATATGAAGTAATGTGTGTGTTATATGTTGTATTTTAAATAGGTTATGAAAGGTGTAAAAATATTTCTCTAAGTTCATGTTGCCTTTACTTTATCTGTTGTTCTGAAGCGTGTTGACAACTTGATCTCATGTCACTTCTAGATACATGTATAGAGTGGTGAAGTGTGACGTCATTGGCTGAGATATGACCATCTGAATAAATAGTTATTTTGCTCTGGTTCATAACATTAGGATGATGTCACAGCTTCGGTACTCTATTACTCTGAAAGATGTCAGCATGTTATACTCAACGTATCTCTTCTCTCATATCTTGGTCATGGAATGATGTAAGATTTGGCATAAAAGTACAAATATAGGTACACCAAGAATTATCATTTCAGCATCCTGCTTAAATAAGGAGAATATAGCTTATTTCATCTCATGTCCGATTCATTTTAGAAAAATGTGAAACCCATGTTTCAAACTTTATGAATAGGCTATCAAGGAAAGGCATGAATGAAGCTAAAGATGGACACAACATTTTCTGTTAAATGATGGGGTTCAGGAGGTTGAGATTCCCCCAAAATGTTGATTTTCATTGACCATTTTCTCCCTATTCTCTATGTAAGTTTGCTAGCAAAAATGAAAACAAATATATGAATACATACAGTATCTCGCAAATGTTTCCAAGAGACGTACTGATTTACCATTTTCATGTATCAAAAAATTGTTCTTGTCTTCAACATTATAAAGCTGAAAATATAAGCGTGTGTTGCGGTTAATATTAACTGCTCTCAGGTTACATACATGTACGTCTTCTTTTTGTATTTAAAACAAATATTCATGCCAAAAAATACATGCCACTAGTATGATCTTTCTGTGCCTTTATTAGGGTTACCCAACATTATGATGGTAGGGGCTATATATCACTTCAATGTTTCCATGTGAAAAATGCCAGCAGTGGTTTCCAAAATTGAATGTATGATTTCAATGTTTTCCTGGAAGAAAGTCTACACATCAAATCCTTCACCTTTGCTGTGCTTTTAATGGATTGTGAGAATGTTCAATTTGTGTGAAGTGAAGGTTTTTCAAATGCACAAAGGATATTTGTTATTTTCAAAAGGATTTTTTTTGTTTAACTTTGAATTATTTTCCACTGTCATTACTTTGATAGTATAAACTTGAATGATGTAGTGTGAAAAAATCAATTTTGGAAGAATTTACAATAGCATTTAATTTGAACATTCAAATATGTAAAATGTTAATGACCAAGGATCTGAATATTAATAGTAAAACAGAATTTCATGCTTCCTTAGAAGAGAAAAAGCTAAATCTGACCTGAATCTTAAGGATGTCAGACTAGTAGTGTGACTGTCTGCAATTAAAGAGAAGGTTGAGTTCTGGGAAGAGGTGAAAAATAATTTGTGAGCATTACTCAGTCTAAATATACAAGTGTGGAAGAACATCAGTTAAGACATGTTCCCTGAAAAGCATGGCTCTTCAAATGCCTTCATATTCTAAATATGCATGTAACATCGTAAAAATCGGGGGGGGGGGGGGGGCCTGCTTTTTACGCCACGTGTTCGTGTAGTCCCATATACATCTTTCTGTGCAAGTGTTTGTAACTTTACCAAGACTTGGCCAAATTTCTTATCATTTTGATGATTCCAGAACCTTGCAATACACATTATATGCTAGATGATCAACCTTTTCTGGTCGGTTCCACACCATTTCTTTTACAATGCAATCGCATGACCAGAACTCAACTTCATCTTTAAGAGCCGATTCATTTTTATTCTGACTAGAAGGGTTAAATGCCTGCAAATTCTGGTTCTTAGTATAATTAAAATTATTTAGATCTTAAATTAGGACGCTGAAGTTTGTTCCCATATCTAATATAATTGCTGTTTATTCGAAAATGGGATCGCAGAAAAATGGTCAAACTCAGGTTCTGTAATTTGTATATATGTTGAAAAGAATTTCTTTTATATGAGATACATATACCCTTGTGATGAAATGCTGTTATTTTGTGTGTTTTTATGCACCATTGTAGTGATTTTGATGAACTAACACGAATGAGTGTGTACTTAAACTGTATTTCTGGATTTATTAACAAGATGCAATATGTAGAGCACTATGTATTAAGTTGTGCCCTTTGTTTCAACGCTTACTGCCTAGAAATCTGCATAGATGACAGTACTGTACATTGAATCTACACATTCACTTTTAATTCAACCGTTCCCTTTAAAAAAATGCTTTACAGTGCTCTGCCGCCAACTGCCTTTATACTTAATTTGGTATTCTTAGACGGCTCTTACCAAGATTTTCATGGAGATTCATCTGAGAAGCCTGATGACTGAATATTTCTGAAAGATGTCTCTTATTAAAAAGGTAGTGCTTGAGGTGAATAAAATTTCTTGTTTTAATGAACTGTACTGTATTTACCATTGACATGTGTAAAGAATTCTTGCAAAGTGCTATAAATAAGAGATTTTTTTTCCTTTAACACTGATGTTGAAATGTAGATAGCGATCTTTATCAGTATCACTCATAATCTGTCCAGAGGAAAGTATGCAACCCTCTTATCTTTGTCAAGTGATTCAACCTAAAACTGTTTCATTGCCATCTATCCATATCCTACTCATTCTGTATGAATGGCTTTAGCAAGAAATAATTTATAATGTACAAAACATCTTGGTCCAACGTTGTTGTTAACGTTGCAGTTATTCGAATTAGAATGCCGAAGAGTCCAGAATTTGTTTCCAAATTTTAAAACAAATGTCCTTGTATCTTAATCAAGCTATTTTATTATCAGAATTTTCAGATTTACAAGTTATTCGGCAATAGTCCACCAAAAGTACTATATAAACCAATTGAATTACATGTATAACTGTAATTTTAGAGTTCCATAAGGTTATTCCTAACCGTTGGCTTCGAGCATGTTGACAAAAGGCTATGAGATGAATTTTGACAATGACGATACATGTACTTCACATTGTCGCTTCCAGTGAATTGCTTGTTCTGCTGAGATGATTTTGAAATGGTGTTAATTCTGCAGTTTATGCGGAATGAATATGTGATAACTTTGTTTATATCTTGATTCACAGTTTGATGTTGAGAATAGTTTCAATTTTAAGCGTTTGAGGATTTTGTATGGATAGATTTTTTTGCGCCGATTAGAAAAGTGATACCAATGAATCCTTTTCAATTTTCGACTGAGATGAATAAAGAAGTAATAAATATAATGATGTTTAAGTTTAATTTCTTGTTCTTGGAGGTAGGTGTGTGTGTGTGTGTGAGTGCATGGGTGGTTGGGTACAGAGGACACACATAAGAACTGTTACCTTCACTTTGACGACCACTTGCATAACGAGGACGTCCTTGGTTCAGGAACCTGGTAAATTGTTCAAAATATCAGGCCTGTTATTTAGGGGTTCGTTAAATTGGGGGCTAAAAATATGATTTAAAAAAAAAAAAATCCCTAAAGAAAATTTTCAATTATACATTTACCCTAATATACTTTTTGCAAATATGTTTTTTTTTACAACCCCTGTATGAAATATATCTATTCCTTTATCAGTAACTAAGAAAACGAAAGTTTATGACATTTTTTGTGAAATAGAGCCCCCTCATCTACAAATGGTCTGGTTCAATTTACCCAACACTTCCGTTTTCGTTATGTGCAAGGTCGTGTAACGCAACCATCTGACCAGAGGCGATGGCCTCAATGATTTGAAGTACAATAGTACAAGCAGTAGTCGTAGTAGTAGAGTTTTCAGAGGGCAGCGTTTTTTCCCCATTTTTGTGCAGCTAATATTTCATTCGACACAATCCCTCCGGGAGGCAGGCAACAGGGTCTTCAATCTTCAAAATAACTGTTTAGGGTAGTGTTTCAACCACACTTTCATTGCCGTGGTCTACCATTGACTGACGTCTACTCTCCGCTGGTCGCTGACTGCGTTGATTGGTGTTCATCCACTGAATTGAACAATAGCTGCTTTTTAGACCGGTACTCACTATGAACATGACGGACAAAGATAGAGGACAAAATATACAGTTCCTCATTCTACCCTCAACAATTGCTGTGGTGGACAAAGGAACATCTCTTCACTGCTATTATGTAAAAATGTGTAGAACAGGTGTCACATTTCTTTGTCCGTCAGGTTCATAGTGACTAGATTTATACAAACATTCACCGCTCATCAAACATTACTCAACAAAATGCATGTTTAAATCATTTTTATTTTAGTGAGGGTTTATTAGAAACTAATTCAGTTCATTTCAGGTTCAATTGGATACATCTTTTTTTGCCTAGCCATAAATTAGAAAATATAATTACCCCATAGGAAAGTGAAAAGTATGCCGCAGACCTGCGGCAGACCTGCCGCAGATCTGCCGCAGACCTGCCGCAGACTAAAAGTCTGCGGCAAAGAGTATGCCGAAGTATGCGGCAGAAAGAAATTTTGCTGCAGACTTGCCGCATACCAGTATGCCACAGGAACAGTCTGCGGCAGATCTGCGGCAGAATGAAATTTTGCTGCAGACTTGCCGCATACTAGTATGCCACAGGAACAGTCTGCGGCAGATCTGCGGCAGGATGAAACTTTGCTCCAGACTTGCCGCATACTAGTATGCCACAGGAACAGTCTGCGGCAGATCTGCGGCAGGATGAAATTTTGCTGCAGACTTGCCGCATACTAGTATGCCACAGGAACAGTCTGCGGCAGATCTGCGGCAGGATGAAATTTTGCTGCAGACTTGCCGCATACTAGTATGCCACAGGAACAGTCTGCGGCAGATCTGCGGCAGGATGAAACTTTGCTCCAGACTTGCCGCATACTAGTATGCCACAGGAACAGTCTGCGGCAGATCTGCGGCAGGATGAAATTTTGCTGCAGACTTGCCGCATACTAGTATGCCACAGGAACAGTCTGCGGCAGATCTGCGGCAGGATAAACTTTGCTCCAGACTTGCCGCATACTAGTATGCCACAGGAACAGTCTGCGGCAGATCTGCGGCAGGGCGAAACTTTGCTCCAGACTTGCAGCATACCAGTACGCCACAGGAACAGTCTGCGGCAGGTCTGCCCCAGGAAATCCCATTAAAGTCTAATAGGGCCAATTGAAACCAATCATCTCATGCATATTCATTATTACTTTACACGTGTGACAGAAAAATACATTTATCATGATTTGTTAAGCAAATTAAGACAATGCACATCATTTTTGTGATTTCTATTTTCCTTTTGTCATTATTAACCAATAGATTATTTTGTCTGATCATGTTACAATTACATTCACGTTTAAGCAATAGATATATTGATTACTAACCAAGAAACTATGATTACTAACCAAGAAACAATATACATATTTAGTATATATATGTGTAAGAGCCTCTCTTTAAATGTTACTCTTGAATACACTTCAAATGATCAATGTGATGAAGTTAATACAATTGAGAATAGAATATACCTAATTGGTAATATCGATATATGTTGGTATTACCTAATTGGTAATATCGATATTGCCAATATCGATTATGAAGTATCAATCAGTTTATCACTGGTTCTTCTACATGCATACTTTATTGCCACGTACTGGATATGAAAGAGTATGCGGCAGGTCTGCAGCAGGTCTATATGAGATATGAATATTTATGACGAAGAGTCTGTGGCAGGTCTGCAGCAAGTCTGCGGCAGGTCTGCCGCAGACTCTTCATCATACTGAAAGAGTATGCGGCAAGTCTGCGGCAGACCTGCCGCAGACTCTTCATCATACTGAAAGAGTATGCGGCAAGTCTGCGGCAGACCTGCCGCAGACTCTTCATCATACTGAAAGAGTATGCGGCAGGTCTGCAGCAAGTCTGCGGCAGACCTGCGGCAGACCTGCCGCAGACTCTTCATCATACTGAAAGAGTATGCGGCAAGTCTGCGGCAGACCTGCCGCAGACTCTTCATCATACTGAAAGAGTATGCGGCAAGTCTGCGGCAAGTCTGCGGCAGACCTGCCGCAGACTCTTCATCATACTGAAAGAGTATGCGGCAAGTCTGCGGCAAGTCTGCGGCAAAACTAATTTGCATGTGAAAAAGATGACTGTCTGCGGCAGGTCTGCTGCAGATCTGCGGCAAGTCTGCCGCAGGAGTATGCGGCAGGCTCATTTCTTTCCTATGGGACTTCATAAGGACAATCTATTGATGAACAATATATGCCTACTATACTAACCTAAAAGTACTTTATAATACGGGTTCAAGAACGTAGCCAATGGCAACCTGTATTCAAGTCGCATGTTTATGCCTTCATTTTTCCATAGCGCCTTGCTTTGCAAGCTGTGTGCAGCACTATGCAAGCTCTGTGCAGCCCTCTTGATGCGTTCAAATTTCAGACGCAATGCTCAGTAAATAATTTAATATGGCACGTATCGTCTATATTAATTGTATGAAATCTAAATGTTCACCATTATATCCTTTTATGTTTTTAAATTATTTGAACATTAAAACCACACAAAGTTATTTTGTCATTACCAGAGCATTATGTTAAAGTAGGGCACACAAAACCAATGTCCAAGTCTTTGACTATTTAAAACTGTATTCACTTTTTACACATTGTTATAGACATATTAAAACAATATTACAAAGTCATCAGCCATCCAGTTACTTTTAAGAAACCACAAGATATTGACAATAAAATTAAATGGTTGTCTGTGCACTATTTTGCTTACCATGAAGATACATCGATTGTCCTATTCGCCTAAATCCCTTCATACAAGTAATGCAAAGTAATATAGTGGCACATTAAAAAAAAAAAACAGACAAAAAGTGAAAAACAAAAATCAATGACATATAAACCCATCACAAGCATGCAGTATAACAGATTTTCAAAATGTGTACAGTAAGAAGCAGTGACAATAGTGAAGGTCAAAAGAACAAGATCGATTTCATGTAACTCTCCAACAATTCTCTCACAATGTATACATCTTTCTGTGCAAGTGTTTGTAACTTTACCAAGACTTGGCCAAATTTCTTATCATTTTGATGATTCCAGAACCTTGCAATACACATTATATGCTAGATGATCAACCTTTTCTGGTCGGTTCCACACCATTTCTTTTACAATGCAATCGCATGACCAGAACTCAACTTCATCTTTAAGAGCCGATTCATTTTTATTCTGACTAGAAGGGTTAAATGCCTGCAAATTCTGGTTCTTAGTATAATTAAAATTATTTAGATCTTAAATTAGGACGCTGAAGTTTGTTCCCATATCTAATATAATTGCTGTTTATTCGAAAATGGGATCGCAGAAAAATGGTCAAACTCAGGTTCTGTAATTTGTATATATGTTGAAAAGAATTTCTTTTATATGAGATACATATACCCTTGTGATGAAATGCTGTTATTTTGTGTGTTTTTATGCACCATTGTAGTGATTTTGATGAACTAACACGAATGAGTGTGTACTTAAACTGTATTTCTGGATTTATTAACAAGATGCAATATGTAGAGCACTATGTATTAAGTTGTGCCCTTTGTTTCAACGCTTACTGCCTAGAAATCTGCATAGATGACAGTACTGTACATTGAATCTACACATTCACTTTTAATTCAACCGTTCCCTTTAAAAAAATGCTTTACAGTGCTCTGCCGCCAACTGCCTTTATACTTAATTTGGTATTCTTAGACGGCTCTTACCAAGATTTTCATGGAGATTCATCTGAGAAGCCTGATGACTGAATATTTCTGAAAGATGTCTCTTATTAAAAAGGTAGTGCTTGAGGTGAATAAAATTTCTTGTTTTAATGAACTGTACTGTATTTACCATTGACATGTGTAAAGAATTCTTGCAAAGTGCTATAAATAAGAGATTTTTTTTCCTTTAACACTGATGTTGAAATGTAGATAGCGATCTTTATCAGTATCACTCATAATCTGTCCAGAGGAAAGTATGCAACCCTCTTATCTTTGTCAAGTGATTCAACCTAAAACTGTTTCATTGCCATCTATCCATATCCTACTCATTCTGTATGAATGGCTTTAGCAAGAAATAATTTATAATGTACAAAACATCTTGGTCCAACGTTGTTGTTAACGTTGCAGTTATTCGAATTAGAATGCCGAAGAGTCCAGAATTTGTTTCCAAATTTTAAAACAAATGTCCTTGTATCTTAATCAAGCTATTTTATTATCAGAATTTTCAGATTTACAAGTTATTCGGCAATAGTCCACCAAAAGTACTATATAAACCAATTGAATTACATGTATAACTGTAATTTTAGAGTTCCATAAGGTTATTCCTAACCGTTGGCTTCGAGCATGTTGACAAAAGGCTATGAGATGAATTTTGACAATGACGATACATGTACTTCACATTGTCGCTTCCAGTGAATTGCTTGTTCTGCTGAGATGATTTTGAAATGGTGTTAATTCTGCAGTTTATGCGGAATGAATATGTGATAACTTTGTTTATATCTTGATTCACAGTTTGATGTTGAGAATAGTTTCAATTTTAAGCGTTTGAGGATTTTGTATGGATAGATTTTTTTGCGCCGATTAGAAAAGTGATACCAATGAATCCTTTTCAATTTTCGACTGAGATGAATAAAGAAGTAATAAATATAATGATGTTTAAGTTTAATTTCTTGTTCTTGGAGGTAGGTGTGTGTGTGTGTGTGAGTGCATGGGTGGTTGGGTACAGAGGACACACATAAGAACTGTTACCTTCACTTTGACGACCACTCGCATAACGAGGACGTCCTTGGTTCAGGAACCTGGTAAATTGTTCAAAATATCAGGCCTGTTATTTAGGGGTTCGTTAAATTGGGGGCTAAAAATATGATTTAAAAAAAAAAAAATCCCTAAAGAAAATTTTCAATTATACATTTACCCTAATATACTTTTTGCAAATATGTTTTTTTTTACAACCCCTGTATGAAATATATCTATTCCTTTATCAGTAACTAAGAAAACGAAAGTTTATGACATTTTTTGTGAAATAGAGCCCCCTCATCTACAAATGGTCTGGTTCAATTTACCCAACACTTCCGTTTTCGTTATGTGCAAGGTCGTGTAACGCAACCATCTGACCAGAGGCGATGGCCTCAATGATTTGAAGTACAATAGTACAAGCAGTAGTCGTAGTAGTAGAGTTTTCAGAGGGCAGCGTTTTTTCCCCATTTTTGTGCAGCTAATATTTCATTCGACACAATCCCTCCGGGAGGCAGGCAACAGGGTCTTCAATCTTCAAAATAACTGTTTAGGGTAGTGTTTCAACCACACTTTCATTGCCGTGGTCTACCATTGACTGACGTCTACTCTCCGCTGGTCGCTGACTGCGTTGATTGGTGTTCATCCACTGAATTGAACAATAGCTGCTTTTTAGACCGGTACTCACTATGAACATGACGGACAAAGATAGAGGACAAAATATACAGTTCCTCATTCTACCCTCAACAATTGCTGTGGTGGACAAAGGAACATCTCTTCACTGCTATTATGTAAAAATGTGTAGAACAGGTGTCACATTTCTTTGTCCGTCAGGTTCATAGTGACTAGATTTATACAAACATTCACCGCTCATCAAACATTACTCAACAAAATGCATGTTTAAATCATTTTTATTTTAGTGAGGGTTTATTAGAAACTAATTCAGTTCATTTCAGGTTCAATTGGATACATCTTTTTTTGCCTAGCCATAAATTAGAAAATATAATTACTTCATAAGGACAATCTATTGATGAACAATATATGCCTACTATACTAACCTAAAAGTACTTTATAATACGGGTTCAAGAACGTAGCCAATGGCAACCTGTATTCAAGTCGCATGTTTATGCCTTCATTTTTCCATAGCGCCTTGCTTTGCAAGCTGTGTGCAGCACTATGCAAGCTCTGTGCAGCCCTCTTGATGCGTTCAAATTTCAGACGCAATGCTCAGTAAATAATTTAATATGGCACGTATCGTCTATATTAATTGTATGAAATCTAAATGTTCACCATTATATCCTTTTATGTTTTTAAATTATTTGAACATTAAAACCACACAAAGTTATTTTGTCATTACCAGAGCATTATGTTAAAGTAGGGCACACAAAACCAATGTCCAAGTCTTTGACTATTTAAAACTGTATTCACTTTTTACACATTGTTATAGACATATTAAAACAATATTACAAAGTCATCAGCCATCCAGTTACTTTTAAGAAACCACAAGATATTGACAATAAAATTAAATGGTTGTCTGTGCACTATTTTGCTTACCATGAAGATACATCGATTGTCCTATTCGCCTAAATCCCTTCATACAAGTAATGCAAAGTAATATAGTGGCACATTAAAAAAAAAAAACAGACAAAAAGTGAAAAACAAAAATCAATGACATATAAACCCATCACAAGCATGCAGTATAACAGATTTTCAAAATGTGTACAGTAAGAAGCAGTGACAATAGTGAAGGTCAAAAGAACAAGATCGATTTCATGTAACTCTCCAACAATTCTCTCACAATGAAACAATAATTGATGGGAGCCTACTTTAAGAATTATTTAAAAACTGTGTGAATAAAACATAATCAAAAATCTAAATTTTTCATGTGAATTGTATACAAATGTCCATAAATCCTTATAATAGGCCTACATAATTGAAATGGCTGTAAAATATTCTGTAAAAGCTTTAACCAATGACATAAATAAAATGAAAATTATACTATTAAAGAAAAAAAAAAAAATTATTAATTAGTAATCAATTAATTTAATTATCTTTTGTTTTTCGGGGGGGGGGGGGGGGCATCAGAAATTTACCTTAACTATGATACAAAAAGAGCTAAAAATTGTGAAATTCTGTTTAAAAAAAAAAATATGTACACGAGGCCAGGTTTAGGTACATGTATACAAAATGAAACAAGAAAAATACCCCCCCCCCCCGCCCTCAATTTAATATATAGTGTGGAAGAACCATTTCTATGCAGTCAAAACTGAGTACTTGGCGTGCACTGAACTGAACTTGATTTCAGGGTGACCGCTCATTATGTATGCACACACCAATCGTATATGAATACATGTATGTACTGAATGTATAGATACCTACATGTATTAGCAGATGCTGGGGATTGACTGCATGCCGATGGTGCAGAAATTGCATTCATTATGATGCCCATAAATCAGAGCCAAATTTTGAAATTGTGTAAATAATATTTGCCCAAGGGGAAAATTTGTACCAGATGACACCAACCAGCTGGAAAGCTTTAAAATGAAATTAGTTTCATATTGATTGAGAAAACATTTGCATTAATTACATGTAAGTAATGGCATAGGAATAAAAAGTCTTTCTTCTACAAAAAATTATATTTTCAAACAAAATGTAATTGTTGTAATATTGATCTTCTTATTTTAATCCTTATTTGTAGAGCTGGCAACCTTGTGCGACCAAAAAAAGGAACCATGATGGCATAAAAAAAGAATTCATTAAAACGAAACTTGCAACCACGCGCAACACAATTTCAAAGCAGAAATGTCCATTCCTCATGCTGTTTTTTCCATACAAGCAGGTATTTTTTCCCGGTTATTTTGGTATTATCGGCATTTCATTCTTTTTGAGAATATTGTTCTCTTCAAGTATGTTTTCAAGTACTGGTATGTTTTAAACGTAGTTTTCGATTGAATTTGTGATCAAATAAACATTTTAGGGCATTTGTTTAACGTGCGGTATATTTAATTTAAAAAAAAATTATTTTTAAATTTAAAAAAAAAAAGTATTTTATGAAGAAAAAACATACTACCGTAACTTGGAGGAAAAAACAAGAGTAATTCCAGCAAAAACGGAATGGTTGGCAGCTCTGTGTTTGACATTGATATGTGATATCCAGAGCTACAGGTAATACAATTATTTTCCCGCTGAGAAGCTTATTGCTAACTTAGCCTTGCTCTTCTTTGATCCTCTTGATGGTGTCACACCCTTAGAAGCTGGGCTCTGTTGAGTATTATCAGTCCCACCTACTGCAGTATGTGTGGTGTAATCGGGCTGAGGGTAACCTTTATCAAGCTGTGAGGAACCTTGTCCTCCTGGTTGAGTAACATCCGATAGTCTGCTGCGCTCTGATGCAGTGTCCGCCTCATATCGAAGCTCATTATGAAGCGGTAGATGATGGGAGTGACTCGGTTCTGTTCTTGGTTGATCAAAGACTGGGTCGAAAGCTGGACCTTGTGGATTGCCGGATACTCCCTGGGTTCCATCAGAGCTACTAAGTCGAGGAAGGGATGTCGCAAGATGCTTGGTTACCTAATAATCATACACAATGAATAACCATGGTTTAACAAAGAAGGTATAACACACAAATATACGGTATGGAAAAGATCTTGATGGCCTTTTTCATGCATATTAATAAGGTGAATTTGCATTATGAATGAATTGAAAATTAAATCAATTTGTTTGAAAATAACTCCAAAACTAAAATATACACCATATCAAAATTGCTTTCTTTTGATTTAATATAAATCCATGTCATGTTCAAACAATATGGATCTTTCTGGGATTGTTAGGTAGTGGAAGAAATGTGTCGTCTAAATGAAAATCATCAAAAGTTGTAATCATTATAGTTATAGGCTCTCCATTTTCCCTGAATCAATGATGTCTCTGTGATGTAGTGGCGGACGACTTTCCCATTTATTCAAACACACAAGATGACTTTAAAGCTGCAACAAGGTTGTTTGAAATCTTAACAATGTTTCTGAAGCTACTGTGGTTAAAAAGAGCGGCTTAGCAAACAAGACAGATAAGGTGGATAACCCCAAACCTCTGGCCAAGACATACAGAGGTATAAAAACAACCTTTGCTGACACTTAGGCATAAATATTCTAAAATAGAATGAAACGCCGATAATACCAAACAACAACAACAACAACATTGATGTGGTCATTTTATATCAAAACACAGCCTAGCCCAATTTCTACTGCCCATTGACACAAACAAATATATATGAAAAGTTTACCTGAAGAGGAACGAAGATGCCTGGAACAGGAGGCTCTTGATGTTGAGGGTGTAACATCATTGGTGGGGGCATCCCTGCGGAACGTAACGGAGGCATAAAAAAGTCATTCTGATGATTTCCCTTTTTCATGGAACCATTTTCACTATTAGATGTTTTAAATGTGAGAAGTTCTATAGCTAAATTCCTATCCAAAATATCAGAAAATGGGTATCAATCTAAAATAAAATCCTAGGTAGAAAATTTTTTCAGGGTAGAGCTGAAAAACTGAATCCCTACGTTAGTGAAAATCATTTTTTTTAAGTTTCAGACTCAGCAAAAATTAAAGGGATTTAGGGGGGCTTTGCTAAATTTAGAAAATGAGTTTGGAGTTGACCAAATGATGTAAAATCCTATTGCTAAGAGTATAATTAATAACATTTGAAAGTAAGATAATGGAACTCATTGACAGTAAACAACTAAATTATCCATACCTCTTGTAAATTTTGACTTTTTTTCTTTCTGTATTTCTTCTTCAAAATAACCCAAGATTGATAGCTTAAACAAAGGCCTTTGTTGAATACACTTCCTTTTATAGTTGTTCAACCTAAATAGCCTTCTCTCCCCCTTTCTACATTCAATTCTTATCAGTTGAAATTGCTTTCCCTGAAGAGAATATACCACTGTTTACAGAATCCAACCAAATAGTTAGCTCACCTTGTTGGTAGCCTTGTGGTATTCCCTGTGGCATTCTTTGAGGCATACCTTGTGACATTCCTTGGGGCATTCCTTGAGATATTCCTTGTGTCATTCCTTGAGGCATTCTTTGAGGCATACCTTGTGACATTCCTTGGGGCATTCCTTGAGATATTCCTTGTGGCATTCCTTGAGGAATTCTTTGAGGCATTCCTTGTGGTCTGTAGTTGGACTGCATGTTTGGAGGGTGCATCATACCAGGGGTTCCCTGTATTGGAGCTCCCATGAACTGATGAACAGGAGCTATACGCTAAATAAACAAATGACAGCATGCATTTTTATATAGATAGTTTGCTCTACTCATATGTGTTTATTAAAGTAGACATTCATTCCAAATTACAAGTATGGCCAATCATTGATAACTATCAAAATTAGGAAGCTTGAAGTTGACAATAGTATAAGTTTTAGGTCAAATGGTGTATCAGTCAAACTAAAAATGAACACAAATAGAATCGTCTCTCAGGATCAGGGATATACGAGCACTTCACTAGAACACTCAACAATGTTTTGATAACTAAACATCAGTGACCAATCCTGAGAAAGCAGAAGAAATCCTAAAACTAATGAACTTATTTCCAGTACAATATTTCTCAATTATAATTTGTTTTAAAAGGGAAGTGATGCTGATGCTGATAATTCTGGGTATTGTCAATATATCAAAAATACATGTCTGTTATGTTCAGGCCCGTTTTCAAATGCACTCTGGGATAGTTTGGAGACAATGTCGCTTCTGGGGGGTGTTTCACAAAGATCCTAAGTTGAACTTATCTCTAAGTTGGACTTAAAAAGTATGGACAGCCATTGGAGCCTTAAAATGAAATATATTCAAAAGCAAAAATTGGAGGATTTCAGACTTTTCATCAATTCCACATCAAGAACATGAAATCTCCCATGATAATAGAAAATATGAATGATTTGAATCAACATTTTATGCCTTCTAAAAAAAAAATTACAAAATATTTTCAAGTATGCTAATGGCTTCCCATAAATTTTAAGTCCAACTTAGAGATAAGTTCAACTTAGGATCTTTGTGAAACACCCCCCTGGTCTATTTCGTGTGGGTGTGCAGTGCATGCCAGCTTTGATCGTGTGTGTGTGCAGTGCATGCCAGCTTTGATCGTGTGTGTGTGTGTACTTTATTTTCAGACCATAGTGAGTGACTTATGGTTTTCGAGAATGGATCATTACGAAAAAGGTATATGTGCAATTAGTCCCTGGACTACTACTTTGTAGTTCTAATAAACCACATTAAATTAAATTGAATCAAGTTGAGTGTGTTCAACTTACCAGCTTGTGGAGGGCTACCCCAGCAGCTCTATCTATAGCCATGGATTCAGTCCGGCAAGGTGGACCTTCGTAACTGATACCTACCCCAAGAGTACATACAGCTTTAACCATGCCCTAAAAAACAATAGGAGAAGCAAACACACTTCATTACAACATAGGTATCTAAATTGTGTTTCAAAATCTATGAAACAAATTCAGAAGTTTACATATCAAAATATAAGATGTATGCAGGACTGCATACCAACAGGAACACACTTGTATTTCGATGTCATGGGCCCTTTAAGACAGCTAGATTATTATAATGTACAAAGTACTAACAGAACATTTTCTACCACGTAATTGGCATTATATATTTCTTTCTTTTTTAGGGGGGGGGGGATTTTTATTTATTATTCACTTACAACTTTGCTAGCTTGGTGACTCCCTAAGGGATTCAGCACTTTAAAGTTACATGTAAAATGCTATTAGTTGTAATAAGTGGATCCTTGCCTGTTGAAGTGGTTGAAAGGTGAATTTTGGTGGAGCGAGATTCTTTGCCAAGCACCAGCCTTTGAGCATCTCTGCTGCAGGTGGAATGTTCATCATTGGCGGTCCCTGGTAGTAGTCCTGACCTTGTGGTGGCATAAACGGGTGCCCCTGGGCCATCATGGGTGGAACGGAGCCCCCATGGGGGGTACCTCTCTGGTACTCAGCTGGGCCACCAAGGGTACCTCTCTGGTACTCGGGTGGAGAGTACTGTGGGCCATGTTGGTGAGACTGTTGGTAGCTGACTGGAGAACCCTGTAGAATCTGTGGTGTCATGAAGGGCCTTTGGGGTGATACCGCTGTGCGATGAGTGAGGGTTGGACCAACACTGCCAGGAATTGGAATGCCTACTTGACCAACACTACCAGGAATTGGAATGCCTACTTGACCAACCTGCACAATAACCATCAGAAACATGTTTCTTCAAAGGATTTTCAAACTAATTTTTCAAATCGACTCTAAGGATGATTGTGACTTCTTGTACAGCAGCAGTATCATTTCACTTCACTTCAGCTCAGTTTGGTTCAATTCATTTCAGGCAAGTTTTGATTTAGTGCAGTTTATTTTTTCCACTTGAAGAAAACACAGGTTATTTCACTGAAAAGTGTTTTTACCTACCAAATAAATGAATACTAGTTTACTATTAGACAATGAAATACATTGCAAGTAAAACAGCTACATGTAGGAAAGGAAACTACATGTATATTTGGAATGATTTGTCTCATTGGTAGAGTGTATTGCTATGTAAAACAAACAAAAAACTGTATATTTAACAAGAAATAAACGGGAGGAAGCAGAGAAAGAGAAAAGGTATAGAAGGTAGAGCTGGATAAATAACATACCTTAAAATGGTTAGAGTGAGTGAATTGGAAAGCAGAAGAAAAAACAGTATGACAGAGAGAGAGATAACCAGCAAGATAGCATGCAGCAAAAAGTGAGTATATCATTTTTACTGGGAGACATGGAAAAATCCAATGAGCGGGGTAATAGCATATCTGTAAAGTGCTTATAATACATTGTATTAAACGCTATATAAGTGGAATATTATATATACTGTATATATTATATAAGACGTTATATACCTCATTTTAAGATTGTTTACTAATCCTGTCTTCTGATTGGTTGAAAATGCAGTCATGTTCTTAACCATGCCCGCTAATTGAAATTCATAGTCATTTTTCCCGGCTCTACCGGTTTATATCCATTTTTCATAGCACTTTTTCCATGGCTGTGAAACGTGACGTCATTTTGCTGCGATCCCCATTTTGGTTTACGTGTTACCGTATAAGTTTCTTATGTGCGATGACCGATGCGCAATACCGTTAACGGTGTTTGAGTGCAATTCAATTTTGGTCGCTGCATTCAGGCGACGAATCTACCAATCCACGCAGACAGACGACCGATCGCCATTTTGTGTACTAGTCTCGATCGCAAAATACTGGGGTTTTTTGTTTCCAATTTTTTGCGAATTTGTGAATTTATAAAGTTACTGTTCTACTGGAGCACAGCTTGTTGGTGATATCATCCTGTACAAAAGTTACTGTTCGTGTAAACGTGTTTGGTATTCCTGTTCTACTGGAGCACAGCTTGTTGGATTTCATACTGTACACAAGTTATTGTTGGTGTTAATATTCATGACTTCAAAGAGATGGAAACCTAAATGGGTGAGTCAACATTTTCCTTTTTTTCGGTATATAAAATATATATTGACTGCTTTTAATATTCGAGGCATAGTTGTTTCTATAGGGTCTCGGGAAACTCACAACCTGCTATGACCCCGCGGCGCAAGCGCCTTGGGGTCATAGCAGGTTGTGAGTTTCCCTTGACCCTATAGAAACCACTATGCCTCTCAAAGCAGTCAATATATCCTTAATATGAATGAGTCGTACCTGTCCAGATTTGGAGGGGGATAATGCCATGAAGGGTTGTTTGGGTGCGGATGAAGGCTGAAACGGCTGCTTTCCCATGAGATGGGGACTCAACAGAGGGCCAACTTGAGGATGAGGAGCCACCTGTCCCATGGGTTTAGAGTGCACTACAGGCCTTCCCTGGGGCAGACTAATAGGGCTGCGAGGGGGCGCGCCAGTGTTCTTGGCAGATTCTGCAAAATGAAAATAAAATCAATAATAATAATAATGGCTTCTTATATAGCGCACATGTCCGCCACGTCATGATGCTCCTGGCACTGCCCGATTATCACCTGGGTTGAGTGTGGCAAATGTAGATCAATGTCTTGCCAAAGGAAATTAGTGCCACAGCGGGACTAGAATCGCGAACCTTTTGATCAAAAGTCCGGTATCGTATCCACTTGACCATGACACCTCTACCTAAAACAAATAGAAGTGGCATTCGAGGCAGTTATTTAATATGTTCTCCTTAGAAGAGCGATACTGATCCATACTGCATAGAAATATATTTGCAAAGTTGTTGGGATCAAACATAAACAACAAATTGAATTAAGATACCCATAACTATATCTGATGTTAAACACAATCATCATGCAATATTGTACTCATGAGCTTACATCAATTTATTTGACAATTCGTAATAGTTTGATTGTTGCAACTCAAATTGTTATCTATGTACAATTGTATTTATGTATAAGATTCTTCAGTCTCATTTTTACCATATTATGTATCTGTTTGTATTTGAATTTTTATTTTCATTTCAAAACCAACTTTGGTTGCAATAAAGGAGTAATAACGTTCAGGAACAGGGTTTGTTTCTGTATGTCCTGAAAAAAGAAAGAAAAAGTGAAACTATTTTTTCTTGATATACAATTAAAAATGTTGATCTTACCAAAGAGTTCTGCCACAGAAACTTGCTTAGCATATCCTATTCTTGATGACGCACTTGATGACGCACTAGACTCCTGACCAGCATTCTGATTGGGTTGCTCTGCTGGCTCAGTTGGAGTGTCCACTGAACTGATATTGAGGAGGCGACATAACTCTTCTGTTTGAGACTAAGAATCAAATACAAAGATTTAAAGCAATTAAATAATAATCCTTTGCTCAACAGCATTAACACTACTTTCTCAAAGGACAATGAAGGACTGAAAGACAGAAATGGCTGTAGGCAAGCATCAGGATAAAAATGATATGACATAACGATTTTAGTTTAGGGGCCCTCGCCAAAGATTTACGTTGCCATGTGAATTTAATGTTTTTTTTTGTTTGGAACTGTTCTGGAAATTAGATCAACTTGGGCAATTGTTCAACTTAAAAGATTGACTAATACAAAGAAAAATGGTAGTGGTAGTGGTGGTGGTAGTGGTAGTATTGGTGGTGATAGTAGTAGTAGAAGAAGAAGTAAATGTAGCAGTCATGGTAGGAATACTAAAATCAGAAGTAGTAGATATACATTTTCATGAAATATCACAAGCAGCAGTATAAGTAAAAGAGCTAGCAATAGTATCAGTACGAGAAGAAGTAATGGTAATAGATGTGGGATAAGTAGGAATAATAGTGCTAGAAGCAGTATTAGTAGTAACAGCTCAGGCCTAATTAACAGTATCAGTTGTAGGAGGAGCAGCAGTAGTAGTAGAAGTAGTAGCATCAGCAGTAGTAAATGTAGCAGTGGTAGTCATAGCAGCTACAGCTGTTGTGTTGCTGCTTCTTCTACTACTACTACAGTCAAACCTGCTTTAGTGACTACCTGGCTACAAAGACCACATTTTTTGTTTCTCTTGAAAATGGTTTCTCATTAAAAGATGTACTAAAGGAACCTGTCTACAGAGACCACCTGTCTACAAAGACCACTTTTTGTGTTTCCCTTGGGCAGTTGCTATAGATAGGTTTGACTGTACTACTTCTTGTATTCTGTTCTTGTATATAGTTCATATCACATTATGAAACTACTTCCCTATATGCTACCAAAGGCATTTGGACATTACTCCAGCTACCGTTACCTTACCTTTCTATATTGGGTGTCGGGTGTCATCCTCTCCATCTCCTCCTCTCCTCTTCTCTCTCCGTCATCATCATCATCTTGAGATCCCATGCTTGTCACATACTCCTCAGAATCATCCTGACCCTCCTCATCTTCCTCAGTGGTACTGGTGGTCTTCCTTGTCCTTTTATCATCCTCCTCCTTGTTCCTTGCAGGGCTGTCTTGGACCTGCATCAGCTTCTGCCAGATGGTTGACAGCTCGTCCACATCCTCCCGCTCTCTGCCCTTGGTAAGACGCGGTAACTGAGCAGACGGTGAGCCGGTGTGCTTCGACTGCGGACTTTCCTCTTCCTTCTGTTTTACCTCTGGCTTCACAAATTGACTTTCTGTCCAAGCAGTTTGATTGCTATCCTCGCTCCATCCTCTCACATCCTGCTTTGCCACATCCTGATCTTGATTCCGTCTCAAGATTGTCACTTTTTTTTCTCCGACTGGAGAGTCCATGTGGCCCTTGTGATGTCTGTCAGCCTTTACATCGGTCTTACCTCCTGGGATCTTTCCCAAGCCTTGCATACCAGTCTTAGAGTGTTGGACAGAGGTTGTTTGCCTCACTGGGGGAACAGCTGCCTTCCCCTGAGAGGCTTTAGCATAGGAGATTGGAGATCCTCCTGCACCTTCTTTCACCTTGTTTCTGGAATAAACCTATATATCATGTGTATCAATGATAAAATATAAATAACAACTGGGAATCTATGTACGCTTCTATAATAGAAACATGATAGAACGTAAATAATGACTGGGAATCTATGTAAGCTTCTTTAAAACAAACATACAAAATACTACCAAGACATATTACATCATCCTATAGTAAGATTTTTGAATTTCAAAAGATTATTTTAGGATACAATGAAAGAATTGCCCTAAAATTTCTCCCAGAAAAGTTATACCCTTAGACTTCACAATGCGCAAAATTGCACCTGGTAATGACTTTCTCAATTACATTAAGACACTACTACTGTAAAGTGAATAGACATGAAATACACATCCATGCACACCAAAACCAAAGTGCATCCATCATGACACCGAGTAAAAGATCACAGAAATAATTTGCCTTGGAAAGGCAAACAGGAGTTATTCATGCTCCTTCAGATTTGAATGAAAGAGTTGTTCTTCCTCAAATGTAATTACAATAATAGACTGGACAACTTAATTGTGGTTTCTTTGATTTTTAGTCGGGTCAATATAGGGTTTGATACCCCAAAATTGCAACAAAAGTTTTTCAACGGTTTCTGATAGTGTTTGACATCAGGAACAACATACTAGAAATCTAGGAAAATTGGACCCCGGTTATTTTCGAAATGGTGTCCACGATTGCCATTGATACCTTAAAATAACAATAAATCATGATATATCCATCTTAGAGATGTGATTGATGGGATTTAAATGATATTTGAAAGGACTACCATAACATAAACTAAAAAAGCTGCATAAATTTGCAGCAATATGGTTCTTCCCAACCCCTTTGAAAAGGCAATTCGCCTTTTTGACAAAATTGCTGATGTGCATTCCATGGAAAAGAAACAACTCAGCCATCATACAGGTTAACAGGGGGAAAACAAGGTTCTTGAACATGACTATAACTCCCATAGTTTGACTTTAAATCGCAGGACCACCAACAGCTTATAATGAAAATGCTTGAAATGACCTGATTAGGGAAGGCCTCTTGTTGGGGTTTGTTCTGTCCTGTTCTTTTCCCTGGGCTAGAGGACTGTGATGCCCTGGCACCTACTGCCTCTGCTGAGCCTAGTGCTGCCATACGATTCCGATAGTACTCCTGACTCTGCGTGTGTCCTGCAGTGTTGTCGTTCACCTTTTTAACCTACAGACGAGCGAAGGAACAAACAGCTCAAGGTTAGAAAAAAAATTCAGATTAAAACATCACCAAAAAAAAAGAAAGCTAGAAAGTATAAAATCAACCTAAATTCTTTTTTACCTGGGGCATTCTATAGGCTAACGGTTAAGGAGTATGTAGAAAATAAAGGATAGAAAAAAAACTATGCGTACAGGACCATCTTTAGTTCAATGAGCACCCTATTCTATGTGAACACGTCTACTCAACAAGTTTTTTTTTACTGTTCACTGAGGGCATTGATTTAACTGCAATACCTCTTTGTATAAGTAATATTTATAGCTCATATTTTTTATACATTATAGCGACATGGAAAACCTTACATTAAGAGCAAAACAGGTTTTTGTGATTGGAACATTTTAAATCATTATTCACATTCTTCTGACAATATCCCTCTTTAAATTTTGCTCAGCGCTGTGTGTTACTGATGATACATTACATTATCTTTCAGTGTATATCAGTAAGGAACATCAAAACATGTTATAACACAGTATAGCTTAATACAGAACAATGATTGATCACAAATGTAACACAAGATTAATCTGGTAGGGATCACAACCTTTATACTTACTGGTCAATAAATTAATCTGGTAACAAATATGCAGGTCTAAAACATGCTTAATTTTCCATTTTGTACCTGATTTAATTTATATCAAATCTGAAAGAGAGGGAGAGAGGGGGGAGGGGGCTGGGGAATTGGTAACAAATGAACACACATTAAAATTACAAATGTGAGTCTACGTACATGTATAGTAAAATGTGGCAGTGTACCATAAGAGAGTTAACATGAATGTGGAAGAGTACCATGAGAGAGTATACTAAAATGCACAAAATGAGACCTCTCCATGTGTAAAAGATATGTGGATATTTGGGGTCATCTGTTCCAGTGATATCTCTTACCTGTGGCTTCACCACGGCCGTTGTCTTCTCATACGTCTGGTGACCTTTGAACTTGCGATGACCATAGCTGATGTTAATGAGAGACGTGGGGTTGAGACGATAGCCTCGCTTCCCAGTACAACGTAGTTCTAGAGCACCCGGAAACTCCTCATCAAAGACGACATCATATGTGGTGTCCAAAACAGTATTCCCTACAAAACATTAGAATTGATACATCAAGTGTCATTAGTGGCATGTACATGTACATAATATAAGAATCATGTTTAAAATACATGTCTTGTATAAAATGTATTGATCAGATTGTGGAGAACAATGTTGTGGTACATGCATAATGTGCGGTCAATTGCTCTTCATTGGCTACAGGAGTACACTTCCAGCGTAGTGGTTTCCACTGACTCATATCATTTTCACCGACAATTTTATTGTCATCAACAATTTTCCAGGCCTCTATTTGGTCAAATTTAGTCAGCGCTGACAGATGTCGGCGGACAAATGTTGATGAAACAACCCCCAGAACTATTTGGGGATATTTAAGACAGTTGTAAACAAAAGCATATTCTTCTAAGTGAATCAGACATATTTGACATTCAGGGAAAAAACCAGCAAATTTCACTGTATATCACAGGTAAAGAGAAAATAGATACTTTGAAAATTTTGAAAAGTCTGTCAGATTAAGTGTTCAATGAATCTAATTTAGGTATAGACAGATGCTTATATGCATATTCTAAACATAAATACACGTTGTAAAACTATGATATTTCCAGCTACGCCCCTCCTCCTCCCCGTGTATCCACCACAAGTTAAATGGTTTAAGGACCTTGGCAAAGCCATCAAAGAAACCCAGATTATTTGTTCACCTGTGTGGATCCCAGTCACAACCCCTCGCAGTCCTAGAGGCACAGTGAAACCCTCTCTAACGTTAATGACTCTATCAAAGAGCTGGTAGTCCGCATCAGGATCAGCGATCAGGTTACCTTGTCCCTCCATAGGCTGCAGCAAGATGGTGAAGAGAACAAAGAAATAATGAAGGACAGCAGAAGAAGTGAAGATAAAATATATTAACATATTCACCACAAATTCACCACAAAAAAAGAATTTCCCTCAAGCCATTAAATTCCAACCCTGGCCTGGTGCCTCCATAAAATAAAACTTCCCTCAGTGAAATTCTGAATTTGCTGGAACATATATGAAGTTGTATGCAGTCAAACCACCTGTATAGAAAATACATGTTTTTTGTTTCCCTTGAAAATGGTTCCTCATTGAAACACGTACAAAGGAACCTGTACATAAAGATCACCTGCACATAAGGCCTACTTCTCTAGTCTCCCTTGGGCGGTCTTTATAGACAGGTTTCACTGTATGTAGAAGAGTGAAGCATGCAATATTTATATAATTCCATCATCAGATACCATTTCGTGAAGAACAGTTACACTTACCCTGTACAAAAGGTGAGGCCTAACTGAAAGCTTCAGCTTCTTTCTACTAGGTGACTCCTTGGCCTGAAAGAAAAAACAAGTAAAGAATCGTTGGTATCATAGATATCCATTTAAAAAATTTAACAATTCCAGGGATTCAATAGTACATACATCTATAGACAAGGAGAATTGGAGATGACAAAAACAAAGATTATACCATCCGAAAGCAGCGGTTGAAAGCTTTTATCTTCCCTGTAAATGACGGAGGTAGAGGATTGGTAATGTCACTGTGAGATAGTGCCTGACAACTTTTCTAATTGTTGTAACATACGGAATGACATAGCCTTTGGCTCAGGTTGGCTAAAAAGAATATAGGCCACAGAAGACACAAAATTGTGTGGATAATTTTAAGATAGATGAGGAGATACAAGAAGATTGAGATGTGGACGAATCCTTATCATTATCACTTGGGTCGGTTAGCAACAAAAAAAGTGCAATCGGCCTTGTGGCAAGAATACTGCAAAGGTGACGTGGCGCCTTCATGATTTTGATACATGGTGCTTCGAGGCAAATATCCATTGTGATTTACGGTACCTTCTCAATTTCTTCCTCGATGAGTTTGATGACAGGTGCTTCCAGAGCCTTTGATCCTATCTTGCTCTTGGGAGCTTTGGTGGAATCTTGTTTCTCAATCCATGCTTTCACCTCCTCCAGACCATAGTCAGCTCCAGCGAACATCTCCTCCTCGAACAAAGAATCATTAAATCCTTTCCCACGCAAGAATGCCAACACGGCTGGGAACCTGCAAAGCAAATGATATAGAAATATTGCCACCTCCAAAGTTCAAACAAACAAAATGTATGAACCGACATATTCAGAATTTGCCTTTTCACCGAGGTTGAAATACAATGGAAGGAGGGAAAATCGGTATTAAGACGTGAATGAATGACATTTTGAATGATGATATGCATGTAGTATCTATTAAATGATTTTATGGTATTTGAGATCTTGTGCCTTGCTTCTCACAACTCATTCCAATTTCCACATTTAACAATGGGTACATGCAACCAAGCAGTGGACATGATGGATTCACCTTCATCTTATTCACTTCTGCACATGATATAAACCATGTAAAGAAAAGGGTGTTAAATTGAATGTTCTAGCATCTACAACAACTTATTAGATTGATTTTCAGCCGATAGGATACTCTCTAACAAATACCTTATTTCATATCAATATATATTTCCTAATATCATTTTTTTTTTTATACTGTGATGTCTATTAGGTCATCTTCATTTACTTAAGATCAAGTTTGAAGGGAAGTTCACCCTGATATTTAGCTGGTTTTTAATAGGAGCAAAGAAAATGAGAGAATCAGGTCACTGAAAGTGTAAGCAAAGACCTCGAAGATATGACAGAGTTTCCCATCAGTGTTTCATCGAATACAACTTCAATAATTCATAACTTTCTAATTATTACTTGGAGTTTGCTCAAATGTTCATTAATGTGTTTCTTTAACCAACTCAATGTCAGAGTGGAATTTCCCTTTGATTTATGTTGATACAATAGTGAATTGGTGTCTTTGAATGTGCTAATAAAAAATACATGTATGGTGTCTTTGAATGTGCTAATAGAAATACATGTATGGTACCATGTAAATGCTGTGTATCATCAACACCTTTCTAGCTAATACTTAACAGCATCATGATTAAAATCAGTGAATTTAAAAAGTGGATGGTCGATAAATAGAAATCCTGTTGAACTGACTGTGATATATAGGCATCCAGTATCTCCAAAAGTTGAATGGAGTATATCCATTTGCCTTCATCATTGCGTTTGGTGAACCCGGGCACCTCTTGTTCTGACTTGTTGAACTTCAGATTGAGTCCGACATTGACACCAGACCCCCTGAAGCCTTCATCACTTCTCCTATGAAAGAGAGACAAATATAGAACACAAGTTTTTTTAACGTGTAAATGAATGGCAACCGTGTGCAACAAATTAATTTAGCTCTGTGTTATAAGATAGGATATGAGTGAAGCATGTTACACTTTCCGGCAACATAAAGCAAATCTGTCGCAGTCTATATCGCTCCATACCTAAAGGAGGCCTTAGTCATGTATAGTACACATCCAAGATGGATACAGGATACTGTAAAATCTCACTTCTACGCAAGACTTCTATCATGGTTCATTATTTCCCCCATTCTGATACATCATTACACATTATTATTCCATTTCAATAAAAATTTGTCCCTGAAATTAATTTCTTTTCTCAAGCAGTGTTTTATGTTTTTATTCAGATCTGGTTCATGTATAATTGAATTAATTCCCAAAATTTGTATTTATTCTTATACAGATGAAAGTCTACTTATTGGTATGCACGTACAGTGTACGTAGTGCTACACGTATATTTACACACACATACACACTCACGTACACAGTTGTGGTGTAAATTGAGGATTTACAATACACATCAGCATGTTATTACAATTGAGGAAACACATTTTTGTGGAAATATAACATCCCGGAGGACGATCTGGAAATTTACTGCATAACTGAGGGCCTAGTTCCCTTACGGGACTCGAGTAGAGTCTATTACTCGACTCTCAGGCCTAAGCCTACAGGTAACCCCTACTACACATATATCTACACACATGTTCGCATGTCATTGTTTCTGCCCGTCAATGTTACTCATCAGACCTCAGACTCGTTAGAAAGGGTGAGTGTACACAAGATACAATCAATAAAGATCATCAGATGAAAGAAGATAATGACATAGATGCCCTTTCTTATTTATCATTACTATACTCTGAACATGATTAAAGTATCCCACAGGTAAATAGGCCAAACTTCACTCTCTCCTCATTGATAATAATATGTGTTGCACCTAGAAACAAAGTATTGGGCGCATTATAAATGTGAGCTATTATTATTGAGAAGTACAGATTGGAAATACTTACGATGGTCTAGGTCCCCTTGTCACATATATGGAACCCGATAGTCTGGATGCTTGCAATGATGAAATGCCTAATCGCTGAGCAACCACATAACTATCCAGGTATTGCACTGCGTGGGACTACACAAGATAGGAAAATTGATACATATATCATTTGTTATCAAGTTATAATCGTGTCGAGGAAACTAGAATAGGGAGAGATCTGTATTATTGTAACTTGTGATTGACCATACTAACGTTCCAAGAAAAACTCTTGTGACAAGACTGAGGATCACTGATCCTTATTACTGTAACGTGTTTATTTACAGCGTCATGAGCGTCAGAGCCTGGCGGATACCGGCTATATAAAAACTGAGTATTATAATTATTATTATTATTATTATTATTTAAAATCATGAGAGCGAATGGCATACATGTATTTTTAGGTGCATTTGCAAGTAACTTTATGTATAACTTGTGGTATAAGGAACATTACTATATTTCTACAGTAAATTTCTACACTGATATATAAATAGTGTGTCCATAATCCCACATGTATATGACTGTATAAATTTAATGTTTTTTTCTTGTCACAAGGAAACTGATAATACAAGTAATATTTCTTTGTCCTGACTAACTTGTTATATGTGGATATATCCCGTACTAAAACCCCATCCACACAAAGATACGATAAACTTACATGTTGAGTTGCTTTGATGTACTCCAGGTTTGGTTCAGTAGGAGCTGAAAACAGGACCTGGACTCTGTCCTGACTTGTGTCCTCAACCTTTCAATATAAACAAATTAAATGGTTAACATTCAAAGAATGACCTTACAGTGTATACAAAATCTTCTTTTGTTTCTGAAGGATAATCTATCAACAATAGCATGAACATAAACAATAGAAATATAGTAAATGTATGTAGATTTCTCATCACTAAATACATTTATATTGGCTAAAATTTGTGCAAACAACAAGCATTGTGGCAAATACTAGTAATAGTAATAATAATAATAATAATAGTGGGTTCTTGTTTAGCGGTCCTGTCTGTCAGACTTGACACTTCCGGCACTCCACAATTAATACTCCGGCTTTCATGGCTGCCATTCCAGCACTCTAGCATTTCAAGGAAAAAATTCCTGCCAGGTACCTGTTTACATCACCTAGGTCAAGTGTGGCAAATGTAGATAGGGAATTAGGGCCTTTGTTGAATATTTTTAGATGTAAGCTTTAACATGTCACATTCTCAAGATATATAAATTTGGACAAATCAATTTTTCACATATTAAAACAAATATAAAAATAGGTAAGTATATGATTAATTTATTTGTGAACTGTATTTATCAAATGTAAAATGCAATGTGGTTGTCATCTTGTTGGTTATACTAACCTTTCCTTGGCAGCCATAGTGAGGGTTGCCCAGCATGAAACATGGTGCATCGTTGGGGTAAAGCTCTGACAACGTCTTGAACTGGTGGAAGCTGGGATCATGGATGGCAATGTCCTGTCAGAAACAAACAAAATGTGTTTAATATGGAAGTTGATGGGAAATCTATGGGAAATTTTACCACAGCTTTAGATTAAAAGTTGTATTATACTGGTAGCCTTTAGTAAGCCTGAAAGCAAGTGAGAGTATTACAATCTTAGAAGAATGAGCTTGGAAAGTTTCTTGACCTTGTTTACTGGTGATATTGACTGTTAAAAACTTGGTCCGTCCTGTGAGGGTTACTCAGCCGATTTGGGAGTCTTCTAACAGGGACTGCATGTGTGAATAGAGCTGTAACAACAACCTCTCTATACCTAAAGTAGTTATTGTTCACAAGAGCGCAGGTTATAGCAAGAAGTGACGTTTTGCTTACCTTCAAGGTGACCTGATATGCGTAGGGAATAGGAGACAGGGTCCATTGCTTCTCAAGGGTGATATTCCCACCAAGGCCACACGCATACCTGATTAAAGATAATCAAATTTTGTTGTTGAAAGAAAGGTGATGTCAACCGATGGAAAAACATAAACTGGCAATGAACGAAATGTCCAAATGATGAAAAATTCCTTTGCGACAGCCGCACAAATTGAAAACAAAATATGGGTTCAGCTTGGAATGATATATCTAATAATAATATGATATATACAACATGATAAAATAGAGTTAGAGTTAGGGTTAGGGATATGGATAGGGATAGGTTTAGGGTATAGGGTAAGGGTTAGATTTTAGGTGGCTGTCGCAAAAGGAAATCTTTTCTCCAAATGATTATGGGTAGCAAGATTAAAATGACAAACAAACCTTATTTTCTCTCTCAAAAAAGGCATGTTCCTGCCTGACCTCTGAAATAATATACATGCATGCATTTCTTAACTAACCTTTAAAAAAAAGGTACAATGTATGTAAATTGTGTAAAACATCTGATAAATATATAACATCCACAAGAAAAAAGTTTCCAGTTGATCTGATAGCAATCGATCAGTATGTAATGAGTTTTACTAATGATATTCACACATTTCCTTTTTAATAAAGGTCTTTTTAATACAATATTCCGTTGGTGTGGCTGGAATAAAACATATCTACATTACTTCCAGTACAATGGTTCTTATGTACAGTGAAACCTGTCTATAAAGACCACCCAAGGGAGACAAGAAAAGTGGTCTTTACAGGTAGGTGGTCTCTATGTACAGGTTCCTTAATAGTACACGTTTCAATGAGAAACCATTTTCAAGGGGGAAAAAAATGTGGTCTCTGTGGACATGTGGTCTTTCTATTCAGGTAGTCGCTAAAGCAGGTTTGACTGTACATGAATTTTATTGAATGTTCATATTATGAATGAATCTTACCTTCTACCAAGTAGAGGACAGGCATAGAGAATGACTTTGGTTTCCCTGATATTGACACCTTTTCTCCTGAAGTACCTGGAGAAAAAATTGAGGACATGACAATCATTATTTATAATGTACCAGCTTTTGTTCTTGGGAAGCGATAAGAACTCTCCCAGTCTCCTTTCCTCTTATTTCTATTATTGTGTATCACTGTGTGCATGTGTGTATGCCTGTATACAATAATATGTATTCGTATATCTTCACAGGACTTGGGAAGATGGAATGAGAGTAGCAAGAGTGAATGTGCGAGGGAGAAGCGGCGGCCCGGAGGGGCTATGGTACAACATAATAGTAATAATATACAAAGTATTGTGGAACCGCCATCATTGTTCGCCCATTGCTGGTTCAATCAAATTTATTAAAACTCTCATAATTATGATGAATGTTAAAATAACTTTCACACATAGGAATTTAACAATACCTTTGCCGCTTTAGCTTTAACTACTGGCCCAAAGACTCTTTCATCAATTCAGGAGAACAAATTGTGGATATACTTTGAACAATTCTCAAATTATCCACAAAGAGACATGCAAAGTTGCATATACGATGAATACTTACTCTTCCCCGATGGTTCTCGCATCTCTCTTCCATTTATCAGCTTCTGATCCTTTGAGTTTCATCTCCTGCATGCTACCTTCCCTCGAGTCCTCTATCAATTCATACCTTGAAAAGGACAGACAAAGGTCAAAGATTGATTTAAATCTAAATATTAAAGTACAAAGTACACACTCCTGACAACGGATAGTCAACCTGTTCGAAACATCGAACCACTCCTACCACCCATCCTCTCTAACCGGCGCTATAGTAATCATTAGAACTATAAGCTAAGAAAGATATTACCAACAGTCTTTTTCAAGATTACACCATGCACCAACAGTTCTTTTCAGGACTACACACACTCAAGAAAGAAAGATTACCAATAGTTCTTTTCAAGACTCCCCAATCCTCCCCCTCTCTCACATGGTGCAACCACAAGCCTACTGTATACATAGTTTTTCTTTCATAATAATTTAGGACAGTTCATTTCATAACGCATTCTTCAAACTCACTATCACACCCATTTCGACAGTGTTTTTAACCGCAAAAGGGCTCAGTGTGGCCTCTACCCCCTGTATTTTTTTTAATGAGATGTTGCTGAGAATGATTGGGAACTTTATAAGATGTTGCCAATCAATATATTGTTACAGTTTTTAAACACCCCCAAAGAGTTCAAACAAATGCAATGCTAACACCATATTTGACAATTTTGATGTCTGAGATCACTCATGATTTTTGAAGAGATACATTTTGAGGTGAAGCATATCAAATACAATTTTCTTTGATTTGTTGATCGTACTCATCTCTATCTCTTTTATTGTTCCAACTCTGAGAGGTGTCGTGGTCGAGTGGATATGTCCGCGGTTCGAGTCCCGCCGCGGCACTAATTGGCAAGACATTGATCTACATTTGCCACACTCAACCCAGGTGATGTAAATTAAATGGGTACCTAGCAGGAATCAATTCCTAGAGCGCCGTAATGGCAGCCGTGCTAAAGCCAGGGTAATTATCAGGAGCACCAGGAGTGTCAAATCTGACAGACATGAACCCACTATCAGTATTATTATTATTATTACCTGTATTGTCCATCTGATACTGCTACTACTTTCTCTCTCTCTCTCTCTCATTGATCCTACTCCTCTCTTTCTCTCTTCCTCTCTCTCTCTCTCTCTCTTTCATTATTCCATCTCTTACCTGTATTGTCCATCTGATACTGCTACTACTTTGACTTCCTTAAGATGGGGCCACTCAGCAAACACAGTTTTTCCCAGGAGCTCTTTGGCAAGCTGTCTAGCATCCTGTTATAATTAAAACATGTTTACTCTAGTTATGATCAAAAGATACACTGCCATGGCCTCTAATTTTATTACACCATCCATCACCTTAAAGACACTATGTCCCTTTTGCAGCCAACCTCGAATTCTGTAGAACTTTGCAGGATTATAAAAATGTCATGTTTATCTTATCTGTGAAATTTAAACGTTTTCAGTGTCCTTATATTCAAATTAGGCAAGGAAACCTGTTTACTTGCTAGACTTCACTGTCAGACACTATTGTCAGTATTGAGTGACTGACTGGCTTTTTCTTCTTCTTTGGTAATAGCATACATGAAATGAGTTGTAAAGGATTTGTCTACTACAATAACCCACTTCTTGTAATGGCCTCAATTAAACTGATTGAATCTTTGCGCAGCACAAAACGTACGACCATCCGGTACATTGGTCTGAAAATCAAGACTATTACTTATTGGCTCTATAGCTCCTAAGTTGATTTGACAACTAATAGTCGTTATTTTCCAACTTAAAGACATTTTCAAGCCCCATTTTTTTAAGGGGAGTTCTAAATTAGTATTATCTTTCAAATGCCATTGGAATTTAACCTTTCCATTTTTTTGGCCTGCAAATTGGACATACATGTACATGTAGTACCTTCAAGGGTAACTCTTTGGGAGAGTACTGGGCAAAAAGAAACATCAAAGTAACATTAAAAAAAATATTAAATTAAAAGCTGTCAAGCAATGCTTGATCACTTTAAATCACTGTGCAATGTTTCACAGGTTTTAAAACTCTTCTGTTTTTAACTGAAATATTAAAGTAACATCTCTTTTTTGAAGGGGTTGGTGCAATACCCTCTCCTACCAGGGCTTGGGAAGATTATCTTTACTTTTCTCCTTGGACTCACAAGTCTTTTCCTTTCTTAGCTTGGCATTGGCCCCGGGTGCATTTATATTAGGCCTATTGTTTGACTTTGGCATTGCATTTGCCGACTTGTCCTACGACTTTGACTTTTCATCCATCATGTCCTTCCCTTTTCCCCCATTTTATTGATACTAGGCTTAGAATTAACATTATAATTTGTACCCCGAGGGCTATCTAATTGTTGGGAATCTTTTGGGAGTTTTTATCAGTGGCTATTTGAGTTGAGATAAGAATAGCAATTTGATGAGATGATATAGGTAAGTACAGCACAGTGTAGTCAATTTTTGTTTGTACTTACAGACTTCTGATCTGTAGCGTTCACACTCAAAATGCAGTTCTCTCCTCGACTCGGTTGCTGAAAGACTTTCACATCAGCATTCCGTACTTCATGCTGACAAAAATAAAACAAAACAATGAAATCATCATTACTAAGTGTTTTCTTCTGTTGGAGATGCATCTGCAGCAGCAGAAGCAAGCTAACATCCGCCATACACAGGCAACATATAGAACAGTCGCTTTCATTGAAAAAATTGGCATGAACCTTCCCCTAATTGCAACATACAATATTTCAACTGTTATAGTATCATAAAAGTTCATAATAATAGTTCAAGTTCAAGTTCATTTATTCAAAACCACACAAAACATGATATAATCTTTTACATGAAAAAGAGACTGGTAATAGTACATCATTAAGTGAATGGTTTTAGGACCCCTGTAGAAGCTAAGCTTGTGAGCGGGGCCCTATAGTCAACAAAATACATACATTAACGATATGGCAAGGTGAATAAAAAGAATATAATGTTTATACAAGGGATGGAAACAAACTAAGCTACAGAATATAGAACACAAAAAAATATTCACACACACGCGCGCGCCCACGCACACACACACAGTCCTTAGTGGTCTATAAGCATTTGAGAATGAGAAATTATTAAGATACAAAGTAGAATTATGTCAGTCTTCCAAGTAGATACGTTTTAGATAACCTTCTAAACCTAGAAAGAGTTGTACTATATTTTATATCATCAGGCAAACTGTTCCATTCTTTGATGCAAGAGATATGGAAAGAGGTCAGAGTGATATTTGTTCTTGCAAAAGGCTGATGAATAAGACCCCTTTGACGTGTATTATAATTATGAATTTGTGAGTTTGTACGGAATAAATCTTTTAACGTACATTCATGAGGCATAAACTGAAGTTTATACATAAACAATACGCAATTGATTGACACAAGTCCACTTAGTGGTAACATTCTTAATCGAAGGAACAATGGAGAACTTGGATGTCTATAATTAGAATTAGTAATAAGCCTTATTGCCTTCTTCTGCAATACTCTTAACTTATCAAGATATGACTTAAAAGTGTTTCCCCAAGCAACATTACAATATGTCAAATAAGGAAGAATAATACTATTATATAATGTTATCAGCACTCTTTCAGGTAAAATAAATTTCAATCTAAAAATGACACCTACACTTCGAGACAACTTAGTGCATACAACATCTAAATGATTCTTCCAAGATAAATGTTCATCCATAGTTAACCCTAAGAACTGAACATTTTCACTAAGCGCAACATCATGGCCTCCAACATTAAGAAAAGTAATACCATCTGGAAGCTTTTTACCCTTTGAGCGAAAAATAACACATTTGGTCTTTTGAACATTCAACAATAACTTATTACAACAATACCATGCATACAGTTTCTGAATCTCTTGATTTGCAATTAGTAATAAATCTTCAGCCTTCTTATCAACCAGCAGCAAGCTGGTATCATCAGCAAACAGGGAGTATGAGAATAATGTTGACGAGTCTATTTATAATAGGTATACATCAGTTTTAGTATGAGGATTCTCTGGATTTAAAACTAGATGGATCTTCGACTGTCCGCAGTAAAAAAAAATGATGCCTCTCCGCCATAGAGCGATTTAACAAACCAAAATAAAAGCAATTTTTTAAATTTAAGTTTTATTGTAATCCATTAACAGGTAGCAAAATCTTACCTCAAAGTCAAGATGATAGAGTGTTGGGAAACCTGGGAAGTACACTCCAAGTCTCACATCTTCCAAGAGTCCTTTCTTGAGCCTACTGATGTCAATCTGGAATGCATCTTTCCTTACTAGCTCACACCTGAACCATAAAACAATGAAAAGGTAATTACAGAGTATGCAAGTTATCCCTGTTATCAACACATGAATGGCATATTTGAGCAGATGAAATGGTATATTAGCTCAGATACCTAACAAGCTTGGCTCCTGAATTCTGTCCTTTCTTACAGGTGAAGATGGTCAATGGGTATTTACATTATCCTTACAACATTTTTTGCCTAGTTTTGAGAATGCAATACAATTGTTGGCATTTAATAACTTATTAATGAAATGAACACTTGACACCAATTGTCACTATGAACATGACTGACAAAGAAAGCGGACAAAATATACAGTTCCTCAGGTAGACAAAGGAACATCCCTTCACTGCTTTTATGTAAAAAGGTGAATATGCATGTGACACCTGTTCTACACATTTTTACATAATAGCAGTGAAGGGATGTTCCTTTGTCTACCTGAGGAACTGTATATTTTGTCTGCTTTCTTTGTCAGTCATATTCATAGTGTGTACCTCAAGAAAATTAAAGAACAAGACAAATGCGACTGTGTCCCCTATTATGCCTCTGCCCTAAATTCAGTATGGGAAATGGATGGGATTAATCGTAACATATCACGATAAAAACAAAAAGCAAGGAAGCTTGATGGCTCAGTGGTAGAGCAGTGGTCTTGTTACCGGGAGGTCCCAGGTTTGAAACCAAGTGGATGCGCTAGTGCTCTATGGTAAGGCATTAATCCGCATTACCAAGTTTTATTACCACAATAATCATCACCATATTTCCTTGGTCAACTCATCTACAGCTTACTTTGCGACACAGTGGAGTATATCAGGAAACTTTCCCTGTAAGGATGATACATAGGTGTGAGGGTTGGCAAGGTCTGTGGTGTAGAGAAGATGCTCACTGTGGCAGTTCCTCTTCTTCTCAGCCTCGGTCAGCTTATCTTCATACATCTTCATTCCTGCCCACAACCGATTCTGTACAAACCACAAAAAACATATGATGCAACATAAGTTGTAATGAAACATACAGCTGAATGCTCAACTCCAAAGCCAGGGGGGTGTCTCACAAACACTAAGATTGACTTTAAGTTGGATTTAACTATGGCAGGCCGTTCATGCCACTGATTGCTCTCATCATCCTGCCATTGGTCTCTCAAGGGACGTACAAATCATGGTCACAAATCCACATTTTTTTCTTCAACAATGAACTATCTAAAAAAGTAAATTCTGTAGATTTGTGAGGTCCCTACAAAGAGCAATGGTGAGAGAAACCAGTGGCAAGAATGGCCTGCCATAGTTAAGTCCAACTTAAATTCGATCTTAGTCTTTGTGAAACACCCCCTGGCCTGTTCGAATTTCTTCATTATGTAATAATTGTTGTAATTATCATTATCAACATTAACAACAATATATCCAGAGAAATAATGGAGGGACACGCTAGAAACAATAGTTTTCATGACCAAAAGGTTAATTCAATGAACCTTAATTTGAGAGTCACTATAATTTTGTTACAAGAATTGTTTTATATGTAATTACACTAGCAGTACATTTGTACATCACAAAAAATGGAGAGGGATAAAGAGAGAAAGAGAAAGGTAGGGAGAGGGTGAAGAAAAAAGATGGAGAGGGAGAGAGAGAGAGAGAGAGAGAGAAGATATTTATTTGTCCAAACTGCCTGCTAAACAATTTAGAATTACTATGTCCAAAATGTAATGCCAATACAAAACTCATAATCTGAGCTTCTACACCATTAAACAAATTTTCTTGGCTGATATCTTTTATAAAAAGGCTATAAAATGCTGTCTAATATGCAGTATGACAGAAGATTTTTATATTTAATGCCATGTCCATGAAAACATGATATTGAAATACAACCGGTGTTTTGTTTCAGAAAATGAAATGACAATTTAACTTTACTCCATTATTTTAATCTCCCCTTTCCTCATGGAAAAACTAAAAGGAAAATTCAAGGTTTCTTTATTTTTCCACATAATATAACATAATCAAATGAATATGCAATATATACAAAATCAATAGCATAATATCAACCAAAGATACAACAAATGATTATACAATTATTCAAATAAATCATTTAAGATTGGTACGGTGTAACATAGTGCACATAATGCACCCTGATTGATAAACCATACCTCGTCAATGAAGGGGATAAGCACAACAGCTTCCCATGCTTGGAGTTTGCCATTGAGGTCCTGCTCAAACTCTAGTGGATAGTACTCAAGGATTGGCGAATTCTCATTCAACATCAGTGGCTAGAAAAGGCAAACATAAAAGACACACTGACCAGATAACATTGTGAAATCAAAGCAAGACCTTGGGAAGGTCTGGGATCCCAGGTCTTATTAACACATACTGTGCTTTGATGATAAACAAAGATTGCTGCAGGTGTAACATATCTTTTCTTGTCTTATCCCACTCTTCTTCTATTTCAAGCTTTATCTCGTCTCTCCTTTTCATTTCCCTGTCTTTTCCATTTCCTTGATGATTTTTATTTGTGCAATGTTATTCCTACTTTGTATATTACTGTGCATATTACTGTACTTTATTTCACCAATTTTCAATGCATTGCAGTTTAATGTAATTTTTAATCTTTTGTATATTATATTTGTTTTAGCATTTGGCTGCTATTTTGAATGGATTTTTTAGTCAATAAAACCCCTTCAATCAATATAATATTCTATTCAAGGAAATTAGATCCATGTTCAAACATTTTCTATGGAGTGATCATTTTCAACGATTTCATCTCTAACTGTGAGGATTTTGTTACAAATAATAAGAAATATATTTGATCTACATTTGCCACTCACCACCCAGGTGAAGTAAATGGGTATCTGGTAAAAAAAATAATTCTTGAATGCTTTAGCGCCTTATTAGAGGTGTTGTGTAGAGTTGATGTGTTCTAGGGTGGATAAGTCACCTGACTGCAAATCACAAGGTACAGGGTTCAAGTCCCGCCACGGCATCTAATGTCCTTTGGCAAGACGTTAATTTACATTTGCCACTCTTCACCAAGGTGTAAAATGGGTACCCCGTAGGATGCGAAAGTTAATGTGGTTAGATGAGCAAGTGTGTGCTTAAATAATGCCTGGATGGAATGCTCCCCAGGAAGTGGAGAAATGTGCATACATTGTGTGCGGGCAAGCCTGAATCCGATGACCGGGGTAATAATATATCTGTAAAGCGCTTAGAGACATCATCGATGTATAAAACAGTACATAAAAGCAGAATATTATTACTATGGCATCTCAGCTACAGCCAGGGTAATAATATGATACTTTGTATCAAGCGCAGTAGAGTATATTCATATAGTAGCTGAGCTATATAAATGGACCTATTATTATTGATTTTCTGTAATACTTACATGGTATGCTTGAGGTAGATGATCCCTACTGGCCGGAGGTAGGACAGCTAACAACTGCTCAAATGGAAGGAAAGGTTGACCCTTGTCAAGGGTCACAACGAGGTCAGAGAAATCCTTCAGATCAGACATGTAGGGTGAGTAATGATGTGGGTAGTACCTGCAGCAAATTGAAGCAGTTATTCAATGAATACGATTGTTCATCTGTCTATAAATTCAAGGAAACTGTACCAATGTAGATGAAGAACGAACACAAAATATCGTAAACAAGAGGAAGAATGAAGCAAAGGGAGGGATGTGTATATGTATAGGCGACCCCAAAGCAAATTCATAGAGAAACAAAATATCAAAAAACAAGCAATCAACAAGAACAACGACCCCCACAAATACACTTCCATCTCTCACAAATCTTGTATATATGAATTCTACAGGGATTGTGGAAAGGAAATATTGATGACTTCCTCAGGCCTTTAAAGCTTATCTGCCATAGTCTACAGGAGGCATTATACCGCCCTGCAAGGTCACTGGACAGGTGGTTATCTCATCAACTCGGCTCTCAGTTAACATAAGAAAAAGAGGATCATGGGGGACCAATGGTCACCGATTAGGCATTGTTTGTTATATAGAGGGCGCAAGTAGCTACAAGTAGTGCAGTGTGCCTTTAATATTTCACAAGCTCAAATGTGAGTTCCACAGAGTATGTAAAATAGGCGCAAGCATTTGTTCCAACCATGGCTGATAATGTTCTTGATAGTTGATCTTTGAAGTTTCTTCTCAAAAGTGTGACACTTTTGCTAATATTAGCCATGGCTGGAACTTGGAAAGACGAGTTGTTGAAGCTGTCGCGGAAGCTGTCACAAGCTTGTGTCAAAAAACAGTTCATGTTGTTGCAATAACTACAGATTAAGCGAGCTACACACAAATATGGTTGTGCTTCTTTTTAATGGCAGAACTGGTAGCATACATTATACACTTGAAAGCACACCGCAGTATCCATGAATATAATATTTCTCAACAATTAAAAAACAAATGCCTGTTTAAAGCCTACGGTTGGGGTAAATTACCCAAAACATCTAGGGAAATATCCCTGTGTCAGGGATGACCTGACCGTAACTTCATTTTCAGTGATAATTTCCATTGCTTGATTAACATCAGTATATTCCCACATGGTCGACTAATTTACTCATCATAGAATCAGATTTCTTTCATATCTGACTGAATTAATAAGACCTGTTTGTTCTTTCATTATGAGACTCTGTGAATTCAATGAAGTTCTATTTTGGATTGAAATACACCAAGTCAATGAATTACATTTAAAACTGTATTTCTAGACATAGAAACATCAGGAAGAAAAAAACAGTAAAAAGAGTGTAAAAATACCATTATTTTTACATTTTCCAAAGCCTTTTGTTACTAGCCTGTGACGCTACTAACCAACATTTTAAACGTCACTTAAAATGAAATGGGTCAAATGATACACTAGGTCTCCAGAAAAGAAACATCTATCGATTGGAATATGTTTAATAAACCTGTCTTTTGAAAAGAAAAATAGTTGACATATCCTTACCAACTCCATGATTGAATACCATTGTAGTAGTAATGTAAGATCCATTGAATAGCATAAATGTAATCACTCACAATCTGTGCCGTTTGCTTCCTGCAAATAAAAATTGGGAAAGTTGCATTTTAATTGTTTTTAATTGTATTTCATGCATAAAGCTACGAGGCGATAAGAAAGCAAATTCATGGTACTATGTACATGTACTAAATTCAATCTGACATACATGAACATTTAGAGCCCATACTGTGTACATTATGAAATAAATTTGAAAACAGTGTCCTAATAGAACAGTATTATGGCAGATCTTTCAAATTATAAGTTCTTAAAGGCATCGTTTAACAATGTTTAATCTGAGATACAAGGCCCTACGTGTTATCGGTGTATGTGATATGGTGTAATATTGAAGCCCTAAAAAAGTTGTGCTTCAAAATAATCATGAAGTGCCTCAAAAAAGTAAAAATCTTTGAGTGACCAGTTTTTACTATACTCATTTTCCCCAATAGACTGTTGTGTTATAAAAACCGTTAGGAAAACAGATTTTGACATTTCGATTTCCAATCATAAATATCTTGATAATCAGACATTCGATCGGCTTGTAAAAGTCATGGGATTCCTGACTGACCTAAAGGTTTATAATTGTGATTGCAGCATGAGCTAAATCCAGGATTTTGTTTCAGAATCTGAGTCAAAGATACCCAATCCCTGTAACACTAGTAATGCATGATATATAGATATCTCACTTGGTAATGTGTTTGAATCCCATCTTGTCGTCATAGTAATCCCTTTTCTTCATTTTGAATTCCATCTCAATTGGATCAACTGAAAAGAAGAAATGAAATATGAAATAAATGTATGTTCACAGAAAATAATTGCAATACATAATTTCCTGTTGCTATAAAACTTGACAAGACATTATCATTATTCTTTCATGAAATCTTTCCATCAATCTTCTATCTTCTAATATACAGTGCAGTAAGGCCATAGAAACTTGCAATTTCAAAATATTAGTAGTACAATAACATGGTATTTATAGTTCATTTATAGTGCAAGGCAACAAGAAAATTATCCACATACTTGGGTAAAAGAAAAATAGTCTGAAAGAAGCGGTTTTCCACACATTGCTTGAAGGAAACTGCTCAATTTTATTTCAAACCTGTTGCATTATACATAGATACATTTAAATCAAGACCTGAATTTGTCAAAATCTTGAAAAACACAAATAAGGGAGAAGTAGGGCTGCAAATACAATGTACATCTAATCTGCGGGAAATTTAGGTCCATGTTTGAAATAACTTTTTGCAAAAAAGTTGACTATCAGATAAGTGTATTTCCCTCACTTTTATTAAATAAAGACTTCTACACTCTCCATGTCTATACAGCAGAAAAATATGAATCCTCATTTACACTTGCCCAACAAATATACTGTTTAACATTTCCTGCTTTACTTTCTAACATCGAGGGTTCAGTGACACAAAGACGTAACTCCATATTTTGCCAAAATGAGTATTTGACATTAAAATGTTCAGAAAAATGTGGGCTTTCCAGGAAACACAAATACTTAACTCCACCCAACACCCCATTGAAGTCAATGGCTAGTGAAACATAGACTTAACTCCTTAGCCCAAGTGGACCTCTATCTTTAAACCACTTTTTCTCAAAATGGCCCAAATGGAGTTACTTCTTTGTGTCACTGACCCTCGATATGCATGACTTATTTCATTGTAAGCTGTAGATGAACTCACAGTCTTCACCCTCCTCATCACTTGAGAGCTCATCGATATCCTTGTTCTCAATCCATTCCATGTTCATGAAACCTGGTATCTAATAACACATCAAAATAACACACCAGTTAAACATGTCAATAACAAAGGCAATCTACATTGAAAGTTGCCCACAATGAAATACAACAGCAAACTTCATATAATAATAATAATAATAATAGTATTTAGCTTTTATATAGCGCTTAATACAAATGTCTCTAGGCGCTTTACAAATATACTATTACAGATATGCAATTACAACATATATTTATTTTACAATTTGACATTAGATGTTTAGTTAATTAGAATCATTAATTAATATGAAGATTGCTAACAGTATTGATTTCTTATATTCTTGTATGTATAATTTGTAAACTGAATTGTATGAGTCTCAAGACTTTTTATTCAGCATGTTTTTATTTACAATAAACCAGAGTTGGATTGAATTGAAAAAGATATTGATACCTCTGCTTGAAGCTTCTCTCGGATAGCTTTCTTCATTTCAACCTTCTTGCTCTTCCAGGCATTCTCATCCTGCTTGCCTTCTAAGAAACTCAGATCAATGGATTGACTATCAAAGTTCTCGTAGTCAAACTGAAATAAAAGCAGACACATCACAATTCAAAATAAAAATTAAACCCACTAATATGGCTTCATGATCTAAGTATCAAAGTTCTCACATGTGAAACTACAATGTAGCCAAATATGAAGGAAACTCAAATGTGCAGATTGACTGTTCAAGATCTTAAATTGGCATCAGGCAAACCATTATTAAAGGCAGGCTTTACTACTTCAGCTAGAAGGGATTAGACCACCCAGCGAGCCAGCGAGGTCACTGTGACAGGTCACTGTGACAGGTCACTGTCTCATTAGCTCAGCTCTCATTTAACATAAGAAAAAGAGGATCATGGGGGACCAACAGGCACCAATTGTGGACGTTTTCTATATAGAGGGAGCAATTAGCTACAAGTAGGACAGTGTGCCTTTAAGAGATGTTATACAGTATATCTCGACTATGACATCAGTCAACTTCCACACATGCTTCTGATGACCTTAAGCAATATCTGGATGAAAAATGGAGACCTACAGATAACCAAATTGTATGAATTCACAATGATTTCAAAAACACATATTACGCCCACAGCGAAAAAAAAAAAAAAAAAAAACCATTAAAAAAAAAATCTGTATACTACAGAAAAATATTCTTACCTTGGAAAGTTCCTTCATGAATTTCTCAAATCTTGGCAAGTTAAGATAGCCACCCTCATTAAGGTATCCTATGACAAGAGAAAAAGAGATAGAAAGTAATGCGCTATCTGTGTTAAATGATGTTCTTTCTTAACCTTGTCTACGTCATACATCATAATGATTATCATGTCTGGGACGAATACTAATTTTACTATTTGAATATTCATGCAAAAAGGTATTCCAATAGTTTGAATATTTTGAATACCAAGTTTCAAAGTCAATTGTGCCATTAAAACGGGAAGTTTGTGCCAATGCAATGTAGAAAATATCTTAAATCGGAGATATCCAAACTGCAAGAGTATTTCATTTAAAATTCAATACCATTTTCAGAAGCAAAATAATCTTCCTTCCCTAATCCTTTGGAACTGTTCTCATTTAACATTTAAGAAGAACTTCAGACATCTGAATATTTTCATCTCAAACTTACCATCCAACGTAGGCAACACTTTGATGTAGGTCTTGTAGAGCAAGGGCAGTGCACTATGGGATATATGCAAATCAGGTAGATTGGGTACGAAATCATTGCCGACAAGGAATCCCAGCAAGACCCAGTCATCAATAATGCACTCTGCATCAAACCAATCAATTTGATCCTGCAGATGAAATTTCAAGAGACAAAGCAATTATTTGATTCTATCTTCATTTGACGCAGAAGATTACATTTTGATTGTCACACTGCCTCTATAGATCTGCAGTTTAGAATATAACTGGTTAAAGTGAACTTCAGATTTAAAATTGTCATTTTTTCTTATAAAATGTACCACTGCAACATTAAGATCATCATCTCTATGCTTCTTTTCAGTCCTTCTATCATTATTGGTAGTGTAACAAACTCAAAGATATGCTGAATCACTGATCAGTCAATCAAAGCAGAATATATAGCTGAATAGAAGTACTCAAAATAAAAGATAATGATATTGAGGCTAAAACCTGTAATTTCACAACATTGACCTTTGACCTACTTACTACAAAATATTATCAAATTAGCTTTCTATGGTGATACATACTTTCACCAAGTTTGAAGTTTATACCTCAAGTGGTTCTTGAGATAAAAACATGAGGATAAACAATAAGAGGGAGAGTGAATTTATACCTTGACGGCACTGAACTCAAGAGCAAGATATTCTCTGAAGAGGGAGAGATGCAGAAGATGAAACGTTGTCTCCTCCACTGTCGTTGGTCTCTTTGCCTGTTTGCCAAATCGAACTTCCTCTCGAAGTAATGAAAAATGTGGTTCATGGGATATGAGCCCCAGCATGATCTGAAAAAAGAAATTCATATTAGTGCTACAAACCCAGTGAACTAGACAACCAAAGGGTATACCATTAGGTTTGTACATGTACTTGACACTCTACAAATGTCTGGGGGCACTGTTGCTCACATTTTTGCAGCACCTTTGTTCTTCATGATTTCAAGTTTCCTTGAAATCAAATATTTTCTTGGGTGTCATTTAATATGTACAGTTTGTGTCTGTATGTATGCACTACTTTAATATAGTCCAGAAACATTTCATACCTTTCATTTTATATTACAAATGAAATTTAATATCATCAACAATGAGGCTTACCCATCTGGAAAAAAAAAACTGTTAAATACTATAATGAGAAGACTAATTGTATATAGATGCATTCTAGCTATATGCATGAAGTTAATTTGTTAATGGACTACAATTTGAAAAGCCTGCAAGTCTGAAGTAGCCAATGCCTTAACCCTATTTAGCCCGGGCTATTTTGAAACTGCATAGCCCAGGGGGGGGCTTCTCAGGCCCCCCCCTGTGATCTCGGCCGTGAAACGCCCGATCGCCGCGAAAATTTGCATACATGTCAAGTGAAGTGTATAGAATACTATGGTAATTTCAATTTTTTTGAAAAATTCACTCATTTGCATATTTATGGTAATTTATGCAAATAAGGTCATTAAATTCACATTTTTGCCCATAAATCAGACATTATTCATATTTAAGCATTCTTTCTCACTACATATATTTGTTAGACCATTTGGAATAATAATACAACACAAAAATTTGAAAAACCAGGGTTATTCCTTATGTTATCTATTGTTTTGATAATTTCTTATGTATTTCTTTGTTTTTTTAACTTATGTATTTTATTGTTTTTGTTGTTTTATTTCATTTCCAACTATAATTCAACTATTTTGACCCCAAAATAAACACCTAAAATCTAAACAAGACCAAATAACCAATGTTTTACCTCTTTATTTGAAAAATGAGATTTCCATATGTTTTGTACACAAATCACAAAAATGAGCGATTTTCGGGCTGACATGCGAAGACAAAAGGACACGTGACTTTGTAATGGTAGGTCCGATTTTCGAAAAATTTCTTTCAAAAGTTGCGCAAGACTCGAAAGAAAAAAGTCACAAAATTTCAGTGCAAGATTTTCTTGCGTTAAAAAATTATCGCGAAAAATGTCGAGGGGGGGGCTTCTCAAGCCCCCCCCCGGGCTAAATAGGGTTAACAGCGTTTATGTGTATAGTACACAGACAATCAAGCTCACTATAATCTTTAAAATAAGTACTATTTGTACATTTAAAGGATTTTCTTCTCAAAAAAAATTAATATTACTAGATAACTTCAAATGGATTATAAGTTATATGTTTGTAGTCCCTAGGAAGGGTTAAAAAAAACGACCGGTAGTACTGGTTACATATCTACAGTTACAAGCACAGCATCCAAGGAAAACTTACGAGATCTGCATCCAGCCCATACAGGCAATGTCTGGTGTTGGGATCATGTTCTTTTTGGGCCTTCTCAGCTCGAATGAAATCCATGATCTTATGTTCTCCTTCTCCTGGAGTCTGCACAGAGAATGACAATCAAATCATTAAATTGTCAGTTCAGAGCCAATAGGGCTTTTACTATGTGTTCAAGTATATGTGTTAACGCCTTTTTGGCTCCAAATAGATGATGAGGGGCTTCTTCGACAATCAATACATGTACATTCCTACCCAGGTTAAGTACGTTTAAAACACTGCATGAACTTACAAATGCATTTTAATTAGCCTGTTTTTTAAGGTAAAAAACATAATCTTAACCACCCGAATAAACATGCATACTTTCCCTGATTTTCATCAATTTAATTTAGAGCGTTAAAATGCATATTTGTTTGTAGGGTCAAAAATGTAAAACATTTACCGCAATTTCATTGTTTGCCCTGATTGCCATTATACCTAGATATAACACCGTCATCATTGGTGTTACTGCAAATGATTTTGAGAAAAATATTTCCAATAAAAAGAAAGTTTTAAACAACAATCAACCATGTTTAAAACAATTTAAAAAAATGTTTTTAAAACAATTTAATAAACGACCCTCTTCCTACCTCATGCCCAGACAGAAAGATGCGAATTCCCTGCCACTTGGAGTCTTCTGTGATCTTTGTGTTGACAAAGTACTTGAGTTGTCGTTGAAGTCTGACCATGAAATCTGTACCAGGTGTGATGCAGTTAGAGTCGAATCTCTTCTCGTCTGGAAGTGTTTCACCCTTGCGCACAGCCTCCTTCTCCCTCTCCTCAGCCTCAAGAGCTGACCTGTGTCACACAGAGAGATCAAAGTTCAGTCTGGGTTGTACACGATATGCTAGCTAATATTATCAACAAACATTTTTGGACTTGCCAGCACATGCCCAAACATAAAATAGAGTGACGATGCTGGAAGTCAAACCAGGCTGGGTCCTAGAAACCTTCCAGTGTAGACTTTTGGTCCACTTCTGGACCAGTTATGGTCAGAAGCTGACCGATAATCCTCATTGGCTTTGTACACAACTTTGTGGGAATACATGATTTAATGCTAATTTTCAAATTCAAAGATAACTTAAAACTGCAGTGTATTTCTTAAGTTTAAACTATATTCTGTAAGCTTCAACACTTTTGGCATTGTATTGGAGAACACAAGTAAAGAAATTGGTCATTTTCATTGGAACAATCACACAATATAATGACCCACGTTACCCGCCTATTATCTTTTACAAATAGGAGATAGTACATCTTTTTTCATTCTGAAATATCCTTGCTAGTCCATATATCAATTAGTTAATTATCAGTTAGGGTAGCAAAATACTGTGCTAGATATAAGTTTGTACTGACCTAAATCTTCTACCTCGTTGTTGATTCATCTTAGCTCTGGGTGCTACACCATCAACAGCCATGAAGAAAACCTTGCGAGGTTTGATGATGCGGAACAATACCTGACAAAGTAAATTTATTCAATAAAACTGTTCAAAATATCATTTATAAGAAAAGAAGAAAATAACTCAAATTAGCCAAGCCAAGCAAAAACCATCCTTTAGATTATTTAACTTATTCAGGAACATATTTGTATAGTAAATGTAAATTTTTCATTCCTAACAATAGAAATATGAACAAAAATTGAAAAACTTGTATGGGAATGTTAATAAACATGAACTTAGAATTACTCCCCTCAATTGAACGTCCTATTTGCCAAATATCAACTAACAATGATATGTCACACTGATTTGAATGGTTCCATTATCTATCTACAACACACACAGTACATACCTCTATGTAATGGAAGATGGATTTGAACATATCCTCTTCAGTCATGCGGAAGTGAACATCATCATCATTGGGATGTGTACATGTGTGGATTATGCCATTCATATCCAAGTACAGGTTGTCAAATTCAGGAATCTGGAATGAAAAAAAAAAAAAGTTATGCACAGATAAATTCAAAAACATTTCACTTGAAGCCCGAATAACTAAAATGATATAATAAAATTTACCAGATTTTAGTGGTGTAAAACCACCAAACATTAGCTGATAATCTTGTTCTAAGTTTGTCAGTCAGTTAAAAATCTTAAACTTTCTCTTACTTCATTACTAAGCAAGGAAACTTATCTCTTTAAAGTATGCAGTTTCCTTTTGAATAATTCTCCCATAACAGTCACCATCTTGATTGAAATAGTTGGTACAATTTTTTAATTTTTTTAATCTAGAAAATTATATCCCAACTGTGTCCGGTTTACGGCAACATAAGGAGCCCATATATGGGGCCAAAAAGACAGAACACATTGTCATCATAAATCACACAGACAAAATCATATTTAACCAGAACGTCAATGACGTAGCGCTCATTTGACATCCAGCGAAAGCAATTGTGATTTTCATTTCACCAGTATATTGTTGGGAAATGGGGATGAAGAAGCATTTTTTAAAATTTGTAATTATCATAGTTATGATTGAGGGACAATATGAAAATACTGAGTAGAAGTTTTAAGCATGCAACTTAGCCTATCACTTAAAATACAATCCTAAACAGTCAATAAATGAAGTACAAGAATTTGTTGTGGATTTGTATATTAAAATAAGCATAAATAATAACTCCATAATTAATCAGTTTCAAATAGCTGTAAAGTTCAGAATCCTGAGACCTGCGGGGAAAAGAAACACAAATTTAGTATTCCCACCCAGCCATATTTATAACCAAGACAAATGCGACTGCATCTCCTTGGGGGCTATAGTATACTCGTGAACAGAGCCCCCATCCTATACACTTTTATGACAGATAACACGGTAGAGGGGCTTATTTCAACAGGGTATTTGGAAAGTACATTGGCATCAGATGGGAAGGATCACGGGCAGATTAAGTTTGCTCCCTTCCTTTTAAGTAATTTCTTTTAGAAATTATCTGTTCCTGTGTAATTAAATTGATGCCCTCCCTTAAATATTCTATTAAACATCAAATTTGCTTATAGATGAAATAACTATTTCAGTTGCTCCCTCTATCTTAATTGATCTTTTATGTCAAATTTGCTTCAACTTTAATTTAAGTGCCCCCCTCACTTTTAATTTTAAAAAAGTCCCTTTCAACCCCCATTTAACTCTTTTTGTAGCCCCCATTTTTGGACACTGGTTCTTCACAGCAGAGAAGCTGAACTTTCCAAATACTTTCAAAGAAAGAATTTGTCTTTTATGAAAATGCATAGGACGGTGCCATGTTCAAGAGTATACTACTATAGTCGTTATCTAAGCCCATCTCTGTGTTGCAGAACATAAAATGCTGTTGCTTCGCTGTTGAGGCATAAAGAAATCCTTATTTGCCCCTCCAGGTAATGTTATATTTCTCTGGTATGGAATTTTCATGAAAGTTTGAGCAATATCCGATTAAAAGTAGGAAAGTTATGAAATTCTGAACTTGTCATCCGTGAAACACAAATTAGCAATTTACTATGACATATCTTACGAGCTGCTCTTCAATTTGCTCTGTAAAGAAATTTCCTAAACTTCCTTTCTCTTAGTTATTTAGGACAGGATAGACTTGTTTCATTAACTGGTTGTAAAAAACATATTGCCAATAATATAAATTTAGGGTGAATAGATCTATATAATTGAAAATTTTCTATTAAATTTCTGTGTTTTTTGATAGAAGAGGTGATCAACGTTCCCAGAGATTTTGAAAATATTAGAAAATGTGATACATCACAAATAAGGTAATTTCATAATTTGCAAGGAAATATACCGGTATATCATACAATCAGTTGGTACCACAAATACGTGAGGAATGCTGAAACAGCAGTCCAGCTTCCAGGTCTATCCTCTTGTACTCATTCTCATTATATACAAGTCAGGGAGGAAGAGGGACAAAAGGAAGCATCTGCTCTCAAAATGAAGATTTCCAGACCCTTATCGGTAAGTTAATAACTTTTGGGAACAGACGCAAACGACTGCAAAATGTGTCGTGTCAATATTTTCATAATTTCACTCCCAATTCCACAGAAAATTCTGTCTCTGGGTAATTTTATGTTCCTCTTTCCATTGGTGATATCAGATTTTCAAAATCTTACACATTTTTTGACATGGCGAACTTAGGTCACGCACGAACATGCACACACGAACTATGGTCACATCATCATTACCAGTAGGGGTGCTGGTCTGAGAATGAGGACCGTCCACATAAACGAGGATATCCTGGTAAACGGGGACAAATTGCGTCCTAATAAATAAGGATCTTCCGCATTTTCACAGAAGTTATTTTTGGCGTTCTGCAGGTGTAGGGTTCACAATCTGCGCGCTGGCGATGCAAAATATGGATTCGCGTGATAAAATACCCCCAGTTCACCGTCTACTTTTAAGGGTTGTCCATTTTCCCCCGAGGATTAATCGCATAACGTGAAATTCTCTGTAGACAGTCAATGTAATGCATCAAGAAAATCATTACGGAATCTGTTTTTCGCATCGCCAACGCAGGGATCAGAAATCAGAATCGTCAGTGAAAATGCGGACGAACCTTTTTTTTGCAGAGGCGTCTGTGTGTGTTTACAAAGACAATCCTCGTTAATGCGGACGATCGTTATTCTCGGACCTGCGCCCCACGTGATTACAGTGTCACTGTCAATGGCAGTGCAAATAAAAGGGAACCGTCACAGAGTTGCCAATCAATATGTTTTTGATTGATCTGATTTAAAAAATTAATAACTTTTTATCAGGTCTCTTTTTAATCAGAATTTGCTCAAACTTTCTCATTTTTCTGCCAGTGCATCATGCTACTATTTGATTTACCTTGATGTTGGGCTTCAAGTATAATTACTTATATGCCCCAAATATGTGTCAGAAAAAAAACTTAAAATTAGGGCCAGCACTGTGTGGACTTCCCCAATTTCATTTGGACACAATGCCCAAGTAACAACTAGACCTATTACACATTACAATAACACTCCCGATATTAACACACGTCACTAGCCTATGCTGATGTAACTCCGGGAAGCTCCAACACCGGCGCCGGTGTTGGAGCTTCCCGGAGTTAATGCTGATGCTATGCCTACGGCTAGGCCTAGCCACTACTCACACAGACACAGTCAGCCACACTCACTCACACTCAGTTTACGGAATACGGTAGGCCTACCTGGTTCTCTTTTACAACCTCACTGAGACATGGATAACGCTCACTCTGCCACCGATAGAACTTTGGTACCCCCATCTTGATTTCAAACTTCAAACTTTATTGATATATCTTGAAATCCTTCTTGAAAATGGCGACTAGCGTCCCCTGTCTCCTGCGCTCCTTGTCTTGGTAGTGAACGAACAGTTCAAGCAAAATATTAACTCAATCCATGCGCCATATTGCGACAGCGACTAGAAATCATAGCTCTGGTGTCTCCAAAACGGCCAATCGAAAAGGAAAAAGAAATTTGGGGCGTCTCATAACTGAGCTGAAAATATGTAGTGTAGTAGTAGAGCTAACTGGTCTCGATTTTAACGGTAGAGTAAGAGACTTTATTGTAATGACCTGAATGGTTGTCGTAGATGTCACATGCACATTTTTTGTTTTGGTCTGGGTCTTGCTGTTTCATATTGAAGTTGAGAAGTTGAGGCTTAAAGGCCCACTGCACTACTTGTAGCTACTTTCGCCCTCTATGTAACAAACAATGCCTAATCGGTGACCATTGGTCCCCCATGATCCTCTTTTTCTTATGTTAACTGAGAGCTGAGTTAATGAGATAACCACCTGTCCAGTGACCTTGCAAGGGCGGTCTAATCCCTCCTGTATACTATGGCAGATAAGCTTTAAACAAGCAAAGGGGAGCTCTAATCCTCACATTATACTTGGAAATGCACAAAATTCGTTCTTTAACTTAGTTTGAAGCAGTTAAAAATATTGTATGACTTTTTAATTCAACTGAATAATCCATTTTAGAGCTGGAAAGTGGCACATTCTTTACTCTTATAAATGCAACATGCCAAAAGTTTTTTGTGTGTGTCTTTAACTGCCAATTACAATGGAACACGCTTTTCTATTGTTTTGTGGATCCTAGATCCCTCAGTTTGCTTGAACGTTTAAAAAAAATTAAAAATCTTGTAGACTTGAAGTTCTTTCTATATATGTAGAGTTTGATTTTGAATAATATTCTTTTATAGTCTACATTTAAGCAGATTATTTACATTTGTTTAAATAACAAATTGAAGATATTGATTTAGCCAAAAAATAAAGCAGATGGTATATCAATTGTTATGTTACGATTCTTGAAATTCCTGCCAAATGTTGAAGCGAATTAAAGTGGGGGCGGCAGATCTGGACCACCTCCCCTACTCCCAGTACATGCACCGTTTCTTCCCATTCCAATCTCTCATTCCTCCTTACTGGTCACTGGTGCAGTTATTATATATCTATAGAGTCAGTTCCTATCTCCTTTGGGCCATAATTTTGTATAAGAGTGGATTATGACAATTATACCCCTTATAGTTAATGGTGTAAGCAAGCAGTAAAGAAAGAAGAAAATACGAGATAAGAAACGTTTGTGATGGTACGAGGCTTTGATAGCCAAATATTTCTCAGGTACCCAAAATCTTATTATAAGGGCCCAAAATGTAACACAAGTGATTAAAGAGAACCAAATTATAGTTAGATGATATATTTTCTTTCTTCATACCGGTATATGTACAGTTTATGTTATACTAAAGGTAATTGTTAATTCAACTAATATTACATCATTAGTGGGGCACCTGATTGGACACTGGAGCCCTAAAGCTATTCATTGCAATGTTAGCTTTCTTTGCTGTGAAGAACGTACTTGTCAATAATTAGCTACCTGTAATCAGTCTCTCAGGGGGTGTAAAAACGACTGATTCATGATTCTCTAGCTATCACTTGTAGGGAAAAAAACCTGCAACGATCACTATTGCCTATGCTCCTAATAATCCAGGAGAAACTCTACCAAAATTACGGTCTCTAGCAATCTCAATTCCTAAGGAAGAGTAAACCATCATATGGGAACTTCAATGCCGGAGTAGGCACGGATCACCAGACTTGGGAAGTCGTAATAGACAGGAATTGGGATTGAGTAATTACAGTGATTATCTTGAACAATTACTGGATCGAGGCAACACAGGAAAAAATCAATACACACTCATTATTTCTCCTTGTATTTATTGTCTGATAACATATCCATAGATAAAATGCACAGATATGAGAAGAACAAAATATTTTCTGTAGGAAAATACGTTTTTAAAATTCATTGCCATAATAATGAAGAGCTGCCTGATATAGAAACTGCTACTGCTAATTTGTGTTTGATCGACCACAAGTTTACAAATCGATAATTCCTATTGTTTATCTCTTTTCCTCAAACTGTCAACTGACCAGTTTCACTTACTTTCTGCCAATATAAGGAATCTCATCTTGGAAATAATTTCATAAATAAGCTAGTCCTAGGATTTTGTATCTTGATAGATTGTGTGTTGAATAGACACAAAACGGAATCATTACAATTACATTAAACCCTTGACTACCAAATTCTCTCATTCCTATAAGCTCAATACAGGATCCTTCTGATTCCTATAAGCAATGGGTCCAACAAAATGTATACTTTTTACATTAAGTTTTTCACTTAATACTGTCATGATGGCCATTATGCCATTAAGAACACTTTGGATTGGTTTGTATTTGAGTAAAAAATGTTTTAATGAATACAAGTTAATTATTCCCAACATTGCATTAGACAGTTTAATGTACATGTATAAATTAGATGCCGGGTCATTGTGGCTCACTAATGTAATTGCATTTAATATTTCTTGACATTCATTAGAAAAACCTGCTCTGCTTTTCTAATTGGAATTAATACCCTGAGAAAGTACATGGTATTCTGAAAGCTCAATTAGCAAATCGATATCTGGAAGGTCACTGACGCGCCCATTTCTAATTGGCAGGTGGTATGTTGCACTTTACTGTAAGCCTGGGTTGTGCGTGGAGTAGTTAAATGAGGTGTTAAAAGAGTTTGGTCTTCTAAAAGCTGTTAGCTGTCAATACAAATAATGAAAAACCTAATAGGTCTCTTATGTTTGTAGTTTTTGAATGACAGCACTTTTTTCTGTATTTTTTAAATTACATAGGCCTACTGTCTATTCAATTGCTTTCTTCCTTTCAATACGACTGAGTGGTCTCAATATTATTATTGAACATTTGGTGGATGTTTCAAGTCAAGAAAGTTAAATTATCGCAAGGCCTTTTGAAAGCAGCTCTCGAAGACTGCAATTCACTACACATTCATTTCCTATGTTAAAGTTGGAGTGTGTATAGACCATTTTGCTTTGTTACAACACATCTGATTTTTGGAAATGGACTTCTATAAATATTTTATTAGAGTGAACATTTAAAATGGCAATTTGGAGGTCTGTTAGTGCTCATTTAAGTAGAGGACTTCAGAGAAAAGTTCAAAGGAAAGTATTTTTGTTTAAAAGGTGAGCTTTCAGAATACTGCCACTGTCACAAATGTATAACATTTGTGAAGTAAGATATCATGAAGGACAGCTAGTAACAAGATTAACAATGAAAATATTTGTTACTCTGAATGTGCAAAATTCATAAGGTTTGTGATTCTGCAAATTTTGAAAAATGAAAATGAAATAGAATTGAAATAAAAATTGTATGATAAACCCTCGTACAGACTCTTACAGAGTAACAGACACTTGCGAAATTATGAATCCCTTTTAATGAACCTTTGGAAAAACAAACCTCTAGAAACATGAAATATTGGATTAAGACACCAAATCATTTTCATCAATCATCATTTGGGAATGTTGCTCCATTATAAACAGTTATTATCACTACATATATTTATGAATGATTAATAAACTTGAATTGAATTATCATCATTATTTTATTCTTCTTACTTGTGGAAATCATGCCAAAACCCAAGACTGGTGTTATCAGATATAAAGGCTACATGTCAAGAAATGAACAATAAGGTTTTGTTGGCATGAACTTTGAAATGACAACTAACCTCAAGAAAACTGATGTACAATAGTTCAAGAGAAGGTTGAGTTCTGGGAAGAGGTCAAAAATAATTTGTGTGCATTATCATTCTTATTATGCAAAAGACATGTTCCCTGAAAAGCATGGCTCTTCAAATGCCTTCATATTCTAAATATGTCATGTAACATCGTAAAACTCGGGGGGGGGGGGGGGTAGGCTTTTTACGCCACGTGTTCGTGTAGTCCCATATACATCTTTCTGTGTACAGTGTTTGTAACTTTACCAAGACTTAGCCAAATTTCTTATCATTTTGATGATTCCAGAACCTTGCAATACACACAAAGTCTTATATGCTAGATGATCAACCTTTTCTGGTCGATTCCACACCGTTTCTTTCACAATGCAATCGCATGACCAGAACTCAACTTTATCTTTAACACTTCTGATACATTTTATACATGTCTCCAAAATCAGGTGATCTGTCGATTCATTCTATAGCTTGTATGTGTAAGCAATGTAACCGACCAACTCTAACAACGAGTAACACCATTCAACATTCAAAAAAATATATTATTTCTTGTGATTTTTGGATTTCCTGCTCAAAGTTGATAAAAGGTATGTTCTTCCCTCATACAGAATCTCATACGATATAAGTCTATTCCTCCACTCCATAATGTGATTTCCACTGAGAGAAGGCAATAACTGCATCAGAGGAAAGCTCTGAAATACATCGTAGAAACTTCCTTTATTCTATTAGAGCTGTGGATCATCTTTTGTCCTTTTTCTTCATTTGTCCCATCAGCTTATAGACTTCTTGTTTGGCTACCTTCTGTCTCTGTTCCCTCTGTGCCTCAACAACGGCCATCTGTAAAACAATCATTAATAATAATAATAATATAATAACGTTTTATTTACCAAGGGTAGCCACTTCAGTTATGAAACTGCTCTTCCAGCAGGCCCTGCATAACATAACATGTTATTACTACCCTTCTCCAATCTAAAATGCTGAGCGCCTAGCTAGAAGGCAGAAGGTCCGATTGTTATAAGTCTTTGGTATGACTCGGCTGGGGTTCGAACCCATGACCTCCCGTTCATGAGGCGGGCGCTCTAACGACTGAGCCATCATTCAAGATTCAAGATTCAAGATTATTTTATTAGTCCATGCATGCAAACATTACATAGAAATTTTGCTTCCAATGGCTTTTTTTGACAGTGAAAATACAAATGATAGAAAATACAATATAACATTAACAATAGAAAACTATATACATAAATATGGATAACTATTTATAGTGTGCATATGCCCCTCAATTTCCTATTGCCTACATTTAACATGCGTCATAAATTAAAATGTCTCATAATATAATATAGTATTTCTCGTCACCACCCCCCCCCCCCCCACATCCGCTAGCTCCCGATCCACAGATGGTTTTGGATTTGCAGAAAAATAACAGGAATAAATACATTTACATTTAGATTTCATAATTATAAATGCGTGATATAATTACGCAACACTTCTACAGTAAAATGAACTCTTAACGATTGAAGAAATCAAGTTAACAATTTACCGGCACAATCGTATGAATAAATAACATGCATCATAAATTAAAATGTCTCATAATATGATATTTCATTTCCCGTCAGCCCCCCCCCCCCCCCCCCCCCATCCGCTAGCTCCCGATCCACAGTCTCCAGCTATTCGTTTAATTGCACTTCAATATCAGCTATTGAAGTGCAATCAAACGGACAGCTTTCAAAATCAACAATAGCAATTTCAAATCCAGTAGGAAATATATTTCGAATCCAGTAGGAAATATACGATTATAAGGATAGGTAGGTAGCCTTATGTATACATTTATCGCGTCACAGTTGAATTATACACATGTATGGAGTTAGGGATGAATGAATTACGAGAACGTGAAAGGCGAGTACGGGGAGGGCACAGTCTTATTCCAGAACGGTTGAACCTGAAACGATCATTGAGAAGATGAGTATTGTCTGTCATTATAACTTTAACTTTTGCAAGTAAGCGTTTTTCATAAAGTGCTGGAACAGGGGGCAGATCTGATCCTATAACCCTCTGTGTGACTCTTCGAGTTCGGTCTACTCTTCCCTTTTGCTCGTTTGACATGTTACCAAAAGTGCAGATCAGATTGAATGTCATTACGCTTTGGATGATCGATTGGTAGAAGAGCTTCAGGATGGTTCTATCGATATGAAAGCTCTTTAGTTTCCGTAAGAAAAACATCCTTGTGTTCGTTTTCTTTTGAACAGACAGACAGTTTTGCTTCCAAGAAAGCTTATCATCAATGATTGTTCTCAGGTATTTGTACTCATGTACCTGCTCAATGACGTCTCCATGAATACGGAGTGGCTCATGTATTGTATTGCCTTTCCGGAAGTCAACGACAATTTCTTTGGTTTTACTAGTACTTGTCACACCAAAGGACAAAGTCTTCAACTTGGGAGATGTATTCATGAGGGTCATTGAACAGGTAGCCTGGTATAATCAATGAATCATGCAGAAATCACTGCTTTTATTAGTCAACAGTATTTTCAGTATTTTACAAAGCCTTGGTATTATTAGATATACTGAGAAAGTTCAGGCCCAAATCATGGTATCATTACGTAGAGGTGTGGTGGATAAGTCACCCGACTGCAGATCACAAGATACGGGGTTCAAGTCCCGACGCGGTACTAATGTCCTTTGGCAAGACCTTAATCTACATTTGCCACTCTCCACCCAGGTGTTAAATGGGTACCCGGTAGAATGTGAAAGTTAATATGGTTGGATGAGCAAGTGTGCGCTTGTAAAATGGCAAATGGATGGAATGGTCCCCAGGAGTGGAGGATCAAAAAATCATTTTCTTTTTCCTTTGCAAGTGCCTGCTCTGGACCAGGCTCTCCCGCTAATACTAATATTGCTCCTTCACCAGCCTATCCATGTTTTTTAGCCCCCAAACTCCAACCCACACAATGTCAGAACCCCCCCCCCCCCCCTCCCCTAACCTCAAAAGCCTTGGGGAAATCAAACCCTTCTGCCCCAAGATAAAAGGTACCATTTCTAACCCTGTGATTGAACACATGAATAATAATAATAATATTTAATTCTTATTACCCCGGTCATTGGATTCAGTGCTTGCCCGCACACAATGTGTGCACAATTTCCACTCCATAGTGAGCATTCCAGCCAGGCGTTACATGACGCTCAAAGACTGTTTGACCAACAATGACGGTCGCATCCTACCGGGTACCCATTTAACACCTGGGTGGAGAGTAGCAAGTGCAGGTTAATATCTTGCCAAAGGATATTAGTGCCGTGTCGGGATTCGAACTCTCGACCTTCGCATCTCAAAGTCAAGCGCCTTAAACCACTCGACCACGACACTCCCAGTAAAAGGAGGGTAGAGTAAGGGAATAGCATTCATGGTATGGGTAAGTATGGTGCTCGTCCGCTGTGGATATGGGTTTGGTCACATACCTTTTTCTTGTGAGCTTCCACTCTGGTTGACATGGCCTTGCGATCCTTCCTCTCTCTTTCTTTGTAAAGTGTGCTCAATTCATGCATCAATGCAGCAACCTGTTACAGCACAGAAACACAAATGATTGTCACACAAACCATATAATACAACCCCTGAACTAAAGGTATAATTAATTCAATAAATGGAATAGCTAATATGATGAACACATGAAGAGTATGAAAACTATCTTCTCCTATTATTTCTATGATATTCCTATTGAATTATAATGACAGTTCTTGTTTAAGATCGCAAATGCCTTCAAAGTGCATGGTTATTGCTCTTATTCTTATTTATGACATTTCTAGTGCCCTTTTAGGACCTAAAATTGCTATGAAGATAATTTTAGACACCAAAATATGTGAAATTTAGATTAAATCCGATTATACCAATTTAACTCCACTTTCAAAAAAATATGGTGACCGTTACTTAAAATAATAACAATACACCGGCTGGCTGGCGGGTTGTGCGTATGAAAACCAACACGAAAAAGCCAACAAAAAGCAAACATTGCCATTGGCTGGAATAAAACGTATAGGCGCTTGCTCGGTTTTTCAACGGCTGGTTCAAAATTATCAAATAGTGGATACTTCAGCCGTCTCTGAACCGATTTTGACAAACAAAGATGATTTTGATATTTAAATGGTATGCTCTTTCAAATTAGACACTCAGTTTTTCATTATCTCACAAAAAAGTTATACCAAAAATCAACTATCCCTTTAAATTCATGACTATAATCACAATACAAAGTGTCTTATCATGCCTTGTCCATTGGTACTTCATGGTTTCTACATACCTTTCTCTCTTGAGGCTCTCTGATGACAGCTCTCAATGCACCTAATGTTGCACCCTTCTTTCCTCTCTTCTGTACTTTCTTGCCTGTGTTCCTGAGCTTCTCCTTAAATGGAAGATCTTTTCGTAGACCCCTTGGAACCACAAGTGGGTTAAACCTCCGAGGCTTCCTGGCCACTTTCTGTTTTAAGATAGATAAGAGATATAGATAGTTTTTATCGGTTTCCACAATATCACATTTTACAAAGAGTGTGACAACATACATGTATTTAAAATGATTGTAATATACATGTACATACAATACCGGTACACACTATTCAGAATATTGTCCATTAAGTTGAACTTAAGAGATAAAGTGGCGGAGCCTATGGAAAAGCAGAGCTTGTTGTGGATAGGCTCCTTAAACTACAAATGACATAATTATCTAATGTAAAGCTTATAAAATACAAATACTTGCTAAAACAGGGAGATTACAGGGATACATGAACCGATACTCACAATTAAACTACGAAAGACAAGGAAAAGGGAAGGGAATATAGCTGCAGCTTATTGAAACAAAATTACAATATAGTTTGTTCTCGATATGATTATATTACAAACATAGTTGACATGGTACCGTTATTTACTCATTGTAATTAACAAAAGTATACAGCTTGGAGACAAGAATAGTCAGGAATCAGGAATGACAATATGTATTCAAATACTAACTTTTTAAAATGTGCAAGGGAAAAATAAGTGCATACAAGTAAATCTATCGGAAAACACTTAAAATGATATTGAGTCCATTTGTAAGAACATTATGATAAAGATGATAATAAAAATATTTTCATCAATGCCATGCTTATACAGTAAATTTCAACTACCATGAACCCATTAATGGCAGTTGGAATTTAAAAGCATGATGTTTCATCACATCTCAATACTTGAAATTGAACAGTTTAAAGCCAGTCGATCAGTGAATTATATTTCAATAGCATCATAGTATCATAGCAGATAATGGTAATCAATTTACACATGAAATAACAGGTACATCACAGTGAAGGGACTCTGTTTTCGGAGGGGGGGGGGCACAAAGGATGTTAATCAGTATGAATGCGCATCTACTTCGTGGATTCACTGTTAAATTTTCAAATAAAATCATGAAATCTTATAATTTGGCAATCAGCATGTACATACATGTGTAGACCTCCCTGCGTGGTCACTGACAGGTGGTTATCTCATCAAATCAGGTCTTAATTAACATAAGGGATCATGGGGGACAGACAGGTACCGCTTAGGCATTGTTTGCTATATAGAGGGCGCAAGTAACTACAAGTAGTGCAGTCCTGCTTAAACCTACCTTGTACTGAGAATCAGCATCATTGGGTACAGGGATGCTGGCATCGTGTCTGATCTGACCAACCGTTCTCATTCCTGTCCAGTTACCTCTGTCCTCGGGGGCAAGCAGTAGTGTGGTCACTGGGTTGTACAGCTTAGGAATGGCTACTTGGAACCATGTACTCACAAACACGATATCTATGGGGAAAAAAGAACAATAAACATTATTACTATTCCCTGTAATTAAGTATAACCAATGTTTACATACACACTTAGCACCAATCTTCCTACATATGCATGTAGTCGTCTTGTGAGGAACAGGGATATACTTTTTCCATATATTTTCAGACGGTATATCTGTTTATTACCATTAAAAAGAAAGAGGAAATCTTTACTCTTTCAATGTTCACTTCTTGTATTAAACCCTCTGTAGTGGACATAATGGACTATACATAATTACTACCCATTATTGGAGTATAACATGTATGGGAGACATACGACCAAATGAAAATGATCTAATTGAGGGAGTTTAAATAGTGGTTTCTATTTACCACAAAATTCTTTGTGCTTGATATATATGCCTTAACCCTATTTAGCCCGGGGGGGGGGGGGGGGGCTTTAGAAGCCCCCCCCTCGACATTTTTCGCGATAATTTTTTAACGCAAGAAAATCTTGCACTGAAATTTTGTGACTTTTTTCTTTCGAGTCTTGCGCATCTTTTAAAATTTTTTTTTTTTAAATCGGACCTACCATTACAAAGTCACGTGTCGTTTTGTCTTTGCATGTCAGTCGTAAAATCGCTCATTTTTGTGATTTGTGTACAAAACATATGGAAATCTCATTTTTCAAATAAAGAGATAAAACATTGGTTATTTGGTCTTGTATATAGTTTAGGTGTTTATTTTGGGGTCAAAAAAGTTGAATTATAGTTGGAAATGAAATAAAACAACAAAAACAATGAAATACATAAGTTAAAAAAACAAGGAAATACATAAGAAAATATCAAAACAAAAGATACATGTAACATAAGGAATAACCCTGGTTTTTCAATTTTTTGTGTTGTATTATTATTCCAAATGGTCTAACAAATATATGTAGTGAGAAAGAATGCTTAAATATGAATAATGTCTGATTTATGGGCAAAAATGTGAATTTTATGAACTTATTTGCATAAATTACCATAAATATGCAAATGATTGAATTTTTCAAAAAATTGAAATTACCATAGTATTCTATACACTTCACTTGACATGTATGCAAATTTTCGCGGCGATCGGGCGTTTCACGGCCGAGATCATAGGGGGGGGGGGGCCTTAGAAGCCCCCCCCCCCCCCCCCCCCCCCGGGCTATGCAGTTTCAAAATAGCCCGGGCTAAATAGGGTTAAGCCCACCGCACTCTACGAAACCTGATTACAATCCTATTTTTGTATAGAATTTGCAAAATCATTCAATTAGAAAATGTAAAGATTTTAATAATCACGGTTCAGAATACACATGTGAATAAGAAAATAACTAGATGGAATTCGACTGCGCGCAGTCGAAAATGATGCCTCCGTTATAGAGCAATTTTACAAACCAAAACAGAAAAAAAAAATTGAATTCACGTTCAATGGTAATCCATTGACAGGTTCTCAGAATATTGTGATTACAAGCAATTTCTCATATACATATATGACCCTTTGATCTTTGACCTCATGACCATAAAATCTACTCAGTTCATTGGCTCTGCAAGATGTTCTGAGTTAAATAGTAATCCATCTGTCAGTTCTAATGAGAATGCGTTCACAAGCTATTTTTGCATACATAATGGGCCCATGACCTTTGACCTTTGACCTTATGAACCAAGAATCTACTCAGTTCATTGGCTCTGCAAGTAACAAACATGACCTAATTTTGGCATGAATCCATCAATTGGTTCTTGAGATAACGCGATCACAAGCTGTTTTTGCATTCATAATGTGCGCTGTGGCCTTTGACCTTTGACCTACGTGCTCCAAAATCTAATCAGATTGTCTTCCTATGGTGATACACACTATCATTAAGTTTGAAGTTTAAATCTCCAGTGGTTTTTGAGATATTATGATAACAATCTCAATGTATGGAATTTCATAAGTTGACCTCTGTGACCCTTGACCTTTGACCTACGTGCTCCAAAATCTAATCAGATCGTCTTCCTATGGTGATACATACTATCCTTAAGTTTGAAGTTTTTACATCTCCAGTGGTTCTTGAGATATCATGATAGAAATCTCAATGTATGGAATTTCATAAGTTGACCTCTATGACCCTTGACCTTTGACCTACGTGCTCCAAAATGTATTCTGATTGTTTTCCTATAGTGATACACACTATCACTAAGTTTGAAGTTTAAATCTCCAGTGGTTCTTGAGATATCATGATAACAATCTCAATGTATGGAATTTCATAAGTTGACCTCTGTGACCCTTGACCTTTGACATACGTGCTCCAAAATCTAATCAGATCGTCTTCCTATGGTGATACATACTATCCTTAAGTTTGAAGTTTAAATCTCAAATGGTTCTTGAGATATCGCGCTAACAAACTCAATACAAGGAATTTCATAAGTTGACCTCTGTGACCTGTGACCTTTGACCTACGTACTCCAAAATCTAATCAGATCGTCTTCCTATGGTGATAAATACTATTCCCGAGTCTTCAGTTTAAATCTTAAATGGTTCTTGAGATATTGTGATAACGGTCAAACGGGACGGACGGACGGACGTACGGACGGACGGACGGACGTACGGACGGACAACCCGAAAACATGATGCCTCCGGCACCACCTTCGGTGGCGGAGGCATAACTAGATGGAATTCGACTGCGCGCAGTCGAAAATGATGCCTCCGTTATAGAGCAATTTTACAAACCAAAACAGAAAAAAAAAATTGAATTCACGTTCAATGGTAATCCATTGACAGGTTCTCAGAATATTGTGATTACAAGCAATTTCTCATATACATATATGACCCTTTGATCTTTGACCTCATGACCATAAAATCTACTCAGTTCATTGGCTCTGCAAGATGTTCTGAGTTAAATAGTAATCCATCTGTCAGTTCTAATGAGAATGCGTTCACAAGCTATTTTTGCATACATAATGGGCCCATGACCTTTGACCTTTGACCTTATGAACCAAGAATCTACTCAGTTCATTGGCTCTGCAAGTAACAAACATGACCTAATTTTGGCATGAATCCATCAATTGGTTCTTGAGATAACGCGATCACAAGCTGTTTTTGCATTCATAATGTGCGCTGTGGCCTTTGACCTTTGACCTACGTGCTCCAAAATCTAATCAGATTGTCTTCCTATGGTGATACACACTATCATTAAGTTTGAAGTTTAAATCTCCAGTGGTTTTTGAGATATTATGATAACAATCTCAATGTATGGAATTTCATAAGTTGACCTCTGTGACCCTTGACCTTTGACCTACGTGCTCCAAAATCTAATCAGATCGTCTTCCTATGGTGATACATACTATCCTTAAGTTTGAAGTTTTTACATCTCCAGTGGTTCTTGAGATATCATGATAGAAATCTCAATGTATGGAATTTCATAAGTTGACCTCTATGACCCTTGACCTTTGACCTACGTGCTCCAAAATGTATTCTGATTGTTTTCCTATAGTGATACACACTATCACTAAGTTTGAAGTTTAAATCTCCAGTGGTTCTTGAGATATCATGATAACAATCTCAATGTATGGAATTTCATAAGTTGACCTCTGTGACCCTTGACCTTTGACATACGTGCTCCAAAATCTAATCAGATCGTCTTCCTATGGTGATACATACTATCCTTAAGTTTGAAGTTTAAATCTCAAATGGTTCTTGAGATATCGCGCTAACAAACTCAATACAAGGAATTTCATAAGTTGACCTCTGTGACCTGTGACCTTTGACCTACGTACTCCAAAATCTAATCAGATCGTCTTCCTATGGTGATAAATACTATTCCCGAGTCTTCAGTTTAAATCTTAAATGGTTCTTGAGATATTGTGATAACGGTCAAACGGGACGGACGGACGGACGTACGGACGGACGGACGGACGTACGGACGGACAACCCGAAAACATGATGCCTCCGGCACCACCTTCGGTGGCGGAGGCATAACAATGTTGGGGGACTGCAGTTTTCCTTGAAGTAGGAAACCTCCTATGAGATCAGAAATAGTATTATGATTTGAAGCCAATTTGACTTTTACACCAACTTATATTGACTACACTTTTTAATTTGGGATATTCATATCAGTATTCAATACCTCAATCAGAAAGATAGTATTTGTTAGTAATTCCATATTCCAATGCATCTGCAATTTGCATCTGCAATTTCTTTGTACAGTGTGCGGTGGGCTTTTCACTTAAGTTCATTTTCCAAATCCTAGATACGTACCACTCCTGAGGATCTTATCTTCAAAGGTGGCTCGGAAGGCTCCAGGTGGTGTTTTTAATGGTTTCTTGATCTGACCTCTGATACCACTGACCGTTCTGACGGAAGCTCCTTCAAACTTGACCACCTCCAAAGCAGAATTGAACATACCCTGCAAAAATGCCAATCAAAGAAACACATTTGTTATGATAAAGTATGATATCAAGTAATGATTCACTTTTTTTTTTATCGTATTGGTGCTTATGTACAGTTATGATAGCAAAATGAAATGAAAAGCTTGATTCTGGACAGTTTGAAGTTTCCTTTATCTTCTGTAGACACAACAGCTTAAAGACTTTAACAATAATCTAACCTGGATAGAATTAAGGCATGAATGAACAGCATGGTGACAAGTCTTAACATCAATAAATCCTTAATATATACCGGAGATGATAATTACAATTACAAGTAAGACAACAAGACAAATCTTTAGGTCTGTGGAAGTACATAAAAACATTTTAGTAACTGAAAATATAAAACGGCTGTATGTGCAGGTGGAACTTATGCCACCAACAATACTCCTTGTGGAGAATCGATGCTTTCAGACAACTGAAAATCTTTTTATTTTCCTTCAATCCATCCTCTTTGTAAGATTTGGTGATAAGACAGTGCAAGTATCAGCTTTACCTGTATGAATGCTGTATTCTTATGTATCTTCAATGGTGTTCCAGTCAGTTTGAGTTTCTTTACCACATTGATGGACTTGTCTAAGTCCAAGATCACTCCAGTGGCAGCTATTCTGAAGCCGGGCTGTTCATTGAAGAAGAAACAAAATACAATCACTTTATAGTTTGTTTCCGATTTGCATTATCTTTCTACTCGAGTAAGAAGAAGAATGAACAGCAACTAGAATTAGAGTGGAAAAGAGGCAGAATATATTGGACTTACAAACATATGAATTTGCTACTAATACCTGCCTTTAAAGAGAAGGTTGAGTTCTCGGAAGAGGTAAAAAATAATTTGTGAGCGTTATCATTGTTAATATGCAAGGGTGGAAGAACATCAGATTAAACATGTTCCCTGAAAAGCATGGCTCTTCAAATGCCTTCATATTCTAAATATGACTTGAAACATAGTAAAAATCCGGGTAGGATTTTTTCGCCATGTGTTCGTGTAGTCCCATATGCATCATTCTGTGTACAGTGCTTGTAACTTTGCCAAGATTTGGCCAAATTTCTTATCATTTTGATGATCCCGAACTTTGCAATACACACAAATACTTATATACTAGATGATAAACCTTTTCTAATAGATTCCACACCTTTTCTAATAGATTCCACACCGTTTCTTTCACAATTCAATCACATGACCAGAACTCAACTTTATCTTTAAATGCATGTTATCAATACAGATATTGGACACTTAAAACATTAAAACCAATGATAACAATGATGTTGGTCATATTTTATATGATCATTCCAAGTCACCCAAAATGTAAAAAACTTCCCATGAAATACCATGTCAATTCTAATAAATTTCATATGAAACCATTACAAAGTTATACCAAACTCACCATTCTGCCTGCCACAGACTGTACAGCCAAAACTCCAGTACCCTGACATGTTATGGGACCTGTATGGAACAAAACAAATAGTGGAAATAGAGTTTAGACTTACCAATGACATTCTAAATAAAGCAAGAGTCTTAATCTCACAGATGGAAGCACTCGATGAGATTTCCTTTGTTTATCTCATAATGCCATGAAGACATGCTGATATAAGACAAAATAATTGTATTATAAGAGTTTAGGTGGGCTACCTAATGTATGAAAACTATATAAGGGTGATTAGACTCTTGTTTGTTGATCGTGACACTCGTGTTAATAAATACATTTTGTAATACCTATGGGAGAAAAAGTGAGAATACACAAGGCCGCCATCCATTTCCAGCCTAACCGCTCACGATGGCGGTCTCCTGCGTTCTGAAATTTATCTCTTTAGTTCAATGAAAAATATATACAAATATCTGTTAGACTTGTTTGTATGCTTTGTATTATGGTTATTGTATAATATTAATAGACATGATTTGCTATGTATGTAATCCTTATGTAAAAAAGAATAACCTTGTATTTGTTATTTGAACGTAGAAATATAATCAATCAAACAAACAAACATGTAAATTTATTTTTGAAGAAAAAATTTGTTTACCCCAAATGATAGATTGGCAGTGCATGTGTTCAGGTGTATACTTGAGAAGTCTGTTGCGTCCATTATGATCTTGGATGGAGTAGAGTGGTATAGTCTGAAAACGTCTCCAACCCACCGATAAGATGAGAGGATCTCTGGTCTTCAGAATCTTAGGGTACCATCTGTGCTTCTTTAGCCGCATCTAAACAGAAAGTCATCAAAACACTTAAATTCTTCAGTAAATTTACAGTTACTATGGTGACCCCCTAGAGATCCAAGGGGTATAGGGATCTATATGGACACCAATGTCATGTCATGTCCATTAAGTCTGCCTGGCTCCTTTCAAGTATTCCGTTCACTTCGTTAATCTTGCCATCTGTATGCATTCATTGATCATTAATGCGACCATTCAGAAATATTCACCAATTGTTGAATCTGTTCGCTGGACAGTGATCGAAAGAACAGTGAACATTGGGGAACTCTTCCAGACTCGCTTAGGGCCGAGTGCATACAGAACCCATCCAAACCTGCCCTTACAGGTCCTTTGTCCTATTTCCTTAATATGCATTCATGACATGATTGCACAGTAGTTGAATTAAATTCCTTGTCTCTAAAACATTTATAGGGTAAACTTTATGGTGAAATATTGTGAATCTGAATAACTTTGAAGCCACAGATGATGTTTTGAAGTGTGAGATATTTACCTGCACGTATCCCACAGCTTCTTCACTATTGAGTAGACCCCCAAGAATAAGTGGATATGCTGGGTCAAAATGGCTGACAAATTCACATGGAACATCAGCAATCTGAAAAAAGACAAAAATTTGTTAAATGTCTGAAAAAATGAACAAGAAAAATGCAACTGCGTCTTTAATATGCCTCCGCCTAAAGTCAGATAGATTCATAGCTTGAGTTATCCTTTGATAGTTCGATACCAGCTGAAATAGCCTAATATATTTATTGATATGATACTAACAAGGTTTAAAAAACCTTTAATTTCATGTATATTGTATACTTTGACTTCTTAACCAAACTCTCCTCAATTTGTCTCACTATAATGACGCATACCTGAGACCAAACATGGGAAAAACGAATGTGAGGGAGCGAAGGGAGGAAGCGTAGCACCGTCCTTTCCCTACTTACCCCAAAATCTAATATCATCTTTCTATGTTGATACATACTATCCCCATGTTTGATGCACTTATCCCAAGCAGTTTTTTAGATATTGAGATGGGGAATGGATAGACATCTCCAAAACATCATGCTTCCAGCACCACCTTTGGTGGGTGGAGGCATATCAAAAGTATGTACTAATGTTAATGTACTAACTTAGGCCCTGAAGACCTGTAGTATAAGATGGTGGTAGATATTGAATACTGACCTCTACTCTGACATACGTTCCTGAGCGGAACCCCTCGTACTGAGTCCTAATGTCATCCTCCATGTCAGCAAACTCACTCCTGTTCAACTGAAAACATACCCCGAATAAATATTATTAATCATCTTACTAAGAAAGAAAAAAACAAAACAATGTTAAGGCTCCTCCAGGTATGACTTGGTAAACCAAAAAAGGGGAAAAAAACTGCATGAAAAAAAGTAAATGAATTGCAACTGCACACAAAAAAGGTCCTGCATGTATTCACCGAGCTCTGTATTATAAGATACAGAAATGTGACGCGCATATCTTTTTACGTTGTCATTATAAAAACAGCCATAGTTTTGCTGTGTCATATCTGAATAAGGCCTTAGTGCGTGTTTATCATATAGGAGACACATTTATCATTGTAACCAATTACAGTAGAAAGTGAGAATTAATAAAATAATGAGGGTACGGCAACAGTCATAGTCAACTAATTAGAGAATCAAATCACAAAATCAAATTGTTATATTTTTATCATAGTGCAGACACATAACCAGTATGATGATTAACTGGACAATATTAATCATTCATATTCATAGCCCGTAAGCATGACCATGTCACTCCTTTGCTGAAGCAATTGCATTGGCCTCTGCACTAAGACGATAGAATGACCCCCCCTACGATCAGTCCGCCTATCTCCTTCATTAGGTGTTTTTAAGAAGGCTCTCAAAACCCTCCCATTCAATGATTATTGTTAACTGTTGTTCCTTGTATTTTTATTTGTTTGAACTCTATGAAACATGTGTAAGAGAGCCAAGTACATTAATGACTTTGTTATTATAAGCTTACTGATTTACCATGAAAATTGTTACATCGACACCTCCAAAAGACAACAAGCATTTCACTTGTTACCTTTATTTTATTCCAAAGTGAATAGAGTGGTTAAGTATGACATCATCAAAAAACTATTTTAAAAAATTCTCAATTTGAACACTACAAACCAGAGCAAAATTAGGAAATCTATTTACTCAGATGGTCATATCTCAGCTAATACTTAACATATTCAATTGGTTTTTGACATTTGGACCAGTGTGTTGGCTCAGTCAGTAGAGCGTCCGCCTCACAACCAGGAGGTCGTGGCCGCGTCATACCAAAAGACGTTAAAAGACGAAAGTTGCTGCTACCTTGTTTGGCGTTCAACAATAAGGGATAGAGCAACATTGATCTGGCGCTGCTCAGTGGCTGCCGGGCTCACGATCAATTAGGCAAAAAGAATTTTCATTTTCGGTTTAACATAATAAAATTTGGAGTGGACTTTAAAAGATTATTATTATTATTATTATTATTATTATTATTTTTGACGCTCTTTCTGAAAATAAAGTTCAAATTGAGAAATTCTAAAAAAAGATTTTGACGATGTCATAGCTTCAGTAATCTATACATACCTGGCCTTGTTGATTCATTTCTTCTTTCAGTTCATCAAAGTACGACTCTCCCCCTGTGTTATCATAGTCAGCATTGAACATCTCCTTCATCTTCCTCTTCTTTTCTACTCTCTTCTCTGCCAGTGTCATGTCTCTCTTGCTCTTCTTCTTCTCCGCATTGTCTCCATCATTATCTTCCTCCTTCTCATCGTCACTATCATCACTGTGTGATTCAGAAGGCTCCTCTGCTTTGTGGACCTCACCCGTTTCCAAATCTTCAAAGTCCCCATACAGGTCATCTATATTCCCATTAAAATATTCAGAAAGGCACCATTACAGTACAAACACCTTACGAAGTAGGGTATGATTTGAACTTTGTATACAAGATATTTTCAAAAGTAGGCTTAATTTTCACAGGTTACATACATCTGCAACCAAATTATCAGCTATAAATAGAACATTTCACATGATAAGAATAGAATGGGGCAATATAATATTCTGCATATATTGTGCTTTTCAAAGTTTAAGACTAAACTGACATGAATATTTTTTTTAAGATGACGATCTGGATGATTAAATTCTGTTTTTTCCCTCTGGGATTATCACCATCTGCATTGGCATCCCCATACTTAATTGAAACCTTTTTGACCCAAGCAATTAGTTTAAGAATGCCATGATACTCTGCTCATCATGTGTGTTGGAGAAAGAGTAAAGTTACTGGGCCCAAAGACAAACTTACATAGCTTACCAAAATGTAAGGCACAAAAAAGAGCATCCAGAATACAAAAGGCTATTTAGTTGCTGTTGTAACTTGACATTTTTACAAGAAATTTAGGTAATACAGAAGTATTGACCTGCCTTGTGTCCTTATGATATCGTTCTACCACTATCTATAAAATAATGATTTTCAACATTTATCCACTTTGCGTTCTGGACGCATCATTACACTCTTACCTTACCCTAAACTACCGTACCTTTCTCATCTACTGATATGCAGAAACACTGCAACATGCCAGATTCAAAACTTGTTGAAGTGCTTAAAGATAAAGTTGAGTTCTGGTCATGCGATTGCATTGTGAAAGAAATGGTGTGGAATCGATCAGAAAAGGTTGATCATCTTAGCATATAAGTATTTATGTGTATTGCAAGGTTCTGGAATCATCAAAATGAAAAGAAATTTGGCCAAGTCTTGGTAAAGTTACAAGCACTGTACACACAAAGATGTATATGGGACTACACGAACATGCCATATTTAGAATATGAAGGCATTTAAAAGAGTCATGCTTTTCAGGGAACATGTTTTATCTGATGTTCTTCCACACTTGCATAATAACAATGATAACGCTCACAAACTATTTTTCACCTCTTCCCAGAACTCAACCTTCTCTTTAAAATTTTTAAAATGCTTGGAGCGAGAAGAAAATATAAAATGCTCACCATCTTGATCTAAGAGAGTCTTTGCATCCTCATCTTCACCCCACTTTCCTGTCACCATACAGTCAGCAATCAGGCTCTTCATCTGGTTAAATAATGAAGTCAACTTATGCTTCAATACAGACAAAACAAAAGAATTCTCAACCCTAATATTGCTGGTCTTTGTAGATTAGGCAGTGCAGCATTTGGTTTTTGGGCATACTATTTATGTGCAACTATGTGTCATGAAATTTCCAGACAGGGGTCCCTAGGGACATGATGGTAGTATTATAGAGGGAGGGAGAGAGGGAGAGGGAGAGAGAGAGAGAGAGAGAGAGAGAGAGAGAGAGAGAATAACACATGAGGTTCTGCTTCAGCATAATTATGTAAAACAGGAACAGCCCAAAATAACAACATCATTCAAATAAAACGAAAATTCATAACATTGGGGTCATATATTTTGACCAATTTGATTAAGGTCTATGACTTTAATGTTTCTATTTTGTACTTTCCCCGTTCCATAATTTGTCATAAACCAATGCAGAACTTAATCACTTTGATTAGGATCTGTAATCAAAACATTCATGATCATTTTGTTTATTCGAATGATGTTTCATCTTAGACTCTTTTCCTGATTTCTATGTCATTGTAAATATTTGTTGCCATGATAATGAAATTACTGTACTTGCAACTTATTTCAACCATGGCTATCCATCTATAACATGCAAAAATAGTCACTTTGCAACCAAGAACTTTCACACTTTTTGTTTTACCCACCTCATCCATTGTCCAATCTCTCATCATCTGCACAGGAAAGCTAGAACAGTCGGTATCATTCGATGCTTTCCTCATTTTCTTCTTGGACTCCTTAGTCTTGGTGAGGGTAAAGAGTCCACCCAACTCTGTACTGTCTTCCTCATCTGAAGAACCAGCCTCAACAGCTATAATTAAAATCAAAGGTCAAAGGTCATTAGATGAATAGCCAATGAATAATCATGCTTCTTATCTCTCTGCATATGCCTTTATAACATATCCTCTAAAAAATATTAAAAAATTAGTTACAGTAATGGAAAAAAGAAAAAAACAAAACACGTATCAGTATTCCAAAATTTCAACCAAGTTCTGTACTATAAAAAAAAAAAAATCCCCGATTTTGAATGACTGTGATAAGTAGGGCATGAGCCAATGGAGATGAAAGACTAAAACAAAAAAATGATTTTACTAAGTGCATTGTTAGATCAATGTACTGATAATACTACACACAGGAAGCGTATGGTCTACACTGGGGCTGCTATAAATACCGTTTTGAAAGTAGATGGCACAGGACTACACATGGAGTGTGTGGATGAATGTAGGACTTACCAGTACCATATACCAGTCTTCTCAGGTTTGGTGTCTGTGATTGCTGTCTTAGGAAGCTCTCTGCTGCCTTCTGGTTAAGATTCTCCTTCCATTTCAACTGACCTGACATCATGACAATCAATAATACACTTATTCAACTGCCACCTCAAGATACTTTAAAAAACATTTTTATTTGAATAGTATCTGTCCAATCACAGATGAATAAAAAATTGTAAGCGTCAACAAAACATAACTATGAATTCAATAATTATTTATTTATTCAATTATTTACAGTTTTATTTAAGCAGGGTTGCCTCTTCAGTTGACAAACTGCTATCCATGATGGCCCTGAACAATAATAACAATGTATATCAAATATTGTATTGAAGACATAAAAATATAAGAAACATAGGTTATGAAAACAAAGATAAATAAAATAAGAAGAAATATGAAAACAATATTGAAAACTGTAACTTATCATAAACATTATGGTACGATAAAAACATTGAACTGATAAATTATTAATTTGTTCAAGTACTGATAACACATCACTTTCTGACATCCCTCACTATAGATGGCTATGCACATCAATGTCAAATTGGTAGTGAATGTTATCTTCAGCAATCCTCACAAGTTTTCTTTCTCTTCGTGTTATAAAGATGATAAAGTGTAGATCAATGCTTTGAGAAACAAAGTTTTGCAGCAGCTAAGAATTAAATTTGGTAAATCCATAGATTCACTGATACTTACCTGACTGTTGTGAATCTTCTTCTTCATCATCATCATCTTCCTCATCATCTTCTTCATCATCTACCTCTTCTGAATCCTCTTCACCGTCTTCCATTTTATCATCCTGAAGCCCACTTTCACTTCCATCAACATTCACTTTGGATGACGTTGAATGCTTTGTCCGTTTGTGTCTGCTCTTCATCATACTTTCATTGTCCTTCTCATTGATGATATTGTCTTTGTCTTTAAGTGTTTTCATTTCTTGTTCTAGCTCATCCTCACTGTCTGCGAATGCTAGCTCTCCTACCCGTACATCCTGTTGCAAGAAATCAAAGACATTATAAGTATACACTGGTATGTAGCTGGCAAACAGTTCATATAACTCAAAATGTTTGCTTAAATTCAGTCTTTCACATATTTCCTATTTAGCCCCCCTCAGGTGCCCCAAAATGATGTAACATTAGTGACATATCGTTTAACTAGTTTTATGCTCTTGATTTGGGCCCTAACAATAAGATTTTGGGTACCTGAGACATATTTGGCTACCGAAGCCTCATGCCCGCAATGTATCATTGTATATTGATACAGAAATAGAGATTTATTATGCTCATAGTAACCCTGCCAATATTTTAAAGCAGTCCTGTAGACTGTCTAGGGTAGCTGATCTTTGGGCCCTCTTGAACAAACTTCCAGGCCCCTGTGGTTTTTCATGGACATTAACCTATTTCATACATTGTTCACAGTGGGTTTTCTACACATCACATTGTAATAACACCCAATTGTAGTAAATTCAGGATTGATCTTTTAACATTTCTAAATTTGACAATTGACCTGATATACCCTTAATTATCATTGGTTCTTAATGACACTTGTGCCAATCTTTAGGAGACTTAATAATATCATAAGATAAACCAAATCTGGAATACCTGGTGTAGACATGAACTACAAAAGAAAATGTGCCCCAATTGTACCCTTGTCAGCAATATAAAGAGCGATAAATTAAATTAAAATCCATTCTGTTCTGTATGCAACTACTTTCACCATCATTTTTGCCCGACAGTAAAATATCCTCTCAATATGTATATATTTGTAAAACTTATGTACCACTAACTTTAAACTGTGTATCTAGGTACTTACTTTATCATCTGCTATAGTCCATTCATCATCTGCCTCCTCCATCTCCTCATCATCCTCGTCTTCATCATCCTCATCATCTTCCTCGTCCTCATCATCTTCCTCATCGTCTTCCTCGTCCTCGTCATCATCATCATCCATGTCTTGAAGATGAACAGCTCTCCTCCTCACCCTCAAGTTTCCCTCTGTGGTTGAAAGGTTTGTATCCATAGCAACATCTTGTGATGTGACTGGGTTAGAGTCTGTGAAGAGAGTGAGCTTACTGGCGGCCATCTTGGTGTCAAGTGTCTTCTGAGACCCAATCAGATTTGTCACTAGTTCCTGGGAAGGTCCCTCTTCCTAATATAGAATTTAAAAGACACTAAATTCATAAACACATCTTTGAAAAGGATATTTATAAAACACAATAATTTCAGAGTAAAATATATATGTGATGGAGACTGATAGCAAGGATAGCTTTATTTGTTTTAGCTCCTGATGCTACCCACATCATACACCTAACATGTACCTACATGAGAAATTCAATGTTTATCAATCCTTTTGCCATACAAATTTATTCATAAGTCATGTCCACATGTCAAGCGGGCTGGTCCAAGCTATTCCATCCTATACGTTATAGACTATATAAAAGATTTCGATATAATTGATGATTATATTAACAATAATCTGTAACATATGGGAAGGTAAGGTTATAACCTCTGTGACCTTGAATTATACTTCAAAGCTCCTGAAAACATCTGCGTCTTCAAGAGAGCTTTGAAGACAGCAACAGATGAGGCTTTTGTTGTGTCTTGTGGTAGGTTATTCCAATGCTTTGGAGCTGCGCTACTGTAAGCCCAATAGTAGATGGGAATATGTTTGTAACCCACCTGAACAGTATGACTATGGGCCTTGTGACTACCCAGTTCAACATAGACTACATCCTACTACTCCAGACATGTTTGTAACCCACCTGAACAGTACGACTATGGGCCTTGTGACTACCCAGTTCAACATAGATTACATCCTACTACTCCAGACATGTTTGTAACCCACCTGAATGGTATGACTATTGGCCTTGTGACTACCCAGTTCAACATAGAGTACATCTTACTACTCCAGACATGTTTGTAACCCACCTGAACAGTATGACTACAGGCCTGTGACTACCCAGTTCAACATAGACTACATCATACTACTCCAGACATGTTTGTAACCCACCTGAACGGTATGAATATGAGCCTTGTGACTACCCAGTTCAACATAGACTACATCCTACTACTAACCCACCTGAACGGTATGACTATGGGCCTTGTGACTACCCAGTTCAACATAGACTACATCCTACTACTCCAGACATGTTTGTAACCCACCTAAACAGTATGACTAAGCCTTGTGACTACCCAGTTCAACATAGACTACATCATACTACTCCAGACATGTTTGTAACCCACCTGAACGGTATGAATATGAGCCTTGTGACTACCCAGTTCAACATAGACTACATCCTACTACTCCAGACATGTTTGTAACCCACCTGAACGGTATGACTATGGGCCTTGTGACTACCCAGTTCAACATAGACTACATCCTTGTCATAGACGATGCCTCCTACTCCAGACATGGGAGCATAGATGAGACGTTCCTTCTCATTCAGGGATCTTTTCTTGTCTTTGTTTGGCAGAGGGCAGGGGTCACTCAGGAACGATACATCCCTAATGGGAAAGTCTCCACAACCTAATCAGAAAGCAATTGAAAATAAAATTAGTTATTAATACTGAAAACAGTTAGATGGTCTTCTGTAATGGTTCATTGTATATTGTTCATTGTACATACAGTAAAAGCTATCTATGTATATAGGCCACTCAAGGGAAATAGAGAAAGTGGCCACTGTAGACGGGTTGCCTTTCTAGGACAGGTTCTACAACACACATTTCCTCTCCAGGGAGACAAAATATATGGCCACTATAGACATGTGGCCTCTATAGAGAGGTGGCCACTATGACAGGTTTGACTGTACAAGAAATTATAAAATGATAAGAGGTACATGCGTTATAATTATATGAATTCAATATTTGATCCTACCAAGTGTGGTGGATTACAAAGTAAGAAATACCAATAATAAATTATCTCTGTCAAGAGCAACATGTTAATCCATACCTTTACTTCCACCTTCCGGGATATACATCTAGATATTCACAAATAATTTATACAAATTTACATGGACAAACAAAAGTTATCCCACAGAAAATGTCTATGGTATCTTCAAAACCATGAATAATTCATTAAATTGGAATCATTTGGTAAAAAAAAACGGGTAAAAGTAGAAGAAAAGACAAAAAAAAACTAACTATCCCACTGGTTGAATTGCACATTCTTGTACAATCCTTTACAAAGCAGCTCTGAAGTTTCAGAGAAAAATATTAATGTTACATAAGGTTAAAGAGACCAACACACTTTTATTTTTAACAGCAGGTGCCACTCACATTACAAACAGAAGCACCTTTTGGTTCATTCCCCAAGCTTGAGCATTCATTGGAGATACTTGTAAAACTGAGTCAACAGTTTATGCTCAAAAGCTACACTTGAATAGGATACTACAGACGGAGGAATGATACACAGTCCAACCTTATCCAGCCATGTCAACACTAGCAAAAATCAGATATGTGATTTGGCCAAAATGAAAATGATATGCATTTCTCAGAAGTTTAGTATAGTGTATGCATGTAATAATACACTTTCTCATTATTATGAATTTATCAGACTCTCCTGTTTAGTGCTTTTAAGTTGTATATGATAACGAAATAAACTGACCTCCCTTTTAATAAGAGAGCCGTAAAGAGTACGTGTGTTTGTGTATATGTACTTGCTCCAATTATTGAATGTTACCAATATCAATATCAAGTGCTTAAAATCCATTTATTTACTTTCTGTATAATCATTTTATAATTCACCTATATTCAAGGGGAATATTATAGTATTAATGACTGCTTTGAGAGAAATAGTTGTTTTTATACGCTCAAGGGAAGGTTAGAATTGTGCTATTGCCCCGAGGCGTGCCGAGGGCAATAGCCCAATTGTAACCTTCCCGAGAGCGTATAAAAACAACTATTTCTCGAATATTAAAGCAGTCATTAATACTTTTATATGCCGAAAACAAAAGAGGCAACTAATGACACCACCTTGGCCTTTCTCTAGTTTATCTGCACGGTTTGTTTTTTATGAGTGTATCTTTGAGAGTAGACTAGATCTAGATTCTAGTCTAAGCAAGATATTTTTACAATTTTGGGGGTGGACCGGCCCTGTGGGGAATAGAGAGAAGAACCTGCGCTTTCATATGACACCTCACTTATTGAGTATCACCTTCAGGATCACAACAGATAAAGGTTTGAATCTCGAATTGGAAAAAAAAAACTTGACTTTTTTTGCATGGTCGCGCAATGCACGTAGACTGCATAGAGACTGCATTGCGTGTAATCTCTATGGGAAGAATATAGCACACAACATCGGGTGCGCGATCAGACATCCTGACAACTAGATCTATTTTCGTCTACGTCTATGCTGGTACTCCATTTTCAGCAACTAAACTAACATGTTTATGGATAATTTCACGTACCCTTTTTGTTGTTTTTGCCGTCAGCGAGTCTTGCATTTGATAACTTGAAATCTTGGGACAGTTTCTTTAGCCATTTTTGTCTTGTTTGGAATTGTCGTCTTGTCTTGTCTTGTATGAAAATACCAACCAATTCTTCGCACACGTACGGTATCCTTGATCGCTCAAACTATTTTTTAACATGTAAACCTATGGGGTAACCATGGAGACTGAACTATTTTCCCGGTAACCATGGATACTGGGATTTTAGAACTGTTTTAACCATGGTTACTGGGAATTTTACAGAAATAGTTAAAGTTTATGAATGCAATTTCGACCAATCAGATGGCTGGATTTCTTAAGTGAGGTATATAACATTTTTTGTTCAATAGAATTAAATAAAGATTACCCACAAAAAGATGTGTATGTGTGTGTGTGTGTGTGTGTGTGAGAGAGAGAGAGAGAGACCATTCATTCACACTTACCTGGAATATGAACGGAGCTGTTTTGCTTGAGTGGTACACCCCTCACATAGCCATACAAGGAGACAGTTCTATCACACTTTGAATTCTGTCTTATCAGCTCCTGATTCGTTAGGTCTTCCATTCTATCATAGAAACATATAACAGTTTTAGACTCTAGAAAAGTTGATATCATTATAACAACACAGGGGCCCTACTACTGCAAGTTGGTCACAATATGTAATAATTGGGGAAGCTTTCCTAATTGCTGTGATTTAAAAAATATTTAAAAAAATAAAAAATTGGACAGAATTCTGAAAACTTCCGTGTTAAATCCCAGAGTTGATATAATATTGGTGTTCTGAAAACTATGTTCAGGGTATGCTTTTTAAGATTACTAATATCATCAAATATAATACAATTTATATCATGCATCAAAAATTTATTGGTTTTTGATTGGTTGAGAGCTCGTCACGTGACCAGAAATATTTCAACTATTTTAAGGTTGCTATGTAAAAGAACTATATGAGAGTGCTATTTGGGAGTAGAAAACAAAATATTTTAAATCTTTTTTGATAAAAATTGACATTTTTCAAAATTCTAATTTTTTTCCCCCCAAAATCATAATTTTTTTGTGTGTGTGTGTAAATTTTTGATGCAGCATATAAAACAAATAAACCATGCCTTCTATTCGTTAAAAGTTAAAACTATGGGCTTCGGTGACTCCAAAAGAACCATTTGTTTCAGGGCTGCGCCCCTCAGCAAATAGTACTATTGGAGTCACCTCTTGTGCATAGTTTTAACCAGAACCTCTCAAGACAGTGTACAGGTATACCTGTATACTATGCCAACTGTATTGATTAAGATACAATTTTCTTTACTATACCTGAACAGAGAAATATTAATAAAAATAAACTTCTTGGGCAAAACTATTTTAATAAAAAAAATGAGCAAACAAATAAAAAAAAAAAGTTTAATATAGGTTTTACCTATAAACAAAGAAATGTTAATAAAATTAACTTTTTGTGCAAAAAATATTTTAATCAAAAAATGAGGAGGAAATAAAGAAAATTAAAGTTTTATATAGTTATTACCTGTCTGCTATGACGTATGAATGCGCATTTCGCCAGACGAGAGGTCTAAATTTCATAACAGAGATGAACCGTCCAAGGTTCTGGACTTCTCTGTTCTGATAATCACCATGAACCATGCCTGACAAATAGAACAGCTTGGCACCCTGCACACACAAACACAGATTAATAATATCGGTTCACTGCAATCATTCACAGGATATTTATAGTTCATTCAATAAGCAATCAAATTTCCTAAACACATATCAATCATTGACCTACTTACTGCAAAATCTAATCAGTTTGTCTTCCTAAAGTGATTCACCCTGGCTTTAAAATGATACTTTGTGGCTCAAACGGTTCTTGAGATTTCACGATTACAAGAAAAATTGAAACATAAAATGCCTCCATTTAACCACCTGACGGGCAGAGGCATATTGTGTATAATTCCTTTGATATTATCCATTAAACCAGATTGTATGAAATATTCCTCCATTTTTAGTCAATCCTTACTGCACTGGACTATTTCAGTCTCCTAACTTGGGATCTTGGCTTTACAATGATTGGTTGCTACAAAATTTAGCGTGGACATTGAGAAAGGATCAGTCATTTTTTATTTTTGTATATTTGTATTTTATATATTGCATGTACATGTATACTTAAATATGGATAATTAAATAAACCTTATTAACATTACATATATTTTATTCTGTCAATTAAAAAGTTCTCAAATATTCTATTGTGTTCCAGCTTTTTTCAAGGTTATTTCAATCAAATTATTTGATTAAAACTTCAAAGCATAATGATGGAAAAATGAATAAAAAAGACAAGAAAATACAGGCTTCCATTTTTTCTTGTTTACCCTTAATATGTAGATAAGTATCTGAACTTTTTGGCATTTTTCTTTCACAAGATTAAAAACTAAAATTCTATGTATAAATAGGATTGACATTTTTGCAATCTAATCAAGTGGAATTTGATGAAGTGATGTGAACTGCTCCATGAATATGTGCGGGCAAGTATTGAATCCAATTATCGGGGTAATAGTATATCCATAAAGCGCTTAGAGACATCGTAGATATATTAAGCTCTATATGTATATAAAAGTGTAATATTATTATATTATTATCATGAATTTGAAGAAAAAAACAACAAAGCAAGCGAAATCTCACCTGGTACACTTCAGTCCAAAATCGATTTTTGAGTCTTTTCTTTGTCTTCTTCAAGGCTTTGGTATCTCTCATCATGTCTAAGTGAGTGAGTACTCCCATTATACGAGGGAAACCATGAACCTGAGCAATGTTCAGGAACTCAAACGTCTCCATTTCAAACCCAAAGCTTGCATCAACCAGGAGTAAAACCTGTAAATTAGAGCAGAATAATAAAGAAGAATCACTAATACAACATGCAAACAGTGCTGAGCGTCTGAGCAATATGTCACAACCACTATACAACACATCACTGACAAAAGCCTTCTGTATTTTTTCTGCCTCTTTGCTCTGCGGTATCGTTTGGTTTATGCCTGCACCAGCTAATACAGTTGAAATACTTGAAGAAAAAAATCTCACAAAATTAACAGGGGAAAGGCCCCATCTTATAAACAGTTGCAATTGACACAAATTAATTGCAGCTTGATTTCACTTGCAAGCTCTGTACTAAAGAGATAGGGATTTGTAAGTGTATACAATCACTGGAGACAGACTTTTACACATGGCTCGGCCTACCTATCTTGTCTCCAAATACTTTCATTAATATACATTTTAAGATATTACCCCTTGTTCTTCATGTCTTCTCTGCGCATGTTATTCTCATGTTATATATTGATATTATTTTGTAACTTTGTATATTTGTTTGCCTTTCAGTTGCAACTCTTTATATCATAGAAATAAAATGATTCATGGCCAAGTACGCTTATGATTTCTATATTTTAACACTTTACAACAAAATATTATTAATGAATTGGACATCCCATTAAACATGCGTTAATTCTACAATATTTGTTTCAATTGGATATCCAAAGAGTTAGACTTATGACGCTTTTGAGAAATGGCCACCTGTATAATGCGTATATTACTAAATAAAAATCAGGGCGATAAAAAACTTTTGAATCAAGTATAGTGAAAGCTTAGTACCATTGGTATGCATGTAAATCGAAAAAAGATGGAGAAAGTGTGGACCTCACTCTTATGGAACTTACCAAATCAGCAACTTTAGCGATGTCAATCATACTACTGATGTCATTGTTGCACTCAATTAAAGTTAGCCTCCTTTTCTTACCTGTGATTAGAAAAAAAACTTGACTTTTGAAAATGTTCCAATGTTTTCATACAAATATATCTTTTCATCTTACATTCACGTCCTCAGCCAAAATGTTGTCTAATGAATGATGGATCAGGTGTGATCTAAGAATACAAAGTATCTGGGCAAGTATCTACAAGAAGTTATATTTCTTGTGATTGGAGTTTTTAGGGAGATCACTTTTGATCGTTCAGTTGACCAGTGCGTAGATAGCGCATGGTTCAAGTGACCCCAAATATCCACAGATCTTTTAAACATGGATAAGTCAGACTTCATGCATTTTAGAATAATCACTGCCAAGGTCATGGAGGTGCTTCATGAATACATTTTGTTTGCCCTTTAGAAAATATTTCCCCCAGTGTTCCATAGAATGTACTGTCAAATGAAAAGTGATTACATTACTTTCATGAGTACATATCCAGTATTTATCTCAGAGAGTTTTACAATTTCGTACAAATAACCTTTATCTGCACATGCACGGATTGTATCTACAAACTGGCTTAGAGGAATGAAGTGTTACCTCAATGAATGTGGGTACGTGGCCTTCATACTTAAACGGGAGATAAGTATAACAACATTTATTACAAATCAGTCGTCTTTAATTCAGTAGATGATAATAAAAGAAGTTACATGGAAAATACCCATGGTCCTTTGCCAGAAGAAGAGAAATATTCTTCCTCAATTGACAAGATCATCCTGGGCAAAGCATGACCCTATTCTTGATGCCTCTTTTGTGAGGGGGTTCATCCAATTGATGCATGTGATAGCTGTATGCAGAAGCCCACTCACATGTAAGGAAGACATTCTTCTACAGAATATGTTGTGCTTGGGATGTGGTGTCACAGATCAACACGGCATCAAGAATTGCAAAGAAAGGATGTCTTAGAAGGCAAACAAAACCAAGGCCAGCAAACAGGAAGAGGGTATGGGATGGGTCATAATGTTTTTGTTTTTTTTAAACTTCAGTTCCTTTTATCTCTCTTGACCTCTTTTAGTTTCTTTTAATTTATTTTAAACATATATCTACAGACAGATGGAAATCAATGTAATAAATGAATAAAAACTCAAACTAAATAGATTTTTAGACATTTTCGATTTGTGGAATTCATCAATCATTAGCTGAAGTATTGGTAGCGGAAAGTGATTAAAACAAGCAGAGAACATTTATAAAAATAAGAAAATTTTGAAATGTTACCTGAGACAATGGTGACAGGGCCCTTGATTGTGCTCAGGTTCTGATGAGTGAAGTTCTTGACAAGACAGCGGATCAGAGTTGTCTTTCCAACCTTCGGAGGACCGACAATCGCCACGACAACAGGAGGAGGCTCCAGCGGTGTGCGATCAACAACTGGAATATGGTGTTTTTTCTCCTTTATGTCTAGGGTCCTGAAAGAGTAAAAAATAATAATTTATGGATGTGGCAATTCATACGTTGAAATTTGTATGCAATCTTCACCAAAATCTCATTCATAAGAATTTAAAATTAATGAGAGTGGTAAATTTTACTCATCCAGAAAATACATATCACATGCAAGATAATTTAATACCTTTATATACAGTATATTATGAAACAAGATACTACTGCGTGCATGAAATGTTAACAATTTTCACAAGTGGTTTACATTCACAAGTTTTATGCCATCAAATCATTTTCAATCTCATCTCAAACTATATGTTTGCAATGAATGAAATTATTCTGCCATGAAAAGTTCATTTTCATACTATGGTGACTTTGAAGGCTCATCTTTTTGGAGGAAATAGTGGCAATTAGATATTTTACATAATAAATGTTGTTGCACATAAAGCAGAATGGCATCAAAGTTTCGAGATCCTATGAATTAAACGTCTGGATCATCATCTAAGGCACCACCTATTTTGAAGAAAAAAATTATTTAGCAAGCAAAAACCTGAGGGCTGTATATTGGCCAAGCAGTTTTTGCCATATTGTCCCATACAACAAACACTGACCTAGCGGCTGGCTCTTGCGCCGCAACAAATGTCCACACTGGGTCCAATAGGGTTAATGTGAATAATTACTAACAGCGTAAGTCACCTCTCCCTGTTTACGGAGAAATTAAACTGATTTAAAAATACTTGATATAATACAGTATTAATACAGCTGTGCAATTTGAATGCAGTAATTCTCAATATATATTCCATACCTGCGGACCTTGCGTGCCATTTTATTGACTGACTGGATGGCGAACGCCCTTGGATTACGTTGACGGGCAGTCATACCTTCATCCTGGGGCTTGGTTCTGGCTTTCTTCTTCTCAAACTTTCTCCCGGCCTGACGCTCCCGATGGCTCTTTTGGGGTCCTGGCTCGTCCCCCATTCTGCTTTCTTCTTCTAAAAAGTCTTTTCTAAGATTATATAATGAAGCAGTGGTCTGGTATACAAGAGAAGATATTAAGGTAAACATAATATCATAGAGACTCCCTAGAACATAGAGATTAATACATAACTCCTCCCACATGCATTTCAGGCAATATCATCACCAAGCCCTTAAAGGCTACAGTAGGTACCAGCCAAAAAAATACACTGGGGCGCAGGGCGATTTCGCTCCGGAAAAACCATAAATAGCCCCCGAAATAGGCCGAAAATCGAATTACGGGGGCGACATCAAAAAAGGTTATAAACATTTTTAAAAAACGTAATGATTACGAGCGGCCGTTCTCTACTAGCTTCGTATTCATTGTGTGCAAATAGTATATACAAATTCGGTCGTCAAAAAAAAAATCGATCCATACCTTACCTAGCTTACGTAGCTTACTGTCCATGTCGCACGCACACGAAAACACATAAATTTTCGCGGTTGCGAGACAGTGCCTAAGGACCGAGATTTTGGTGGTCGATTTTGTTTTGATAGATCATATTAGCTGAACCTAGACCATTTACTAAACATCGCGAAACTGCAATCAATTTCCATCATAATTGCCGCAATTTTAAATATATTCCGTGGTACGTGGTACGTAGGTGGTTAGGGCATTGCACATTCAAGACCGTAGCACTGGACACTGCCTAGCCCTACTGTGTAATTAGCACTGCAATGATGTTATACAGGTCTTGAACAGTAGACGGAGCTTTTTCAAAAATAAAATCTGGTCATCTCGTGTACAGTGGACACTTTTTGAAAAGTACAAAAATGCTGTAGCACAGGGGGTAAGCCACGCGTTTTAAGCCTATCGCAGTCAAGTGGTTAATAATATGAATGTGAACCCTTCTGACACTGAGCAGACAATATTCTGTTGTGAGCCGGAAAGGTGTTATCACTGTGTGTAATGATATGAATGTGAACCCTTCTGGCACTGAATAGACAATATTCTGTTGCAAGCCAGAAAGATGTTGTCACTGCGTGTAATGATATGAATGTGAACCCTTCTGGAACTGAGCAGACAATATTCTGCTGTGAGCCAGAAAGATGTTATCACTGTGTTTGATGTTAACCCTTCTGGCACTGAGCAGACAATATTCTGTTGTGAGCCAGAAAGATGTTACCACTGTGTTTGATGTGAACCCTTCTGGCACTGAGCAGACAATATTCTGTTGTGAGCCAGAAAGATGTTATTACTGTGTTTGATGTGAACCCTTCTGGCACTGAGCAGACAATATTCTGCTGTGAGCCAGAAAGATGTTATCACTGTGTTTGATGTGAATGTGAACCCTTCTGGCACTGAGCAGACATTATTCTGTTGTGAGTCAGAAAGATGTTATCACTGTGTTGAATGTGAACCCTTCTGGCATTGAGCAGACAATATTCTGTTGTGAGCCAGAAAGATGTTATTACTGTATGTAATGATATGAATGTGTAGCCTTCTGGCACTAAGCAGACAATATTCTGTTGTGAGTCAGAAAGATGCTATCACTGTGTTTAATGATATGAATGTGAACCCTTCTGGCACTGAGCAGACAATATTCTGTTGTGAGCTGGAAAGATGTTATCACTGTGTTTAATGATATGAATGTGAACCCTTCTGGCACTGAGCAGACAATATTCTGTTGTGAGTCAGAAAGATGTTATCACTGTGTTGAATGTGAACCCTTCTGGCACTGAGCAGACAATATTCTGTTGTGAGCAAGAAAGATGTTATCACTGTGTGTAATGATATGAATGTGAACCCTTCTGGCATTGAGCAGACAATATTCTGTTGTGAGCCAGAAAGATGTTATCACTGTTTGTAATGATATGAATGTGAACCCTTCTGGCACTGAGCAGACAATATTCTGTTGTGAGCCAGAAAGACGTTATCACTGTGTGTAATGATATGAATGTGAACTCTTCTGGCACTAAGCAGACAATATTCTGTTGTGAGTCAGAAAGATGTTATTACTGTATGTAATGATATGAATGTGTAGCCTTCTGGCACTAAGCAGACAATATTCTGTTGTGAGCCAGAAAGATGTTATCACTGTGTTGAATGTGAACCCTTCTGGCACTGAGCAGACAATATTCTGTTGTGAGCCAGAAAGATGTTATCACTGTCTGTAATGATATGAATGTGAACCCTTCTGGCACTGAGCAGACAATATTCTGTTGTGAGCCAGAAAGATGTTATCACTGTCTGTAATGATATGAATGTGAACCCTTCTGGCACTGAGCAGACAATATTCAGTTGTGAGCCAGAAAGATGTTATCACTGTGTTTAATGTGAACCCTTCTGGCACTGAGCAGACAACATGCTGTTGTGAGCCAGAAAGATGCTATCACTGTGTTTAATATGAATGTGAACCCTTCTGGCACTGAGCAGACAATATTCTGCTGTGAGCCAGAAAGATGTTACCACTGTGTTTGATGTGAACCCTTCTGGCACTGAGCAGACAATATTCTGTTGTGAGCCAGAAAGATGTTATTACTGTGTTTGATGTGAACCCTTCTGGCACTGAGCAGACAATATTCTGTTGTGAGCCAGAAAGATGTTATCACTGTGTGTAATGATATGAATGTGAACCCTTCTGGCACTGAGCAGACAATATTCTGCTGTGAGCCAGAAAGATGTTATCACTGTGTTTGATGTGAATGTGAACCCTTCTGGCACTGAGCAGACATTATTCTGTTGTGAGTCAGAAAGATGTTATCACTGTGTTGAATTTGAACCCTTCTGGCATTGAGCAGACAATATTCTGTTGTGAGCCAGAAAGATGTTATCACTGTCTGTAATGATATGAATGTGAACCCTTCTGGCACTGAGCAGACAATATTCTGTTGTGAGCCAGAAAGATGTTATCACTGTGTTGAATATGAACCCTTCTGGCACTGAGCAGACAATATTCTGTTGTGAGCCAGAAAGATGTTATCACTGTCTGTAATGATATGAATGTGAACCCTTCTGGCACTGAGCAGACAATATTCTGTTGTGAGCCAGAAAGATGTTATCACTGTCTGTAATGATATGAATGTGAACCCTTCTGGCACTGAGCAGACAATATTCAGTTGTGAGCCAGAAAGATGTTATCACTGTGTTTAATGTGAACCCTTCTGGCACTGAGCAGACAACATGCTGTTGTGAGCCAGAAAGATGCTATCACTGTGTTTAATATGAATGTGAACCCTTCTGGCACTGAGCAGACAATATTCTGCTGTGAGCCAGAAAGATGTTACCACTGTGTTTGATGTGAACCCTTCTGGCACTGAGCAGACAATATTCTGTTGTGAGCCAGAAAGATGTTATCACTGTGTGTAATGATATGAATGTGAACCCTTCTGGCACTGAGCAGACAATATTCTGCTGTGAGCCAGAAAGATGTTATCACTGTGTTTGATGTGAATGTGAACCCTTCTGGCACTGAGCAGACATTATTCTGTTGTGAGTCAGAAAGATGTTATCACTGTGTTGAATGTGAACCCTTCTGGCATTGAGCAGACAATATTCTGTTGTGAGCCAGAAAGATGTTATTACTGTATGTAATGATATGAATGTGTAGCCTTCTGGCACTAAGCAGACAATATTCTGTTGTGAGTCAGAAAGATGCTATCACTGTGTTTAATGATATGAATGTGAACCCTTCTGGCACTGAGCAGACAATATTCTGTTGTGAGCTGGAAAGATGTTATCACTGTGTTTAATGATATGAATGTGAACCCTTCTGGCACTGAGCAGACAATATTCTGTTGTGAGTCAGAAAGATGTTATCACTGTGTTGAATGTGAACCCTTCTGGCACTGAGCAGACAATATTCTGTTGTGAGCAAGAAAGATGTTATCACTGTGTGTAATGATATGAATGTGAACCCTTCTGGCATTGAGCAGACAATATTCTGTTGTGAGCCAGAAAGATGTTATCACTGTTTGTAATGATATGAATGTGAACCCTTCTGGCACTGAGCAGACAATATTCTGTTGTGAGCCAGAAAGATGTTATCACTGTCTGTAATGATATGAATGTGAACCCTTCTGGCACTGAGCAGACAATATTCTGTTGTGAGCCAGAAAGATGTTATCACTGTCTGTAATGATATGAATGTGAACCCTTCTAGCACTAAGCAGACAATATTCTGTTGTGAGCCAGAAAGATGTTATCACTGTTTGTAATGATATGAATGTGAACCCTTCTAGCACTAAGCAGACAATATTCTGTTGTGAGCCAGAAAGATGTTATCACTGTCTGTAATGATATGAATGTGAACCCTTCTGGCACTGAGCAGACAATATTCTGTTGTGAGCCAGAAAGATGTTATCACTGTGTTGAATGTGAACCCTTCTGGCACTGAGCAGACAATATTCTGTTGTGAGCCAGAAAGATGTTATCACTGTCTGTAATGATATGAATGTGAACCCTTCTGGCATTGAGCAGACAATATTCAGTTGTGAGCCAGAAAGATGTTATCACTGTGTTGAATGTGAACCCTTCTGGCACTGAGCAGACAATATTCTGTTGTGAGCCAGAAAGATGTTATCACTGTCTGTAATGATATGAATGTGAACCCTTCTGGCATTGAGCAGACAATATTCAGTTGTGAGCCAGAAAGATGTTATCACTGTATTTAATGTGAACCCTTCTGGCACTGAGCAGACAACATGCTGTTGTGAGCCAGAAAGATGCTATCACTGTGTTTAATATGAATGTGAACCCTTCTGGCACTGAGCAGACAATGTTCTGCTGTGAGCCAGAAAGATGTTACCACTGTGTTTGATGTGAACCCTTCTGGCACTGAGCAGACAATATTCTGTTGTGAGCCAGAAAGATGTTATTACTGTGTTTGATGTGAACCCTTCTGGCACTGAGCAGACAATATTCTGTTGTGAGCCAGAAAGATGTTATCACTGTGTTTGATGTGAACCCTTCTGGCACTGAGCAGACAATATTCTGCTGTGAGCCAGAAAGATGTTATCACTGTGTTTGATGTGAACCCTTCTGGCACTGAGCAGACAATATTCTGTTGTGAGCCAGA